TCTGTTTACCCCAGATTATTTGGCAGTGGGGACTCATCCAATTCAAAGGAGATAATCTAGGATCATAAAGAATTTGATAACGATGTTGTGAACCGGTTGCTATGAGTTTTCCAGGCTGTATAGTCATGTTCCAGAAGCATTATCTCCTGACATTACACCAGCATCTAACAAGGCTATTAATAACACAAAATGGGAAAGGAGGAGTAGAAATTAAGGTAGAAGAATAGTATAAGGAAATATGGAAATTAGCAGTAAATGATAAATTAACATTTAATTTACAGGTTTAAAAAGGCCTAAGGAAAAATAACATTTTTAAAAGCAGATGGGAAAATATTTATTGAAGAAACATTGATAACTGACGATGTGATTGAATAATTATTTCAGTAAGAAGATGCCGAGGATATAAGTTTTTATTGTTTTTATTGACTTGATATGAATTTATATTTTATATGCTAATGTTTTAAGTGTCACAATGTCTGCAGCCCCTCCCACAACAAAGAATTAAGGTCAAATTGCATACCAATACACAAATAAATATAGTAAGCAATTATATACATAACAAATAACCAGTAGAGGCTTGAGAAGGTTGCTATTTCCATCAGGAAGAAGATTGTGTATAGAAGATTGTATGCTATACATAGCACACAAATATTACGAGATTCATAATAACTTTCCCCTTAAGATAGATTTGATAAACTGCAGTTGTACAAGCTAAGTATCCAGATTAACTGTGTGTATCTATGTTGTATAATTAATCCAGTTTGAAACCACTTTACCTGATGTGGCCCAGTTCTGTAGGATGATGGGATTTGTAGTTTGGCAAGATCCCACAGAAGGCTAAAGACCTTGGGAAACTACAACTCCAGTGATTCCATCACATTCAGTGGTGTCAGACTGCATTGATTCTACAGTGTAGATGCATCTAATGACAGCTGCACAATCAAACTGGGCCAACAGTATCCCCAGGATTTTATAAAGACCTTGCTGTGAAGTCAGAGGTGCACAGAATAGTGATAAATCTATTATGAAGCAATCTAAAAGGCATTCATGATCCCCTGAGCAGTTAGATGCTGCTCCTAGTTGGGCTCCTACACTTTTAATAGTTCAAATCCAACACAGCTTCAATAGATAAACTTTCTCCTGTCACTCTATTGCTTTGCTAGGGTAACTAGAATTTTCTAGATTTGACTTGTCAGTTAAAAGCATAGTAATCCCAGCTGGAAAAGGTATACCCACCTATGAGATGCTCCATCATGAAATCACTCCAAAATAACACCCCAAAAAGCTCAATTACACTAGAACAAAGGCACTTAAAAGCAAGTCTATATTTTCCCTGTACCGCTTGCATGATTATAAGACGAGGCCATTACAGGCAGTCCTCAAGTTACGAAGAAGATAGTTTCTGTACATTTATTCTTAAGTTAAATTTGTATGTAAAAACACATACATTTTTAAATGTAACTCCAGCCACATATTTCTATAAGCTTTGGACAGCATAGGGAAGGGTTAACAGCCTTGTGGTGTTTGTTTTGCTGCCTGTGACCCTGTTCAGAAGATTTCACCTCACCTTCTGTCCCTGTGATAATTGGATTTTGAAAAAAAATAGTTTGTTGTGGAAACAAAGATTGGGGAGAAAGCTTCAGTGGAAACACCTTTTTTCCCACGATAAGGAGTGAATTTTCCTTCCGAAGAGTAGATTTCTCTCACTTCCTGTTGTCTCATCCTCCTTAACTATGAGTCATTTGTAAGTCTGATGTTTGTAATTTGGGAACTCCCTGTTGTAATTTTCTGCATTATCATGTCAAACCTTGTCAATCGAATCTGCAAAGCAATGTTTTGGCAATAGTAGCAATTTATCCACTTATCACCATCAGTTACTTCGATTGCAGAATAGTTGAAACATACAAAAGATCAACATTCACATAGAAACAATTTAAAATGTACAAGTCAGTGGGTAAAAAAACCATTCAAAATGGTGCAGTCTTATAAAATTTTGCTCTGGTTGAGTTTCAACACACAAAACAAGACATTGCCCTTTTAAAAGTTCTTTTCTTAGGTTATCCAGTTTCTGAATCCAGTTGACTTGCTTTGAACTGGATTATCAATAGGGGCTGGACCTACGCTGTCATATAATCAGGTTCAAAGCAGATCATCTGGATTCAGAAAATTGATTACATAGCAGTGTATTTTTTGCAAACTTTGAATACTAAAGGTCTTGGAAACCTTTAGTACTCAAAGTCTGCAAAAAAATAAAATAAATAAATTACAGGGCTTTGCCTGCCAATAAAAAGACACCCAGGAGGGGTTAACATGTTGCCTGTTTATATGCCGGAAGTGAAGAGAGCAATGGAAAAGGTGTAGCAGCAATTTTAATAAGTTATTTTATATTGCTTGTAAATGAAAACATAAAACTGTAGGAGGAGAGCACCCACAATATTGATGGAACAGAGTAGGTACCAGCTGGAAAGAAAGTGTAACCCCCTTTAGACAATGGATTAAATGGGGCTCTTGCAGTACTAGGCAGTCATTGCATTGCCACCTTTCACAAGGGAAGAGAAATACAACCGCCACAGAGGGCCTAGATTCAAATAATTCAAATGATAGGTACTGCTACACTGTAGAATTATGGCAGTTTGACACCACTTTCACTGCCATGGCTTAAGCACTTTCACTGCTTGCTCCATTTTTTTCCAAATACCCATCCTAGTTATATGTCACCTTGTCATGGCCAGTATTTTAAAATTGTAATTATTACGTTTGGCCCTGCCACAGGTTTTTAATTGCATTGTGGTGTTACTGTTATTGTTTATGAGTTATTTATTGTCTGTATTGCTGTGTTGTTTTATTGATGTATTTGGGCTCGGCCTCTTGTAAGCCACACCGAGTCCTCCGGGAGATGGTAGCGGGGTATAAATAAAGGTTTACTATTATTATTATTATTATTATTATTATTATTATTATTATTATTATTATTAATGTTATGATATCATAAATGTTGTTTTCCAAGGTTTTTCTTTAGCCTTCTCTGCAAGAGTGCTGTGTCCTCACCAAACTACAAATCCCAGGATCCCAAGGCCTTAGTATTTTACTGGAGTCTCCAAAATTATTAATTCCACTCATACAACTTCCATTCTTCCATTCATTCCCACACATCATTGTTAAATTAACATTTATCAAATCTGCGCATTGAATTTCTTTTTACAGTGCTGTGTCCTCACCAAACTACAAATTCCAGGATCCCAAAGCATTGAGCCAGGGCAGCTAAAGTAGTATCATGATGCACTTATTCCACAGTGTAGATGCACTCAAAAGTAGGAACAGCCTCTTACCCCATTCTGTTTGACCCTCAACTTTCCCAACCACCCCCTTTTCCTGCCAAGCCGACTTCGTAAGGCTGCTATGCAGTTAAGGCCCCATCTTCACTGCCCTATAATCCAGTTTCTGAATTCGGATTATCTGCTTCAAATTGGATTATATGGCAGTGCAGATCCAGCCTCAGGCCCCTTCCACACAGCTGAATAAAATCCTACATTATCTGCTTTGAACTGAAATATATGGCAGTGTGGACTCAGATAACCCAGTTCAAAGCAGATATTGTGGGATTTTCTGCCATGATATACTGGGTTACGTGGCTGTGTGGATGGGCCTATAGACCCAGGGTTGGGTGGAGGGAAAATCTAGGCCCCCTTTCCACACAACTGTACAAAATTCACATTGGACTGGATTAAATGGCAGTGCGCCCACCCAGAATATCAAGGCGGAATAATCCACAATATCTGCTTTGAACTGGGTTATCCGAGTCCACACATAGATAACGAGGGATTTTCTGACTTGCTATTCTGGGATATAGAGCTGTGTGGAAGGGCCTTGCGTTATTTGTTTCCACGGTGCCATTTAAAAGCAGATAAAGTGGGGTTTTATTCAGCAGTGTGGAAGGCCCCTCAGATAACCCAGTTCAAAGCAGATATTGTGGGATTGTCTGCCGTGATATTCTGGGTTATAGGGCTGTGTGGAAGGGCCCTCAGATAACCCAGTTCAAAGCAGAGATTGTGGGATTGTCTGCCTAGATATTCTGGGTTATAAGGTTGTGTAAAAGGCCCTCAGATAACCCAGTTCAAAGCAGAAATTGTGGGATTGTCTGCCTAGATATTCTGGGTTATAGGGTTGTGTAAAGGGCCCTCAGATAACCCAGTTCAAAGCAGATATTGTGGGATTGTCAGATATTCTGGGTTATAGGGCTGTGTGGAAGGGCCCTCAGATAACCCAGTTCAAAGCAGAAATTGTGGGATTGTCTGCCTAGATATTCTGGGTTATAGGGTTGTGTAAAGGGCCCTCAGATAAGCCAGTTCAAAGCAGATATTGTGGGATTGTCTGCCTAGATATTCTGGGTTATAGGGCTGTGTGGAAGGGCCCTCAGATAATCCAGTTCAAAGCGGATATTGTGGGATTGTCTGCCTAGATATTCTGGGTTATAGAGCTGTGTGAAAGAGCGAGTTCAAAGCAGATGTGGAATTTCCTTCCTTGATATTCTGGGTTATATGGCTGTGTGGAAGGGCCCTCAGATAACCCAGTTGAAAGCAGATATTTTGAATTATCTGCCTTGATATTCTGGGTGAAATGGCTGTGTGGAAGGGCCCTAGGTCTATATTATAACCGTGCAGTTTTTAAGAGGAGAGATAGGATTGAAATGTAAGTAAAACAGCCTAACATCGAGGGCAAAGGTTAAGATAAGAACAGCCACCATCATTATATCCTCCTCCTCCTCACAGGCACCCAGTTCCCGCCCCAGCGTCCTGAATTGCGCGCGCCACCCTTTCTCAGAACCGCGCGCCGCGTTGCCACGGCAACGGGACCAGGCCGAGGAAATAAACAGCCCGACCGGCTGTCTCTTTTATCATTGGAACACCAGGCCGGAAGTAGGACACTGACTCGGGTGATCGCGAATCTACGAAGGCGACCACAGGAAGCCCCGCCTCTTCCGCTCCAGACCGGCCAATCCCTTCGCAGAAGGCCGTGGGGCGGTGAAGGGTTTAAATCTCTTCAGGCGAGGGGCCGGGGGTGGTTGGATATCAGTTGAAGAAGGAAGGCCTGGGCGGAACCGTGACATGGGCCCCGCTGAGGAAAAAGGTGGGCCCTCAGGGAAGGGGGAAGGGGAGGGGGTTACTCTCCTTGCTCAGGAGGGCTCCTTGGGGTGTGTTTGCTCCCTGAGGTAGAGCAAGGACGTCGTAGAACTGGAGGGGGAATCCTAGGGCCAGTCAAAATGCACCTACACTGTAGAATTCGTACAGTTCGACCCCGCTTTATAACTTTATAAACTTTATAACTTCCATTGTTGAGTGCTATGGAGTTATGTAATTTGTATTTTTGAGTTTTAGGGACTTAGACTCTGACATAGATTAGGTATCCCCTTTCCTCAATTCTTGGGACTCGAAGTGTTGGAATACTTGCATATGCACAACGAGATATTCTGGAGGCGGGTGTCATATGTCTCACATACACCGTATTCATATAGCATGTATATAATTTTATGCACAGCATTCTAAGTACAGGTTTTGTTGTTGTTGCATTCAACAAATTTGAGCCCGTTGATCCATCAAAGAGCAAAGATGTCACCATCTTAGCCACTCATCTGGATAATGTTGGATTTCAGGATCAAGGATAAACATACATGTTTTTGCCTTGATTGTTTTATTGGTTTCATTTGTAACTGTTTGTTTTAATTACTTGTTTGCTTCTGTTTTATTCCTATTGGAAGGAAGCTGCCCTGAGACCCTTCAGGGAGAGAGGGCAGGTTAAAAATAAAGTTTGTTATTGTTCATTCGTTCAGTCATTTCTGACTCTTTGTGACTTTATGGACCAGTCCATGTCAGAGCTCCCTGTCAGTCGTCACTACCCCCAGCTCCTTCAAGGTAAATTGGCAGTCTTCAGAAAGAACTTAAAGACCTGGCTGTTCCGATGTGCCTTCCCCGATTAGGAAATCTCCAATACCAAGTCCTAGAAGCACTTTATTAGAATTAAGATTACTGCACACTGCACTTGCTCTATAATCCGTACATATCACCTGTCACATCAGCACTTTTAATCCTGTACCCTTTACTCTGGCCCGGCCCAGTTTTATCGTGTTTTGATGTATTGTTTATTGCTTGTTGTTTTGTTGTTTTAATACTACTTTAATTGTTTTAATTTGCTTTAGGTGTATTGTTATGTTGTGTATTGAGGGCTTGGCCTTTGTAAGCCGCATCCAGTCCTTCGGGAGATGCTAGCAGGGTACAAATAAAATTTAATAATAATAATAATCCAGTCACTTCAAGGATACCATCCATCCATCTTGCCCTTGGTCGGCCCCTCTTCCTTTTTCCTTCCATTTTCCCCAGCATCATACTCTTCTCTAAGCTTTCCTTTCTTCTCATGATGTGGCCAAAGTACTTCATCTTGGCCTCTACTATCCTTCCCTCCAATGAGCAGTCGGGCTTTATTTCCTGAAGTATGGACTGGTTGGATCTTCTCACTGTCCAAGGCACTCTCAGAACTTTCCTCCAGCACCACAGTTCAAAAGCATCTATCTTCCTTCTCTCAATCTTCCTTATGGTCCAAAAAAACCCCCAAATAAAAATAAAGTTTATTACTTTTTTTATTATTATTATTACACAACCTATATTTATGTTGCTAGACTTAGAGGAAGAGGGGCCATGGTGGTGCAGTGGGTTAAACCGCTGAGCTGAAGAACTTGCTAATAGGAAGGTTGGTGGTTTGAATCCATGGATGGGGTGAGCACCCGTTGTTAGCTCCAGCTTCTGCCTACCTAGCAGTTTGAAAACATGCAAATGTGAGTAGATCAATAGGTACCACTTCTGCAGGAATGTAATGGCGCTCCATGCAGTCATGCTGGCCACATGAGCTAGGAGGTTTCTACAAACAATGCCAGCTCTTTGGCTTAGAAATGGAGATGAGTACCACCCACCAGAGTCGAACATGACTAGACTTAATGTCAAGGGGAAACCTTTAGATATAGTGGAAAATGTGGCCTTCAAACTGGAAAAACAATTCAAATTAATGGACAAGCACTAATGAAGGCCACCCAATTTAAATACTCCATCTATGGAGACTTTCTGGTCTCCATAGATGGCAACAAATACCAGACGTACAGTTACAAATAAATACAGCCTGGTTGAAATGGCGGAAAACTATTGGCATTCTGTGTGACTCAAAAATGCCTGAATAACTCAAGGCTAAGATCTACACTACAGTTGTTCTCTCAGTAGCTCTCTACGGGGCAGAGTGCTGGCTAGGAATAAAGAAACATGAACAAGCTTTTAACACAATGGAAATAGAAATGCTGAGATGGACACTTGGCCTGACATTTCTTGACTATGTGATAAATGATGACATCCATCAAAGACTAGGAATAAAAGTGATCAGGAAGAAAATGCAGGAAGCGAGTCTGTGGTGGTACGGCCATGTCATTAGAAGAGAACTAACATCAGTAGCACAAACAGCACTACATTTGGAGATTGCAGGACAATGACCATTTGGATAGTCAAAGACGTATTGACATCATCAACAAAGACATACATGCTGCCAACCTGAGACCTGAAGATGCTGAAACAAAGCCCTGACAGTTGCAATGCTAACCCCTCCATAGGAAAATAGCTTAGAAAGAAGAAGACATTGAGAAAAAAAGTGTTACATAATATTCCTTGGGTATATAGATCAGGCATGGGCAAACTTGGGCCCACCAGGGGTTTAGGCCTTCAACTTTAATAGCCAGAAGGAATTGTGGGAGTTGAAGTCCAAAACACCTGGAGGGACCAAGCTTGCCCATGCCTGGTATAGATCAACACAGGCTTGTGATGGGCTTTTTTTAAAAAAACATTGTAGCTGTTTTGCTTAGTTTTGGGTGCTGAATTTGAAAAGCACCATCAAAAATGTCATGCCACACAATTCTCACGAATTTCATGGCTCATTTCAATACGAATTTCATTTCAGTCACATCTTGCAACCTAAAAATGTCAAAGCAAAATGTGAAAAATGTAGAACAGAGCAAATCTGTGGTCATTTTTTGATTTAGAACTTTACATTCCTTTAAAAGCACATGCTTTTTAAAAATAAGTTTTTATGGTCCTCAATTCTGCTGATGTGTAATTTATGACATATAACAGGCATTATTAACCTGTTGCAAAACACAACAGAATCATCTTGTAGTTCTTTATAAATTAACAGAATTTAAAAGCTTTCTAGCTAAAAGAAAATGGGATGGGAAAGGTTAGTACACCGTGTGTTGATAGCATTGAATTTTTGCTGTTCTTGTTGTTAACCGCTGTGAATCGCCTAAGGGCTGAGAACAGCGGTATACAAATAAAGTAAATAAATAAATAAATAAATAATACACATGGCTGGGAGGCTGCCAATGAATACCAAGTGCTGTATTTTTATTACCGTGTGTTGATAGCATTGAATTTTTGCTGTTCTTGTTGTTAACCGCTGTGAGTCGCCTAAGGGCTGAGAACAGCGGTATACAAATAAAGTAAAGCAAATAAATAAATAAATAAATAATACACATGGCTGGGAGGCTGCCAATGAATACCAAGTACTGTATTTCAGAACTAGGAGGAATTGTTAAAATCGCCTCTTAAGAATTCCTTGCCTAAGAAAACTACAAAATTCACGGAGTCCCCATGAATCAACAGGCAACTTGAAGGCACACACAAACATGGTCTTGGACCCCATATGAACTCATGAGTAAAACCAACGGGATTCTGAACATCATTTAGATCAAGGGATCTCTTATGGCATTCCGATTTTGTGGACTTCGAGCCATTTAGTCATCAGGATAGTATACTCTGTATACATTGTAATGCAATCATATATTTTTATCACTCATGCTCCTCTTGTTTATTCTTTTTTTAAGAATATACAGATTAGTTGAAACCTAAGTCAGGTCATAACCAAATCTTCTGCATGACTTTGTTAAAAAGAGTCGCTTGGCTAAAACAGTGCAATAGTTTAAGCAATGGTCACAAATATGGTACTACTCTCTGGCATATCAATGACAAGAATCCTATGCTTGTTCCTCACATCACATAGACAAAACCCGTCCTTCTTAGCCCTGTCCTCACAATAAATACAAAGTCTCTTCCCTACTTTATAGGCTACATGGCAGCAGGAGATCTGATGAAGTATTTTGCTATTGTTATGCTAAGGCATATAGTTTCCATTCTTTTGAATGAAAAATTGAGCTTCCATTTTTAAATATTTTACAAACATAGTTTTGATCTCTGTTATAGACTGTATTTTGCACTTTGCTGCAGGTTCTCCTTATCCTCACCCATTTCCCAAATCCCAGACTTCCCAGCTTCTTGATAGATTTCACTTGCAGTTTTTAAATGTGCCGTAATCCTTTTGTTCTGTATATTTTTTTGTTAAAATCGAATTTGTTAGTATACCTTTGATTGCTTAGTTTTTGTATAGTATGGTATCCATTTAACAGCACTATTTATTTATTTATTTATTTATTTATTTATTTATCGTGTCATCCGTAACCAGAACATTGTGTTACATTTCTAACAGAACAAAACAAACAGATTAAAAACAAACAAACACAGCACTGTATCATCTTCATTTTTTAATAATAACAAAAAAACAATGTTAATATTGCACATCCTTGAACATTTTAAATTCTAAATACTATATACTATAATAGTCACTTTGAATTAAATCCCAATACATTAAATGGGAATGGCAGTTGTTATGTGCTTTCAGTTCAACTCTGGCTTTTGGCAGCCTTATGGCAAGATTTATTCAGAGCAGGTTTGCCTCTGCCAAAGTCAGTCAGTGGGTTTCCATGGCTGAACAGTAATTCAAATGCTGGTCTCCTGGACTCTTGATCCATTACTCAAAACACCAGATCATGTTAGTTTTGAGGCTTATTCTTACTTACTGGGAAATACAATGAGCATCAGCTGGGTTTAATTTCATGCTGTTCCCCAAAATAGCAAAATCCCTGGTTGCTTATTATCCGATTATGGTATATTAAAATGATGTCCCTTATATAACATGCCAAAGCAAGTTTTCAGTTTTGAAATTTTACACACACACACACACACACACACACACACACACACACACATGAATGACTGAATCTATGGATACAGAATTTGTGAATGTAAATGGCCAAGTATAGATACAGAAATTCAGCCCAAATTGGATTTTGTATCCTCTTAAGTGTCATTAAATCTTTTTTGAAGTTACTTCTGATTAGTCATGTATGTGATGTTACTGTAAAAAAGTACTGTTCTTGAAAAACAGAACCTATAGTCCATTTATAGTTTTTATTTCTTGGCCTGTTCATTTGGCACTAGACTATATTGCTATTTGGACATAGATAGATTTGTTGCTTGGATCCCCTTCCAAATAGGAGGGAAAATGTGCAAAATTTGACTTAAGAACTGCCTCAGTGTTCTTTGAAGAGGTTTTCTTTACTCACATTCTGCTTTTGAAACACGACTGTGCCAAGTTCTCCTGTCTAGTTGAGTTCCATATATTTTACAATAAGATGCAGAAAATTTTGGCCAAATGTCTTTTTATAGTGTTTTCTTGGTATATAAATGGTGAATAGATTAAAAGTGTCTTGTAAATATGAAGCCCAAACTGCCTCTATTAAATTAATTGTAAATTAATATGTTAACAGTTTTGAATTGTCTTGACTAAAATGTCGAAAGTGGCATTATAGGCCTTTTAAAGTAATCCATTTCTAAGCCATTTCTAAGCTGAAGAGCCGACGTTGTCCATAGACACCTCCAAGGTCATGTATGCCTCCAAGGTCATCTATGCTATATGCTGAGCAAAATAATGGAATTATCAAAGGAGCTTACATTTAAGGAAATATGGATAGGACAAAGGTGAAAGAAAATCAAGGTTCTTATCTTTTTTTCCTTTTCTTTTATTTCCATGTCAGGAGGGACTTGAGAAACTGCAAGTCGCTTCTGGTGTGAGAGAATTTGGTCGTCTGCAAGGACGTTGCCCACGGAAATGCCATGATGTTTTTGATGTTTTACCATCCTTGTAGGAGGCTTCTCTCATGTCCCCGCATGGGGAACTGGAGCTGACAGAGGGAGCTCATCCACACTCTCCCAGGATTCGAACCTCTGATCTGTCGGTCTACCAGTTTAACCCATTGCGCTGCTGGGGGCGCCTAGATTCTTATCTGTGGATGGCATATACCTGATGATGCAATGAGTTCGCAACTTATTTTTTTCTTTCACATTATTCCTCCAAGTGCCAAAAAAAGGTTATACACATTAAATTTAATGAGTAATGCCATTAATTCCTTCTGCAATTACTATGACATCATGGAGTTAATGTAACTCTTTAACTCCTCCTGCTAATCACACCCGGCTGTCACATGTAATATATGTTGAATGTCTTTTATACAAAGTAATCTTGTATATTCTGCAAAGCTGTAACATTTCACCTTTTTGTTTTAATACAGAATGGGTCAATGTTGCCAATGATCTTCTCACAAAATGCAATCTAAATCTACATGTCAACAGTCTCTCTGATTGTGGAGCTGAAGTGTTTACTCAGCTTTATGAATCAATATTGGGAGAGAGTGTTCCAGGTAAGAATAAGTGCATCCTACCATCTTCTTTCCTTGGGTGATATTTTCTGCACGCTGGTGAAATAAGTTTATTTTTATCAGCTTCCTCATTTACATCCTGTTTTTTAAAGACAATACAAGTTAAAAACAATGCAAATGTCAAAATAAAATATAACATTTGAAAAACAAATAGTTCATTAAAAAACTGTATGCAAACCCTTAAAAAACAGTAAAAGGCAGTATTAAAAGCCCACACCATGTCAGTTTATAAAAGCCTGACAACACAAAAATGTCTTGACCTGCCAATGGAAAGAGAGCAAGGAGGGGAACATCTTGGTCTTTCCAGGGAGAGAGATTCAAAGCCTGAGAGTAGCCACCAAGAAGGCCCTTTCTCTTGTTCTTACCAAATGAGTCTGAGAAGAAAGTGGGCAGAGGGGAAGGCCTCTCCAGACAATCATAGAAGTTTTAAAGGCTCATAAGGCAATACACAGTCCTTCAAATAACCTGGGCCCAAGCTGTGTAGGGCATTACTTCTAAATGATAATTTTAAGCAGTGTCATGATAATTTAAAATGCATTGTTCTTATGTGTTCTTTTAACCCGATGCTTCAACTAGTTTAGGTGTTACATGTTTAACTGTTATTTCATGTTGTATTTCAATACATTGCTTTTTAAACAATACCAGCATCCAGCACTTTGAATTACACTTGGAAACAGACTGGCAGCCAGTAAAACACTTGCAGTAAGGGAGTTGTGTGCTGCCTGTAGCCAGCTCCATTTAGCAACCTGGCTGCAGAGCGTTGGGCCAACGGAAGTTTCTAACCATTTTCCAAAGTCAGCCCCACATAGAGTACATTACAGTAATCCAAACAGGATGCATCTAAAGCATGTTCAGTTTAGCAGAAATACAGTGAGTTGAGTTGTACATAAATAGCAATATATAGCTTCCACCCAAGAGTTTTTCATAACATACCGAACAAATTATTGCATCTTTTAAATGGTCAAAATCCCCTAGTTGTAATTAAACTTAAAAGACCTAAAATGTTAAACACTGCTGTACTGTAACGTCAGACTATCTCTAGATATCCTTCTTGACTACCCAGGAATATCTTTCTCCTAAGTGGTTGGTTTCTTCTTTTACCCACATTGTGTTTTGGGAATTACTGAAGCTGCTTTTGTGATAACACTGAGTTTATGCTGTTACAGCTGCAAAATGCAATCCTATCTGTGCCTGAGAGTAAATCCCATTGAGTCCAGTGGCACTTCTGAATAGAGTTATAGTGACTGACATGTTGTTGGTTAGTTCTAATTAGGGTAATCCCATTCAGTCAAAATACAGGTCAAATGTCTTGATCCAGTGGAGATACTCTAGTTTGGACTAACAACAGGATTTAAGTCATTGAATTGCAGCTGTGGTTATTTTGACAAATGGTGTTCTTATCCCAAGCATGAAAATCTTAAGGCCCCTTCTATACTGCCATATAAAATCCAGATTATCTGCTCTGAACTGGATTAAATGGCAGTGTAGATTCATATAATCCAGTTCAAAGCAGATAATGTAGATTATCTGCTTTGATAATCTGGATTATATGGCACTGTAAACAGGGCCTAAGATTTTTTCTCTGAGGGTTTTTCTTTCTAGCACTGAATGTAATAACAGTTTGATATTCTCATATGTTTATCTATTGTTATATGACCTACAAACTTTTGTGAAAAGATCTCCGTGGACTTGCACTTAGATTACATGAGAAGTAGATAGTTTTTCAAGTTTATTCAGTATCTTATTCTATGTGGTAACAGTATGATATAATTCCATTACTTTATAGATTTCATTGCTGTACCAAGTTGTCAAGAAGATGATGCGCATAACGTGCAGGCGGTAATCGATTCTTTGGCATTGGATTACTTGCAAGTCAGCTTATCACATATAACTGGTACGTACTCATATCTTAATAGACAGTATGTTGTTGGAAAAACATACAAAATAACCTTGCAACCCAGTCTGTCAGACATTTGCCATTTAGAGTAAGATGAAATATATGTGAGTGCTTGTCTGCTTGGAACCAGAAAGAATTTATTTAATCTTGGATATTTAAGAAATCTGAATGTATAATATGGAAATTTTATGAGTCAGTTTTAAAGACTGTGATCTTGTTTGGTTGGAAGTAACGTCCATTTGAGTGTTTTATAAGTAAAGCAGGAGACGATTTGTACCGCAGGGTACATATTCCCATCAAAAACAATGAAAAATAGCCAATGCAGTTATTTTGGAAGAAGTAGCCTTGCAGTGCAATCAGTTTCGGGTTTATTCAGAAGTAAGTGCCATTTAGTTCAGTGGGCTTATTCCCAGGTAATCAGGTATAAAATTGATATATTTCAGAACAGTGAATCTGTAAGCTAAGGTACTTGCTAGAAGATGATTTTGGTTGGGTAAAATTAACAACACCCTTATTTCAACTGCTAACACTACATACAAGGGGGGGGGGGGAAGAGTCACGGCTTATCTTAGAAAGCCTCCAACTCTTTATAACAGAACTTACAGCAGCTTTTGTTGTATTGTACTCAGTCAAAATTAGATCACACTCTAGGATCCTGATTTATAATGGCAGCAGGGAAGAATGTTAAATGCTGTGCTTCATGTGAGTATAACCTTCAGCGACACGGAGAAAAGCTGTAATAATAAATAGTGACAACTTGTATATCATACCATAAGGACTTTGCACCTAACTGTATTATTATTATGTATCATCACCATCATTATTATTAGTGCAGAGATGCAAAATAGTAGTCCATGATATTTTTTGGCCTACAGATCTCATCAATCCTAGCCATCATAGCCAGAAGGAATATTAGGGAAGTTGCAGTCAAAAACATCTGAAGGACCAGAGTTTTGCCTATCTCTGAGGTAGCTGGTAAAGATGTGGAGCATAAACTAAATTGTACTTACAAGTGAATGTTCTAAAGCTTGCTCTGATTGTGTTGACATTATTATCGCACGTTCCCCTATTTCAGTACTGAACATGTGATTCAGTTTCTGTGTTTCTAACTGAACAAGAGAAGCGACTTGCAGTTTCTCAAGTCGCTCCCGACACGACAAAAAATAAATAAATAAAATAAACAGAACAAGAACTGACTTCTCACCAGAACTGTTTACAGCGGAACCTCTACATAAAAGCATCCCAACTTAAGAACATTTTGAGTTAAGAGCTATCGCTCGGCCCAGGTTTTGCTTTGACACAAGAGCAGCATTTTGAGTTAAGAGCTAGCTTTAGAGGGATAGCTAACGCCAGAGTGCAGGGCTTCAGGGCTTCAAAAGAGCAGCCTCCCTACCTTGTGCTTTGAGAAAATGCTGTCCGCAATTTGGGTTAGTTGATTTTGAGTGGTTTTTATTCCTGGTACATTTGGTTTAATAGGGATGCTAATTTAAAATGCATTCCTGTGCCCTGGTCCAGACCATTCTTATTCCCATTGTACCTTCAATGCTTTTTGCCTTCGTTCATACAAGATTAACCCATTTCTGTTCAGGAGAAAATATTGTGAAGGGAGACAAGGAATCCATTAGAAATCTCTTGGAAATATTTGATGGCCTACTTGAATATCTTACTGAAGACATAAGTGAGACTGCTTCTCAGAATGGCGGTGAGCAAAAGGACATAGCATTTTCTATGTAGATTAGTAATTTTGAATATTTGCATGTAGTTGCATTTTTGCACCTATGGGGCTGTTGGTAGGAAGAGGGTTCAAATAAAGTGTACTAACCTTTCACTTTAATCACAGCTACTATATAATGTAATAATATTTTATTTATATTCTGCTCTCCAAGGGGACTCAGAGCAGATTGAAACATACACAGATAGGCAAACATTCAGTGCCTTTAATACAGTGGAATAACAATGAAACATAAATACACAGAACAAAGGTAACGGCTTCCCCTTTCATCTCCAGCTTCTGGAGGGAGTGCTCAACCCTGGCTATGGGGAGGTGCTCTTGTTCCATTTCCAAGCTGAGAAGCCTGTTATCTGTAGACACCTCCTGGTCGTATTGCCGGCATGGCTGCATGGATGCTTTTATTACCTTCCTGCCGAAGCAGTACCTATTGATCTACTCACATTTGCATGTTTCCTAACTTAGGTTGGCAGGAGCTGGGGCTAACAGTGAGCACTCACCCTGACCCATAGCTTTGGGGTCCGGGTGAGCTTCTGAACCCAGGTATTGTCTATGCACACACTCATTCCTTGCAGTGCATTGTTAAAGTTTACTATTTATGAATAATTTCTGTATTTTGTATAAGTGGTTATCGACCATTATATAGACCATTGTGCCCAAACAATATCATTTTGGGACACAAATTGTGCGCAGTTGGAAATGGGTATAATTTGGAAAGAAAGTGCTCTTGCAACTTTTCATCTTGATGGCAAAGATCTCTCCAGTTATAATATTTGCTGCTTTTTTACAGATAATTTTAATCAGATGGCTAAAGATGAAGTCCAACATCATCTGGGAGAGCAAGAAGGTGGCCAAGAGATACCAGTTCCCTCCCTAGAGCTACCATCAGCTGTGGGGTAAGGCAGGTTCATTATGACAGTGTTGTCAACTTTATCTTTCTGTGCACCACTTTGATTATATATGCCACCTTTTTTGGAGATTGGGACTCAAGATGACTCCAAAAAGACCAACAAGTACAATAAAAACATATAGTGACAGTATTAAACAACAGCAATAACATAGCATATTATTTACCAGCATTGCATAGCCTTTAACATGTTAATGCAAATGCCCTGAAGACACCAAATCCCATCTCATCTTGGAAACTAATCAGAATCAACTCTCATAATACTTGGATGCGAAGATACCAATGGAAACCAGGTGTTATATAGGCTATATGTCAGAGGAAAGGACTAGTAAGACTACCGCTGATTTTTCCTTGCTAAGAAAGCCTTGTGAAATTCATAGGGTCAGTATACGTCAACATGCATGTTGAAGGTACATGCACACATCATGCATGTAAGTCATAGCCGATGCATAGGGGATGTTCCTTCAAAGCCATAACAAATAGTGCAGCTCTTGAGCCTGGTTTCAGAGATCGTACTGCTCGGCATTCTGAGAGGATTTTGTGTAGCTGTCTGCAGATTTGACACATCTATCTGAAATCTGTCAATTATGTGAGAATGCACATGTACACACTATTCACATTTCTGCCTATTTTATGCTATGTCTGATATTCAAAATGTGGACAAACCGATTGAATTAATAATTAATTTAAAATCATATAATTCAGTGGTTCTCAACCTGTGGGTCCCCAGGTATTTTGGTCTACAACTCCCAGAAATCCCAGCCAGTTTACCGGCTGTTAGGTTTTCTGGGAGTTGAAGGCCAAACCATCTGGGGACCCACAGGTTGAGAACCACTGATATAACTGAGTTTATATCCTAGCTTGCTGATCCAAAGTTAATCTAAGAAAGTGGCTCTGCAATTATTGAAGCAGGATCATATGTTGTCCTGGTGTCATACTGATTTTATACTGAGATATGTAGTGTGTGGTCACTTAATGGTTCCCATGTTTATCCTATTAAGGGTATCTTAGATAAATGTGCAAGTCATCATGAATGCAAAATGAAACTATCAATGTAAAATTTGCTGTTATGTTTTCAACTAAATATATTGAAGTAGTCCTATGGATTGTTTGAACTTGAGCACCACCTTGTGGTAAAATGAAGGACATAAATAGAGTAAATTTTGTAAATTAACTTGTTTGATTTAAATTGAGCTGTATTCCAGTGTGAGTCACAGAATTATAGATTGCAAGAGACCATCCGGTCCAATCCCCTGCCATGCAGGACAAGCACAATAAAAGCACCCCCAACAGATGACTATCCAGCCTCTATTTAAAAGCCTTCAAAGAAGGAGTCTCCACCAGACAGAGTGTTCCACTGTTGAACAGCTCTTATGTTCAGGAAGTTCTTTCAAATGTTCAGGTGGAATCTCCTTTCCAGATATTTGAACCAATTACTTTGATTCCTACTCTCTAGGGCAGCAGAAAACAAACCTCCTCCTTTTTCCTAATGTCCAAGTAGTTAAACATGGTTATCATGTCTATTCCCAACTTACTCTTCTGCAGGCTAAACATACCCAGCTTTTTAAGCCGCTTCTCATAGATCATGGTTTCAAGTGAACTTTCTGTTTAAATTGTTTTCCATTTAGGTCTCCTCTGTCATTGGCAAGAATCCCATCAGAAGAGGTAGATGGTTCAGAAACAACAAGTGAACTAATTAAGCTGGGTGACACAGCTTATTTGTTCTCCCTGAGGAATGACGGTGAGAGATCTTTGTTGGCAAATGAGAATTTTTAGATAGCTAATGCATGGAAGCAGTTTTAGATCCTTCTCTAAATGATCGGCTTATAACTGCATACCATAAGAACGGAGAAGTTTCCATTTTACTATAAATTCTTCTCCCTTTATTGAGGTGAACAGGCCTGACTTGATAATGAAACATTTTTACCTTTCTTTTTTTGCATTACATTTTGTAAGTGCAGTTTTTGCATTAAATTTTGTAAATTTCAGTAAGTGAAAACAACTGGCACTTCTGATTTCTATTAGATCAAGATGCAAAAGTATTACAACTGTACAACCTTAGTGTAAACTGAAATTTACTAGCTTGGTGACCTAACACTAAACAAGTACTGAAATGATAGGGGTAGGCCACATGATGATGAGCATACAGCTGGAAGCAGCAATATAAGAAAATACATTCATTTTGTGTGGTCCATAAAACACATTCTCATCACACACTAGTCTTGTTTGATTTCTGTGTAGCAGGAAGGATTATTTTAACCAAAGATGGATGTCAGAAACTTCTTCCTAATGGGACAAAGGGAGGCATGAACTGGTTTGTAATTGAAATATGCGTCTTTGACAATCTATTTTAAAATTGAGCTTTCTGGGGAGCAATTACTGTATATACTTGAGTATAAGCCTAGTTTTTCAGACCTTCTTTTTAGGCTGAAAAAGTCCCCCTCGGCTTATACTCGAGTCAGGGTTATTTATTATTTTACTCTGTTATAAATACACGATAAATGCATTATTATTATTACATTTATTATTTTACTTTATTATTGTTATTATTGCATTTATTTTTTTACTCTATTTATTATTATTGTTAATATTACATTTCCATTATATTACTCTATTATTATTATTACCTTTACTATTTTAATCTATTTTTATTGGAAGGATACACAAGCACATTTACATTTTAAAAAGGTCAGAATGATTTAATCACAGTTGGGCAGTCTTATCTTAAATATTCAAAAACATTTAACTTCTTGATGCCTCAATTAATGAAATTATATTTGTATCTATTTTTATTTTGAAATTTACTAATAGCTGCTGCATTTCCCACCCTCGGCTTATACTCGAGTCAGGCCCGTAGCCAGGACTTTGTTTCGGGGCGGGGACTGAGTTTGGTTTTTGGGGGGGGGGGGGGGGGGGCTGGGTCTGAGTGAAAGAGGGTCTACCCTAGCAAACCTTTTGTATCGTTACCCCAATACCCCCATGCATATGGGATATATTGAGCATGGTGATCAGATCATGATATGAATAAACATAACAGTTTAAATAATGTACCAGTAAGGCCTTCTCGCGGATCACCATGAGAATTTGGGGGGGGGGGCTGAAGCCCCCCAAGCCCCCCCCCCCCCAGCAACATGCCTGAATCGAGTCAATCAATTTTCCCAGTTTTTTGTGGTAAAATTAGGTGCCTCGGCTTATATTCGGGTCAGTTTATACTCGAGTATATACAGGGGTAATTGATTGATAAGCCTTTGAATACTACATAAATCAGTTCATTGGTTACTTTTGCCCACAAGGGAGGGTAAGCATCCTCTGTGCATTCCAAATTGAGAGTTTTCCAAAAAGGGAGCACCTGAACAGATTCACCATAAATTAATATTTCCTTTCTATGTGGAACTCTTAATCCTTAAAGTCGAACTATGCACTGGGGGCCAGTTTTTTCCTCTCTATATGAAAAGTTTGATCTTTTGACAATTCCCTTCAAAAGAGAAAAGAAGGCCTCATCTACACTGCCATATGATCCAGTTTCTGATCCCTTATTATCTACTTTGAACTGGATTATATGGCAATGTAGACACATATAGCCCAGTTCTAAGTAGATAATCTGGGATCATATACTGGATTATATGGCAGTGTAGATCCAGTTGAAGTCACTCTGCCTACTCCAGCACTGGCTTAAGTTCTTCTTCATTCCAAGACATTTGTTGTGAATGAACATTCCCTTAACAGCCTCACATGCCTCCTTAGACCCAGGAAGGAGTTTTGTCTACTTCCAGAGAGGAAGCTCTGCCCTCAATACCCTGTAGCCCAGGCATGAACAAACTGCAGCCCTCCAGGTGTTTTGGACTTCAACTCCTACAATTCCTAACAACCCATTGTCTGTTAGGAATTGTGGCAGTCGAAGCCCAAAACACCTGAAGAGCCAAAGTTTGCCCATGCCTGCTGTAGCCCCCCTCCAAGAATTAGCAGAACTGTACTATTCAACATTTGCATTCAAGCAGTGGTAATAACATGTCAATATCTCTAAGGCTTGCCGTCAGAAAGAGAAACATCCATGAAAACTTTGGACTCTGAAAAGCAGGAAGGTTTTAGAGTGCCGTCGGATTTCCCCTCAAGTGGCAGAAGCGTTCATTTCACAGAAACTAAAGGTGAGTGTAGCATCCTTGGGAAGAGTGCCTAAAATATCTTGTTCTCTTTTCTTGAAAGGGGTGTGGGAAAGTGTGACCAGTTTTATTACTTTGCTAGAGCATCTGATTGTTGTTTGTGTATAAAATTAAAATGTGCTTGGAACTGGACGCCTTCTAGTAAGATCTGAGAGGGCAGTGTTTTTATCAAAATGTCCTAATAATTTATACAAACATTCATAAATAACTTCTTGTCATGCTGGAGTCAGTACTCTTAAAGGAAATGGCCTAGCAGCATGTCTGACGTGCATTAATTGTACAATGAAAAAAATCGATCAAATCTCTAAACTGACATATCTTTAAGGAGCAGCAAAGTCTTCTGAGTTGTCTAGAGAGCAGCCGAGTTCCAGTGCTAAAAAGCTTGGGGAACCCATTCGCCCAGCAATTCCTTTGCAGCCTCCCTACCAGCCTTCTGTACCCAGGATGTCTCACCCAACAGACAGAAAAGACATAAGTTTGGGCAGGCAATCCCCGTCATCCAAATCTCAGCACGCATCCTCTGATGTAAGTTTGATGCCTTTGTATCCTTTTACTTGGGATATCTGCCTTAAGGTTACCATTGAACTAGGCTGTCACTTAGCAGGAATGGGCAACAATGGGTCTATTCCCTGTCTTTGCCATCCTCTGGGAGCTACATAGACTGTTAAAATCTTCCCCATCATCACTAGAAGCGATCAGCAGTCCACTTTTGGTGTTAGACAGTGCAAGGAGTGCTTATGACCGTTGTCAAAGGTGAATTACCTTTCCCAGAAGTTTCCAAGAGAGGCAGATTGTTCATCTTCAGAGACAAAAGTGCAATAGCGGAGTGGGATGGGGAATTAGGTTTGAAGTTGTCAAAACAACCTGAGGGGCTTCATAAAACTCCAAAGCCTCAATGTGTCTAATCCTTGATTTCAGAGGACAAAAGGCAAAGAATATCCATGGTTGTATAGCACTGTATCACTAAGCTACTAGGAGAAAATAATAGAATTATAGAGTTGGAAGAGACCATAAGGGCCATCTACATAAACCTATTTGAAATCTAGAATTCACAGAAGTTTTGTGGACAACAGTTAAAAAGTAGCCCAATCTCTCTTACTTGGGGGATAATTCAACCCTCCAGATGTTGTTAGACTGCAGCTCTAGCAAACATAGTGATGATGGATGCTGAGACTTGCAGTCCGACACAGAATCCCCACCCCGGCATCAGACAATGGTTTAACATACCATACAAACTGCAACGTATTTCTTTTATTTGTTTATTTGTTTATTAATTATTTATCCATTTTTTTCTGAATATGATGACATTGATATTTGTTTCTCCTGCCCTTTTGAGATTTTCTTTGTGGAAAAAAAAATAAAAAGTTCCCATGCATTTTGTGATCAGTTCTGTTTTGCGTAATTTTTATTCATATATTTTTTAAAAATCAGTTTAAAAATGCATGCCTTTGCAGGCTGAAGAACCCCCTGAAGAAGAGTCGGCAGTCCTCTCAGGTGGTCACGTTTCACAATCAAAGATGACCTCTGGTAAGAGCAAACCCTCGTTCATAATAAATTGTGTTTTAATATCCCTTCAGAAGTTAGTGTTTGTTGCTCTGAACTCAAACTCTAAGTGCAGTGAGAAAGGCGTCTTTGAAAATCTTGTCAATGTCCTTATGTGTGAGGTTGACCATTTCCTTTGTGATTGGTGTTCTGAATGGCAGTGCTCTAGTCTAGTTGCAAGGCAAGGTGTGCTCCTCCAGACTTCATTGGATGTCCGAGTCTCATCATCCCTGACTCTTGACCACATTGACGTGAGATGATGGTGGCAGAAACACAACACCTAGTATTAATACAAAGTTGTCCTGTTACTGTATTCTTAATTAAGAATACAGTAACAGGAAAACTTTGTATTATTACCAGATATATAGATATCGGTTTAGTTAACTAGGAATACAGCACTCTCAGCCCTGCTCAGAGTACACATCTATGCTCTACATATGTGCTTAGTCCAGCCCCACTCCCCTTGAAACTTGGGAACTGATGTTTTATAAAGTGATGGTGATTATTACATTTTAATTTTTCTCACCTCTGCCATTCTTAGTACTACCGGTATTTGGGATGAGAAAACCATGGTTGTTAAGGCTTTAATTCTTACATATGCACATAGGAATTGAACTCAGTTGGTTTTACTTCTAAGTAAATAAGTATATTAAACTCTAAACCTATTTAGCATAAATTAAAAATGGAATTAATAAAATTCTTCTTGGCGAAAACATTCAGTTTGTCCAACTAATCCTTTTAAGTCTTTGCTCATGCAGCACCTATTCTTTGCAAAGGAGTTTGCTGGACACACATTAAAGGAAATGTTGCTGGAGAGAGAGGGATTCTCTAATATGTGTCTAGTCAGTCTGTGACAGAAATAGACAAAGTTGCTGGTAATATTGATTTTTTTTCCTCTTTTTGGAGAGAGAGTTTAAATCTAGAAGGAAACCTATCAGCCACAATGCCAGCAGAGAACGTATAAAAGGCTTGAGTTTTCATACTGAGTAATAAGACCTTCAGTCTCAACTTTCCTGCTGTGTCACTGCTGTGCCACATAAATTTACATACCTGTATTTCTATATTTATACATTTATCACAAATCACAAATTAATTCCTTGTTGCTTCTCGTGTCAGATCATCCAACTAGAGATGAGGAGCAAACATCAGAAGTTGTTTCAGACAAAGTAACTGATGCAACAATTGTGCCAGAAGATGGCATAGATTCAAGAAAGGTAACTGATTATTTGTTTCTTGCAGGATATAAATAAATTTGCATGTGTTGTTGTTTCAACTTTATTCAACCATAGAATAAAGCTTGAAGCAAACCAAACATTAATAAAATTAATAGCTCCTGTTGTATAAATTAGAAAACAGTGCTGTTATTATGATACAGATTTAATATGTGTCTTCATAGTTTTATTGCTTTGCATGGTGCTATGTGGAATAACTAGAAACAGTCTCTGGCCAAGGAGCTTGCAACTTAAAATTTGAATGAAAGGCCACGGAGAAGGAATATTAATGGCGTTGAATACATTTAACATGTACTCGGCCTTGTTTCTTGGAAGAAATGAAGACTGGAGCAACTTTTTCTTCTAAAATGTATATTTCAAGGAGGGATTCTCTCAAAGAGAGAGGGGCAGCATTATATAGGTATTTTCTGATGGTGTTTGAGTTATATAGGAGATCAGAGATTAAAAGAACAGGAGGGCTTAGGATGATGGAGTAGGTCCTGAATTGGTACAGAGAGATATGTGAGTAAAACATGTTAAGGATAAAAGGTGCTGGAATAGATAGGAAGTTGGGCTATCTGTAGTCTACAATAACAAATTGATTTTTGACATCTATGCTTAAATTTGATGTTAATACAATAATTTTGCCCCAGCAATTTAAGCTCATGATTCCAAACAAAAATTAATGTTGACTTGTTACAGCTGATGGTACATTTATCCAGCTGTGTTTATGTTTGCCTAAACATAAGATGGATGACTTCGTCTCCTTGTATCTGATTACAGCTTCAAAACCCGCAGTGTTGCTTCATAGGATGTACACCACTGTTGTTGTGTCAAGCTTTTCCTTGATTAAGGGAAGTACGCCCACAAATCATTCCCAGAATGGACAATCTATTGTAATCTGGTTTGAAACTCATGAGTCAGACTTAGCCATGTTGAGATTTTAAAAGATTGTGCTTCTTGTTTTCTTTCCGAAGCATTTAGCTTTTAAAGAAACAGTACATTTGGTGATGTCTAAACAGATCTCAGCACACATTCCAGCCTGATGTTGTTGCAACTAATAGTGTGCTTTAAAGTGCTGTGAATTTCTTACCAGCATAGCAATCTGGAACTCATGTTTATAGGAGAACCCCAAGTCCTCCCCTTGCTTGACATGGAAAGTAAAATCCTGACCATCCCAATGGCTGCCATGTGTGCTAGTTGAGCACTAAGGTACACTGGAAATGAAGGCATTACTCTCTCCAAATTAGAGGAGAGGTTGGAGATTGGCAGCAGTCATGGTGGGAACTTGTACCCTTGCTGCTATGGCAGCAATTGTAGTATCCTTACATGACGTTAAGGGGACCTGATAGTGGTACAGTTTTGAACTTTATAAAAAGTACTTAATATACAGTAGTTGATTTCTAAATTTGCGGGTAGTACAATAGTTATGGAGCTTATCTCTGAAGGGGATGAGCCTGCCTATCGGGATGAGGTGGATCGGCTGCTCTCGACATGAAGGGACAATAATTTGGTTCTTAACATCAGTAAGACCACGGAGCCCATAGTGGACTATAGAAAGAATAGATCAGAAATTCAGCCCTTGGTCTTAGAGACCAAGTGGAGCGGATGGCTCGTTTTAAGTTCCTGGGTGTCATTGTTAAGGAGGATTTGATCTGGGACACTCATAAGGTAGCACTGGTTAAGAGCTGAACAGAGATTGTACTGTCAGAGACTTCTAAGGAACCAAAAACTGAAAGAAAAATTACTGGTGACTTTCTACTGCTGTCCTAACCTATTTTATCTGTGCATGGTTTGGTCACTGCACAGTGGCAGATAGGAAGACACTTCAAAGGGTCACCACTACTGCCCAGAGAATCATTGCTTGCCCTCTTCCCTCTGTGGTAGAACTTTATAAGTCCCGCAGCCTTAAAGAAGCTAGGAACATTCTTAAGGATCCTTCTCATCCGGCATATGATTTTTTTTAATGATTATCATCTGGCAGATGGTACAGAATGACGAAGACAAGGACAAACAGATTTAGAGATAGCTTTATCCTAGAGCTGTAACTATATTGACCTTCATGGTTTTGCATTGATGTGGCATTGCGGTTGTGATTGGAGTGTGGCGGGATGGATGTGTTGTTTTGTGATGTGTGCTGGGGAAAGCATTTAATTTCATTGTACTATGTACAATGACAATAAAGTTATCTATTCTATTTTCCTAGTTACCTTTATGGTTTGGTTAGAGATTTTTTTTTAAGAAACAAAACACTCTCTGCATTGTTACCTTCCACTAAGGTGATTTGGGCAACTGTGGAGGACTAGGGGTCCATTAGATCCTGAAGTCTCCTTGGAGGCCTGCATCTGTTCCTCTCCCCCCCCCCCCCCCCCAAAGTGCTCCCAAATGCCTTTAACGGGTAGGGGGGCATTTTCACCATGCTTAATGAAAAAGCCTTTCCTGGACCTAAATTGTCCCAGGAAGCTTGTTATTGACTTCTGGGAGTCCCAGCGGGTGGAGATGCATTCCATGTCTCTTCAGTGTGTTTGGACACATTCTGGAACAATTGTTTTGAGAACAATATTCTTGTTTATTGGGTAGATGGAGGCTGCATTAGACCCAGAAACTGCACATTGCCCACTCTGTGCTACAGAAATGCTCTAGACTCTCATCTTCCTTGCCCTGTGTTTTCCTAGCATGGAGGTTGTTGTGATACATAGTTGTCCATCTCTGTTTCCTAGTATGGCAGGGAGATTGGCTGGCTGGCTAGCTGTACTGTTTTGCTTGCTACGTTGGCATTGTGTTTCTGGAAGTGGTTGCCCTTGTCACTTGCATCAAATAATGGCTCCCTTCCTCCAAACAGAATGGGCCTTTTTGGGCTAGCAACACCAGAACATGGGGTGGAATCGTACACTTGCTATGATGTAACCTATACCCTACCGCCTAAGATGACTGTTTCACCTGACTTCATCGAGAAACCAGCCCTACCTGATTAGATTACATGGTAGTCACTGTTACATTTCATCACCTGCCTTTCTCTCGAATTTACTCCCACTTCTCCAGTGACCTCATGTTTAAATTCTCTTTCTAAAAGGAAACGTATGAGAGTTATCAGTACACACCAACGCCTTGTTTTGAGAATACATTACCCCATTCCACATCTGTACAAAGCACAAGACCCAAGCAAAGAAATCTGCTTCTTGGAAAAAGGTAGGCTGAGAACCACTGCTCTAAACTGTATATTATACTAAAGTTTGCTTATTTCACCTAGAGCTTCTTAATATGTGGTTCCACCCTCCCGTGCCAGTTACCAGTGTAAACAGTAGTTTTTTTTCCTTTACCTGTCCTTGATTTTCCATTACTGCAATTGGCCAGGCTGGCAAGAGCTATCAGAAGCTGTGGCCCTATCATACTTGTGCTGAGTTTGAGATTGCTGACATAAGATGATAGCAAGCTAATAACATGTTCTGATTCACCAGACTCATGAAGAATCCAAAGAATGAGGCCTTCGCTATGAGATAACACTATATCTGTACACTGCTATAGATTTAGGCATGAAAATATGTTAAATAAATTAAAATCAAAGTTTAAAAATAAAATTATAAACATGAGTAAAATGAATAAAAACTATTTTAAAAAGTAAATTGAATATCAAAACATGCTTATAGCATTGTGCCTTGCTCCTTCTCAGCCAGACTGAAAGCTTGACACTAACAGACTCCCTTGATGAAGAACCTCTTCCTCACAGAAGGGCAAAGGAAAAACTGTCTCGCCAGGAGTTGCATCACATGTCCCAGAAACTCTCCCGGCGTCTGAATGAACTTGATGCAGTAAGTTGAGCACCATCTAACCTTTGTCATATTGTCACTTTGATTAGTGCCAGATTCCTCTAGCATTAGGAACTGTAGGAAAATGTAGTACATGGTGTGGGCTGCGCTAACATTTCCTAACATTGATTATTCTGAAGGCGATATGGTTTTAAAGGAATAAACTAATTAGTTTATCACTTTTAAGATTGGAGTGAACTTTTGAACTAGTCTAAGGGGAAATGGCTAGTTTTTAGCTGCATCCTAATAATTTCAAACTTGGGGTGGCAGGGCAATAACTGGTTGGTTAGCTTGTGCATCCGCTAGACCACCTATCACGTTGGAACTCAAACACATCCTGCAGAAGTATATAGTCCTCATTAAGGAAATGAATAGACAGATAAATTAGTTGACAAGCAAAGCCCTTCCCCCCTTGCCATCTTTGTCTGCCTGTCTCTCTGTTCTCTCCTCCTATTGCCTTGCTGGTTAGACTAGGCATGGGCAAACCAGCCCTCCAGGTGTTTTGGATTTCAACTCCCAGAAATCTCAGCCAGCTTAGCGGCTGTTAGGAATTGTGGGAGTTGAAGTCCAAAATACCTAGAGGGCCAAAGTTTACCCATGTCTGAGTTAGACTGATACTTCTTAGGAACATACCACTTTTCATTCAAAGTTTCCAGAATGCAGACCTAACCCCCGAGTCCTCCATTTTGTTCATCTCCTGTGATCATGGAGAGAGACAAGATGTCTTCAGAGAGAGAGAGAGAGATAACTAGGTCCTTAGTTTCCTATATAGAAACGTAGATCTTTCAGTAAAGTATTTTGTAACTTTTAAAGCTTAATTCTGGTCCTGTAACTGCTGAAGCTCATGCACTCTACTGCTAGCTCATGAAGCTTCTGATCTGTTAAAATGTTGATGCTCTTGTTGCTGCTTTACATTTTTAGACACTTCTTACTTTTTGTGAATTACCCAACACATTAGAGTTGTGACAATTAGGTTAGCATTGTTTGTAGTGGGTGGGTTAAAATATAATCTGTGTTATCTCTTAGGACAGCTATAGATGCTAACTACCTAAGATACCGTGTCTCTTATCAAGAACACTGCAAATTGGTGCTGATTACCTACTTCTATTGAAGTAGGTATGGCTGCAGAAGACAGATGGATGTTTTGTTATGCTATTTCAAAGAGGGATACTTGGATGTATATATCGATCCTGTTCTCTTCCATCTGTTATGCCCTGGACCTGTGATTATCTTACTTTCTTCTTACCAAAGACAGGATTTCATGATGGTATTTTTATAAGGAAGCATGACTATAGATCCTTATCAGCAGAATAGCTTCCTAACCAAAGGGACATTTCTCTTTAAATAACAGATGTTAAAGCATGCTTTGGGTGAACGAACCCAAGAAGAGTCATCATCCGAAGAGGATCAACTTTCTCAACACAGTGATAGTGTCATGGATTACCGTCAAAGGAAACCAGGTAACTTTTACTGGAGGGTTGTATTTGTTGAGTTAGAATAGGTTGCATGTTCCTACAGTGTTCTTTTGGACCACACCGCAAACGGAGAAATTGATCAGCAGCTGAATATACTAGAGAGATTTGTGGAGAATTCCCCATGATTTATAGGAGTTGTAGGTCCTGGGATGTATGGTTCACCTGCAATCCTAAGAGCACTCTGAACTCCATCAACGATGGACCTGGAACTAACTTGACACACAGAACCCCCATGACCAACAAAAAATACTGGAGATCTTTGGAGGGATTTATAGGAGTTGTAGTTCACCTACATCCAGAGAGGATTGTGAACCCAAACACCAATGGATCTGGACCAAACTTGGCACATATACCTGATATGCCAAAATTTGATTACTGGAGGGGTTTGGGGGGAACTCACCTTCCTTTTTGGGAATTATAGTTCACCCACAACCAGAGAAACTGTGACCTCCACCAATGATAGATCTGGACCAAACTTGGCTCATAGAACCCCCACAACTAACTCAACCTACTTGGGGGGCAGGTTGAGGGGACTGACTCATTGTAGTGGGAACTGTAGTTTACGCTACAGCCAGAGAGCACACTGAACGCCACCAATGATAAATCTAGAGCAAACTTGCCCAACATAACAAATTTAAAGTACTGATGGGAGTTTTTCGGGGTTAACCTGGCATGACCTGAGTTTCAGTTCACCCACAACCTTATGCATTTTCTACAATTTTTAAAAAATGACTTTTTCAAATAACCCAGACAACGCTGGATATTTCAATGGGTATTCACATACGTAGTCTAACTATTAAAATTTGTTTCTAGGACTATTGTTCCATACATCTGAGGAAGTAGACTTAGTCTACAAAAGCTTATGCTATCAACTCTGTTCTTCACTAGAGGATTCCCTTTGGGGTCCATGGAAAGAATTTGAATTGCAAAACAAAATCAACTTATTTTTATTTTCTCTGATCACTGACTTAAATTTAGCATTTCTTTCCCTTATTAATATATGCATTAGATTACATTAGTATTAATTCCATATCACAATATGTTCATTGCATATCTTGAAAAATCGCTTATGTTCATCCACACTTCAAAATTGTGATCGTTGTTAGACCCAACACAAGATCACACATGATCACAGTCTTGCTGTGTACAAACTATTGTGTGACATGTCAGTGTGGAGTATCTTAAAACTATCAGCTGCTACATTCTGAGAAGGAGCCTATGGTTTTCCCCTGACTGGCAAAAGGCTGCATGGAACAGATTTTTTAAAAAAACAAAAACAAAACCCTGTTCTAAAAGTGCTATAACATCCCTTTTCCTACTGATGTTCCAGACAAACATGGCTGTCTTTGAATGTCAATAATAATAATAATAATAATAATAATAATAATAATAATAATAATAATATCTTTATTTATACCCCACTACCATCTCCCCAAGGGACTCGGTGCCGCTTACATGAGGCCAAGCCCACAGTACATCAATAACAAAAGCAATAACAAAAAAAAATCAATACAATACAATACAATTAATATAAATCACATAAACAATAAACAGTAACACACAAGCATTTAAAAACCTATGGCCGGGCCAAATGTAATAATTTAAAATTTAAAAAATAACGCTGGGCATGAACAAGGTAGGATATAACTGGTATAGGGTTTTCAAAAAGAGAAGAGGGAACGCAGTCAGTCCTAAATCAGGGGTAAAGTGCATTTTGAGGGCATATTGCTGAGAGTTTTCCTTATAAACAGGGTTAACATAAACATTCAAAACAGTTTTTTAAATGTGTGTAAATCAAATTGCTCACCGAAAATTAGTGTAGCGTTGGAATGTGGATGAGTAGCACATTTGGTCTCAGAGACTAACGGCAGGCGGTTGTTCAATTTGGACCATTCTATTAGATTGCATAAAGGCATTCGCTCCTCTTTGTATGCCTACTGGGGTTTCTGTCTTTAGTAAGTGTATTTTTCTTTCCCTTGCACAGCCACTGTACGCCTGAGGAAAGCACCCGGCAGACAGCGATCACTTTCTGCTTCACCGCCACCATCCAGCCACCTCTTGTCTGTGCTGGACAATGACCTTCAACAGAGGGATGTAAGAAGGCCAGCTGGAAATATGCGTGAACGCTTGCAAAAGGAAGAAGACCAGAGGAAAATAAGAGCAAAGGTAAAGGCAAGAGGATTCTAGACGCAGCCAAGTACCTGAATATCCAGGGACCTCAGTGAACCAGGCCATTCATAGTTTCTGAAGACACTGCAAAGAGACATTGGGAGTCTGAGTGAGAATGTGAAGGGGTTTGTTTTGTTTTGTTTTAAGGGGACAGGACCACAATTCAAGAGAGGTTTGTGTGGATTTGCTCTGTTGCCTTACTAGAAATCTGATTTTTCTGTAACTGTTTCAAGCAGAAGCAACCTGGGAAGCCTGCTCTGGGCAAAGGTGAGGAAGGTGGTGTGCCTCTCCATCCTCTGCAAGATGTTTAAATATCCACATTTCTTTAAAAATGTATTAAGTGTGTTTTGAGCGCACGTGTGCCTGCAACTTCATGTAGGTGAGACTGTGTGACACAAACACATACTAGCTCCCAGTAATTGCTTACCACATTACAGTTTGAGCCAAATACTTTGGACTTTTTACATTTTGCTAGTGTAAACATACAGTTGCACTTTAAATTCAGTTTAAGTAACTCTCCATCTGGTGTTATGACTTTAATCTCTCTTTTATTAAGACTTTCTAAATGACATCTGAACATCTGACTAGCTTTGTAACTTTTTTGAAAGGGCCTTAGGCCCCGATCTTTATAGGTAAATCAGTAATACCTCCTCTATCACAACCATTACCTGAGATTCTCTGTTTCAGTTTTGAAACAACAGGTTTCTGGGTCCTTATGCTTACTTTTGAAGTTATCTGTGATTTGGGACTTGAATCTCAAAAGGCCCATCTTCTCCCAATATACATCTTTACATTTTATGTAAAGATGTATATTGGGAGGCCCACTACAGGCAGTCCTGCCCTTTCTGATTACAGATTGTGAACAGAATGAAGAACCTTGTGGAAACAATGTTCTTCCCTTTTGCCATTCCGATGCCTTTTTTATTTCTCTGCACTTTTTGTATCAGTTTTCAACTTAATGTTGTTGCGTTTTCTGTAAAGCTTTGGGGCCTTTGCTGCTGTTTCAAGATACTGATTTGTTGCTTTTTATTGTTGCCATATCATGTTTAATTAATGTATGCCTGAATGAATATATCATGGATGTTAAGCAGGTTTTGTTTGCTTTCTAGCTGTTGGCTAAAGCCTATGATGATGAATTGAGAGCTTATGAAGCTAGTGAAAGATTGGAAATGGCAAAACTGAAAACAAAGGCCAAAGAAATGGTAAGTGGGAGAACAAATAGCACTGATAAGGATGGTGCCTTTCTCGTATCTCTGTTGGCTTTACTGGTGTTCTAAGGGAGGATTCCCTGCCTTTCAGAGGGAATCTTCTTAATTTGTTTAATAAAGGTAAAGGTTTCCCCTTGACATTAAGTCCAGTCATGTCTGACTCTGCGAGGTGGTGCTTATCTCTATTTCTAAGATGAAGAGCCGGTATTGTCTGGAGATGCCTCCAAGATCATGTGGCCAGCATAACTGCATGGAGCACCATTACCTTCCTGCAGAAGCAGTACCTATTGATCTTCTCACATTTGCATGTTTTTGAAATGCTAGGTTGGCAGAAGCTGGGGTCAACAACGGGAACTCACCCCACTCCCCGGGTTCGAACCACTGACCTTTTGGTCAGCAAGTTCAGCAGCTCAGCAATTAAACCATTGTTTAGTTAATACTAAAACCATCAATTGAAATAATGTAAAATTGCTGTATCGTTTTGCCCCAGTGTAATCAAGGTGCACGGTTTATCCCCAATCTAGTATTAGCAACTGTTGTTTGGTAGTAGGTCTCTACATTGCCTCTGCTTCATTTCATGCTATTTACTTCCCAGAAAAATTACCAAAGTTCCCTTCTCAGCAGGAGATGAAATTCCAGATTGGATTCTTCAGCTTATGACTGTTGCCCCTTAGGGATCTGAAACAGGTTGCCCTCTGAGCTGTTCTCTCTTTTGCGACAAGGAGTGATGGGAGCTCACTCCCAGACCTTATTGCCAAAAATGTATAGAGACTTATATCTGGGAATATATTTATTTATTTATTTACAGTATTTATATACCGCTTTTCTCACCCCAAGGGGGATACCCGGGCATCAGAAAATGTGCCACTTAGTGGGATTCTTGAGAATGTTTCCAATTAAAAGCTGTCCCTTCCATGAAGGTGATGGCAATGCTGTCATACCAGAAGGCACAGATTTGCCTTTAAAAAGGCCTTTCTTCCATTGAAGCAGGAAGAAATGGTCACTGATTCCCTTCCTACTGTCATACCCAGCCATGAAAATTCATATTCAATCAAGTATTTGTTAATATTAAGCCCCTAGTTGTCCAGTGTAGAAGTCGCACATTCTGACCTTCATCCCATGCCCTCTCTCCATTACTGCAGCTGGCACTTATTTTATTCCTAACGTTTATAGTCCGGCCATGGTTACAGAAATTTACTGCCACGGTTAGAGGATCGCAGCTTGATGGAGTCTGAATTGATGTTTTTATACGTGCATGTGTTTACCTCTCTGAACGTATTCTCCCCTATGAACCATCAAGACCACTAAGATCGTCTGGAGGGGCCCTGCTCTCGGTCCACCGCCTGCACAAGCACGGCTGGTGGGGACGAGGGACAGGGCCTTCTCGATGGTGGCCCCTCGACTTTGGAACTCCCTGCCATTAGAGATCAGAACTGCCCCCTCCCTCATGACGTTCAGGAAACTAACAAAGACCTGGTTGTGGAACGCGGCATTTGACAACTGATTTAATTCTTTGCCCACATGAAAGGAGGATGATGAATGGTATTGTGATGGTGTTGGACGATTTGGCTCTTTTAACTGTGATGATAATGTTTTAATGTGTATGGTGCTGATATTTTAATCGTGTTATGAAGTGGCATTGTGTTGTTATTGTATATTCTTTGTATGTTAACACATGTTGTGAACCGGTCCGAATCCCTCTTTGAAGGTGAGAGGGTCGGTATATAAAACCTTGAAATAAAATTAATAATAATATTTTATATTGTGTTCACTTTTCTGTTGTTTTTAGGCACTTTGTGCCATCTGTAAGCTGCCCCGAGTCCCTTCGAGGAGATGGTGGTGGGATATAAGAATAAAGTTGTTGTTGTTCTTGTTCTCATTATCCTGGAATCTTTCATTGCCTGGTTTCAGGTACAGAAAAAGGAAAATCTGTTTTTTCCTGCATGTTCTGGAAGACAGTGAGATCTTTGTATCTGAAATCATTGATACTTGAATAGTAGAAATGGGGTGTTATGTGTGCATGCATGGATTCAGGCTGACATGTCTGTCTGTTAGGGTATGTGAAAGAGGGGAAAGCTCCTGTCCTGCAGAGAAGCTGCATTTTTGTCCCTGATGCAGTGTTGTACATAACCAATCTCTGGTCTAAATCTTACTGTTTTTCTGATTAAAATAGAGCCACTGAATTAAAGAGATTTACCTACCTCCTGACTCACCACTTAACAGTTGATTTAATGGGTGTACTCTTGTTTGGCCTGATCAACATGATTCCAGACATGGTCCTCTTGTTTCTTGAGAATCTTCTATCTTCCTTTTTGGGAAATTCCAAGTATCCTGTGTGAATCCCTTTACTGATGGCTGGAGTCTGTTTGCTTGATGTGCCAGCATCTGACTAACATTATTCCCTATGTGTTTTCATCTAGGAACAAAAATATAAGGAATGCATCTTGAAAGGACCTCCAAGAACTTCACAAGCAAAAAAACTTTATTCTCAGAAAAGTGGGCCTAGGAATCCCAAACTCAACCAGTGGATTTCAAGGGGAGGCTTTGCGAAGCCGAAGAAAGCAATCCCATGTAAGAACAGCAAGTTGTTGAAGCCTGGACACCTTCTGAAAATTTGGGATAGTGGCTTGCTTCTTGTCAATATATATTTGAGTGAAATAACTGATCTTACAGCCTTCATATGTAGAAGAGCATCCAGTTCAACTGTAGTATAACCATGTGCACCTATAGTACACATACTGACTCATGGATAAATTGACCTAGGTTTTTAGGTGTTGTTTTTAGAGGTGGATGTACACATGAGTTACAATGCCTGCAATAAGTACCTAGTTTTCTGTTTTTCATTACTTCGCAGATGTAATGAAAAACATTACATCTGTGGCATTTAAAGATGTCTCTTTTTTAACATAAGGAAAAGGCAGGAAGTATTATGTGATCACCTAAACCAAGATGGACGACTGTAGAAGGAATGAGGGATATTTGTAACCCTTTCACCTTCTCTATCTGGTCAAAGAACACTTTAACACACAGTGTAACCAGATGTGAGCTCACATTGCTTCCAGTTTTGTTTTGTGCTGATTGTGTGACTATTGGGTCTCTAAACCACAGGGGCTTGTGGTTTGAGCTACTTTCAAAGGGTTTAGGTAAAACATTATCTAGAAAAAATAATTTTACAGGTGGGGACACTAATGATTCTGCAAGCTGCATGCTGCCTATGGATCAAACTTTCCCCACCTCCTAAGCTAAACCTATTGGCTACTCATATCAACCTGCTTATCCTGTGGATTGTATGGATGTACGGTTTCCCCTGTCACGACCTCAGCACAGTCTCAGAATTTCCACTTCTGGTCTGGAGATGGAGTACTTTGAAACCTTAAAGGAAGTACTGTCTTACATTGGCTCCGGTCCATCCTGGAGGGCCGTTCCCAGAAGGTGTTGTTGGGGGACACCTGCTCCACCCCATAGCCATTGTCCTGTGGGGTCCTGCAGGGTTCAGTACTGCCCCCATGTTGTTTAATATCTACATGAAGCCGCTGGGAGAGATCATCTGGAGTTTGATGCCATCTATATGCAAATGACATTCAACTCTATCATTCTTTTCCATCTGCTGCTAAGGAGGCTGTTCAAGTCCTGAATCGGTGCTTGGCAGCTGTGACGGTCTGGATGAGGGTGAACAAATCGAAAATGAATCCAGACAAGACAGGCACTCCTGGTCTTGTAATGCCGAACAGAATATAGGGTTACAGCCTGTGTTGGACGGGGTTACACACCCCTGAAGACACAAGTTCGCAGTTTGGGAGTGATCTTGGACTCATTGCTGAGCTTGGAACCCCAGGTTTTGGCAGTGGACAGGGGAGCATTCACACAATTAAAACTTGTGTGCCAGTTGTGCCTGTACCTTGGAAAGTCAGACTTATTGGCCCATGCTCTCATTACATCTCAGATTATTGCAATGTGCTCTATCTACATGGGGTTGCCTTTGTAGACTGTTTGGAAGCTTCAGATAGTCCAACGGGTGGCAGCCAGGTTCCTCACTGGAGCGGCGTATAGGGAGCATACAATCCCCCCTGTTGAATCAGCTCCACTGGCTGCTAGTTTGGTACCGAGCACAAATTCAAAGTGCTGGCCTTAGCCTATAAATCCCTAAACGGTTCCGGTCCAGTTTACCTATCCAAATGTATCTCCCTTTATGAGCCAGTTAGAGCATTAAGATCGGCTGAGGAGGTTCTGCTCTCCATCCCGATGCCCTCACAGGCGCAACTGGTGGGGATGAGAGTCAGGGCCTTCCTGGTGGAGGCACCTCAGCTGTGGAACTCCCTCCCCAGCGAGATCAGATCTGCCCCCTCCCTCCTGATGTTAAGGAAATTACTTAAAACGTGGCTTTTAAAGCAAGCATTTGGAGACTGAGATGAAGTAGTCAAGATAACTTCGGGATTGGTACAATGTCCAGTGTTCTATATTATGTTGTGTATGTTTGATGTTTTATAGTTTAATCTATTATTATATACTATTTTGGTTATGTGTAATGCTTTATATTTTGTGAGGCATTGAATTTTGCCATTTATTTTATTGTGAACCACTTTGAGTCCTCCTAAGGGTTGATAAAAAGTGGTAAATTAATTAATAAATAGTGTTAGAGGGGGTGGGTTGTGAAGTTGGATCCCCCCCTTCCCAAGTTGGACTCCTCTTTCGGAGAAGGAGATCAACATTTACTATGGCTTCAGGAACACCTTCCCAAGGACCATAGGACTAGTGTCTTAATCTTCTTTTGAAGCCCAGATTTATAGAATGTATTTATTTTTCCCCACATAGAGCTGCTCTTGGCTAGAATGTGTGGAAATGTTAGCTATCCCATATCAATAACATGTAAAAACTATTGAGATGCACTTCGTTGTTTCCATTGTTTCTGCATCTTCATAGTATTCAGATCCAACAATGTGCAAAAAGACTAGAATTTTTGAAAGTGCAGTTTTTTTAAAAATAAATAAATCTGGAATTGATTTTTTAAATTTCCAAGTCACTATGTAACAAAATTTTAAAAATTGAGATTCTACCAAAAAGAAATCCATTATATTTCACTTTAACAAATAGAATGAGTTACTTTTAAGTGGAGATTGAATGATAGAGTTCAGAGGTTTGTGAAGAGAGTAGTTGAGGTGGTGGGATATGTATATATGTTTGTGCACCCATATTCCCATGTTTCATACCACTTATCTGTTCTAGACTGGTGTTCTCTTCTTTTACATACATTGGTTCCCCATTCCTTCTCTTGACAATACTCTGACAGTTTAAAGAGTGCCAGTCTTTCCTCAAATCTAGTCACTTTGAGTCTCATTTTCCAGAGAAAAAGCAGGATAAATATAAATATAATAATACTGTGTTGACACATTTTTTTCCTGCATTATAAATGTCATTTCCTAATTGGTTCTATCATAAAAAATTGAAAACGTTCATTAAGCTGCAAGAACTTTGTTTTTGCAGGACATCCTGCAGCACATTTTGCTGTAGTTTTTTAAAATAAATATCTCCTAAAGTCTCAATCAATTCAATATAGTTTGTGTCAGCCACAAAAATAAAGTTTCTGAAGGATAACAACCACTTACAATGCACAATTAAACAGGAAATAGCACCTTCAACCTGGGAACAGAATTTTTTTTTTTTGAAATTTTGTTACATAGTGTAATCTTAACTCTTTGGCCATGCAACTTGAACATACATATTTACCTGCCTAGGCCTTCCTTTCTCTCGCAGTGAAGGTCAAGGAAAATGACCTTTTGCCTCAACTATTGGAAGATTTTCCCCACTTGCACGTTTCCCACCCAACTATGAATAAGATGTGGCAGCAGCAGCTTGCACAGATAGACCACCTGAAATCTCCCATCAACAGAAGCCGTCAGAAACTTCAGAATGAAGTGAGTTGTCTCCTAAAGGCCCACAGACTTCTCAAGAAAAAATAAATAGTGTACAGATGCATCGGGGGGGGGGAGGGAATCTCAATCCTTTGACTCAGGGGTCCTCAAACTTTTTAAACAGAGGGCCAGGTCACAGTCCCTCAAACCGTTGGAGGGCAGGATTATAGTTTGGAAAAAAATGAATGAATTCCTATGCACACTGCACATATCTTATTTGTAATGCAAAAAACACTTAAAAACAATACAATAATTAAAATGAAGAACAATTTTAACAAATATAAACTCATTAGTATTTCAATGGGAAGTGTGGGCCTGCTTTTGGCTGATGAGATAGGGTTGTTGTTGTTGTTGTTGTGGTTGTTGTGTGCTTTCAAGTTGTTTCTGACTTAGGTTGACCCTGAGTGAGGGCCAGGTAAATGACCTTGGAGGGGCGTATTCGGCCCACGGGCCATAGTTTGAGGACCCCTGCTTTAACTTATGGGGTCCAGCATTCCCTCACAGCAAGTGGTAGAATTGGACCCCAGAGAGTCATTGGGTCTAAAATGGATCCTTGAGGATAAGATCCAACATTATGGTTGGTAGAGTATCAATTACCAGCAAATTTACTGAACTGACACATGCTGAAGTTGTTGGAACTCAGCCTGCACAAAGTTGTAGTCCTCATCAAGGGCTTAGATAGGCAGATGAGTTACTTGCCAGGGAAAGCCCTTCCCCATTGGCCTTTTTGTCTTGCCTGTCTTCCTTTTTCTCCTCCTCTCACCTTGTTTGTTGGACTGACGCTTCTTATGCACACTGTTCTTTTTCTGAGCACATGGCAAACACCTCCATGTATTTTTCTTCTCCTGTGAGCAGAGAGAGGTGTCTGCTGTGAGTTAGTTAGACCACTAGGCCTGTTAACGTTCCTATTTAATAATGCAGTCCTTTGAATAAAGTATTTAATATCTTTTAAAGCTTGGCTCTGCTCCTGAATTGCTTAAGCTCAGTGGCTCTACTGCTGGCACTAGAAGCTTCTGATCTGCTGCTGCTACTGCTGCTGTTGCTGCTTTACCATTTTTAATGCTTTTCTTTTGGAAACGACTCCCCCCCCCCCTCAATATATGTAACCTATTGTCTCCTTTTCATTGTGGAAGAAGTGATCCAGTATATCGTAATGCACTACCTTATGGAATTGCATTAGTTGGGCCTTTGGTGGGAGGAGGATCCAAAGCTCCATCCAGCTGCAGCTTTGCAACTGGGAAAAAGAGGAGCCATTGAGTTCCAGCTTATGTATTTAAAGCAACAGGATTCCAATCATTACTGCCATTTGATTACTACAGAGAGTTTCAGCAAGAGACAGTGAATCCAGACTTGGCAAGGATAAGATGTCTTTGTAATATGTTAAACTAGAAAATATGCAGACTGATGTGTGAAAGAAAAAAAGCCCTTTCATAGAAATAGATGTTTTATTTTCCTTTTAGGTACTAGAAACTCTGAAGAAACACGAGCTCCTTGTTGACCTCATCAAGAAAGAGCAGACTCATAATAGGAGGCTGGTAGGTCTGATTGATTTTCAAGCAATGTCCATCCAAAGCAGCTTGTAATATTGTAACGGGGAGGAGCAGCACAGGGTGAGCCTTAGATAAGAGTGAAGCATTAATATGAAATTCATTCTCTGTTATCGATTTGTTTTTGTTTTTTTTGTCATGTCAGGAGCGACTTGAGAAACTACAAGTCGCTTCTGGTGTGAGAGAATTGGCCGTCTACAAGGACGTTGCCCAGGGGACACCCAGATGATTTGATGTTTTTATCATCCTTGTGGGAGGCTTCTCTCATGTCCCCGCTTGGGGAGCTGGAGCTGACAGAGGGAACTCATCCGCCTCTTCCCGGATTCAAACCTGCGACCTGTCGGTCTTCAGTCCTGCCGGCACAGGGGTTTAACCCACTGCGCCACCGGGGGCTCCAGCGATCTGGATATGCAGTCTTTTAACTGTTGTCAAACTGTAGTTCTTAGTGTCTCTATTTGTTATGCTGACTACAACTGATGGGAGTTACACCCGGCCATATCAAACCACTTCTAGAGCCAGAAGAACAAAAGAACATCATGTCCAATAAATAACACTATGTAACAAAATTTGAACAAATTTCTGTTCCTGCTTTGAAAGTGTTATTTCCTGTTTAATTGTGCAGTGAAAGTAGTTGTTATACTCCAGAAGCTTTGTTTTGGTGGCTGCCACAAACTATGTTGAATTGGTTGAGACTCGATGAGCTGCTCATTGAAAAATGATAGCAATATGTGCTGCAGGATGTCCCACAAAAACAAAGTTATGCTAGTTTAATGAACGTTTCCCATGTTTTTATGATACAACTTAATAGGCAATGATATATATGACCCAGAAACACAAATTGGAATGCTTCACTCTATGGCTATGGTCAGATGCACAGCAAAGAAAGCAATGTCTGGAGCATGCCAGAACCCAAGGGTTTTCTAGAGCAGGGGGACTTCTTAAACTTTTCCACTCACAATCCCTTTCGGCCTGAGAAATATTGTATGTAGGTGTATAAAGCAGTATAAAAACCAAACAGTTGTTGGTAATAAATTGGCATTTGCAAGCCTAGCTAAACAAGCTGATTTTTGCTTTTTATGAAGCACAGCTGAAACAATTTCTGCAGAAGCCAGTGTAAATACTGCACAACAAATTTGTGTAAACAGCCACTCGGTGATGTTCACAAGACTTTTATTGTTACCAAATATTTCAGAACTCCAGCATTGAGCTAAAGGAACCCCATTTGGAGTCAGGACCCACGGTTTAAGAAGCAGTGCTGTAGAGGTCCTGGAAGATGATGTTGTTGTGTATCTGGTAGGCATGGGCAATCCGTGGTTCTAAAGTACTTACAAAACTAGAGGGTGCTGGTGCTTTGCTTCTAAAGTGTTGGTAAAGTGTTGAAAACTCGGCACATTCCACTTCCACTCCTGTTCCGAACAGGTCCGAACTCTATTTATAATTTTATTCATATTACAAAGGCTGTTGCTAGGTGAAGTGGCCCTCTGTAGTGTCGCTGCACTGGCTGTTGTTAGGTGAAGTGGTCCCAGCATGTCACTGGGAAAAAAAAGTGACATGTTTATGAAGGGAAAGGAGAATGAAGGGAAGAGCCACAAAGAGAGCCTGCCCACCATTGCCAGAGTGTTGCTATTGAGACACTGTGAGTTAGGCCTTCTCAGAGCTGGAGAAGGGAGAAAGCAGGTGGGCAGTCGTTCCAATGACAGTCGGGCAATACTGGCTATTTACAGTAGTCATATTAAAAAAATTAAACGGGTAGGTAGAATATAATGATAATACTTAAAAATATAGCACATTGCCTTGAGTGCTGGACTATGACTCTGGATACCAGGGTTTGACACCCCCCCCCCCCCTTTGCCAGGAAAATTCAGTGGATGACCTTGGGTAAGTCCCACTCTCTCAGCCCCAGAAAACCCCATGATTAGGGTTGCAATAAGTCAGTAACAACTTGAAGGTGTAAAACAGTAACCATGAAAGACCTACTGCGATGGACAGGTAACTGTCAAAGGAATAAGTAAGCTAGCTTCAAACTGGCAGTCAGACAACGAACATCCATGAAAGTGTGCCAAAGAAAGCCCTCAATGCTAATCAGTGCTTTGTAGTTTGTGAAATCACCATCCGAGCCTCACACTTTGTTCTAGGATTTCCTGTGTAATCATCCACATTGACAAAACTTTCAAAATGTCATTATTATTTTGCTATTGGCGATTTTTATGACAGAACCAATTAGGAACTGTCAGTTATAATGAAATTTCGAAAGTTTTGTTAGAGTTCTGAAATTTTCACCAGAACTTTAGCATCACTTTAGAAGCAAAGCACTTTAGGACCATTTAGAACCATGGGTTGGCCATGCCTAGTATCTGGCTATAGTGACATCTCTTCTCACCCACTGCTCACTCCCCACCAGCTGCTGTGTAGCCATGGATATGTGTGTGAGAGACAGACCTCAGGGGGAAGGTGCTTCCTGTGAAAGAGGAGAGGGATGTTTTGTGATTCCACCATGGCAGAACTTTGCGATATGCCTCCCGACACCAGATCTTGGACCACATTTTTCAAGTAATGGCTACTGTGAACCCTTCCAGAAAGCCGTGTGTGTGTGCTCCCATCTGCTAAGGGAAATCAAGTGATTTTTCTCTTTTTGTTGTTACTGTTAGCAAGAATTTAAGCAGCGCATTCATCGGCAGAAATATACTCAGAATAAGGTGAGAGACAGACGGCAGCAGATTGTGAGAGCCAAAAAATACTACCAAGATTATAGAGTTCAGCTGCGGGCCAAGATGATGCGGGCCAGGACACGGGAGGAACGTGTAAGTAGTGGACCTTTCTCTTCAGGAAGTCGGATCTTTCGTCCGGTTGCCCTTGGTGCTGAGTTGAGACTAAGGATGGAGAATTTGTAGTCATATTTTTTCAGCAAGGAATGACACAATTTGCACTTTCTAGACTAAGGTATGGATTAGAGTCCAGCCATTCTGTGAGTCTTGCGCTACAATTACCAGTTTGAAAAAAAAACTGGTTAAAATTTTATAAATTGGTGTGTGGCTGAGGAAAATGCATGTGAAAAATTGCAGACTTGACAAAATGAGATGGAAGAAATGCATGTTAGAATCTGTGCAAACATTACGCCGGTCCGGAACAGGCTGATTCATCATGTATTTGCGACTTTGTGCCGGTTTGCATGTTTATGGCATAGGTATGTCCAGACTATGGAGGTAGATTATCCTCAAGTAGATATTTCTTCCATAAGTAGTGGTTTGGGAGTTGGGACACCATTTTGTATGGTACCCAACCAATCCAGCCTATCTATCCACATGATAGTGATTTTCCAGAATCTGAAGAGCAGCATGGATTTCGGTTGGAAGAGAGGCGATTGTGAAGACAGCACTTTAACTGTGCTGCTAAGACTCTTTCCTGTATCTGTGGCTGGATGGCTCTTTGCCAGGAGGTCTTTGATTATGTTTTCTTGCCCTGGTGAAGGGAGTTGGACTGGATGCCTTAAGGCAGCATTTCTCAGCCTGGGGGAGGTTGCCAAAAACCAGAAAGCACAGTATTTTCTGTTGGTCATATTTATTTACTTTATTTATTTTACTTTATTTGTATACCGCTCTTCTCAGCCCTTAGGCGACTCATAGGGGTTCTGTGTGGGAAGTTGGCCTAATTCTATCATTGGTGAGGTTCAGAATGCTCTTTGATGGTAGGTGAACTATAAATCCTAGTAACTACAACTCCCAAATGTCAAGGTCTATTTCCCCCATACTCCATCTGTGTTCATATTTGGGCATATGGAGTATTTGTGTCAAGTTTGTTCTACATCATTCATTGTTTGAGTCCACAGTACTCTCTGGATGTAGGTGAACTACAACTCCAAAACTCAAGGTCAATGCCCAACAAACCCTTACAGTATTTTCTGTTGGTCTTGGGAGTTGTGTGTGTCAAGTTTGGTTCAATTCCATCAGTGGTGGGGTTCAGAATGCTCTTTGATTGTAGGTGAACTATAAATCCCAGCAGCTACAACTCCCAAATGACAAAATCATTTTTTTTTAGTGATGGTCACTCTTTGGGTTAGTTAGATGCCTTGTGGCCAATTTTGGCAGCAATTTGTCCAGTGGATTTTGAGTTACGATGTAACTCAAAACGAACAGAGCATTTATATATATATGGATCGTGGTTGATGTGGAGTATGGCACTGTACATGTTTCATGTAACAGAGCTCAGGAAGTTGGGAGAGGAAGAGCAATAAAAGAAAACGTAGGAATTACTGCAATTCTTATGACCAGCTGGGTGGATGGAGGCCACAGGCAAGTGACTTTCACAGAAAGGCCATCAAAAAATCAGCCTTTCAGTGAAGTCAGTGGGATAGCCCAGCCTGCCTTCTCTTCCATGGATCCACCGCCTGCTGAAATGGCAGTTGCTACTTGAGGGTTAAGGGAAAGTCCTAACAAATGTTGCTAAGGATGGACCATGTGATCTTGAAACAAGTTTAAGTTTGGGGTCCTTTATCCATAGAAAGGGAAGTGCTGTTACAATCCTTTTGTGACGGTAGACAACTAACGTTTGTCCAAAGTAAACCAGTGTTTGTTGGGTTTCTTAATAGAACTCTCCTTATGATTGTTCGTGTCTTTTTTGGCAGATATTTAAAAGCTTGTTTGAAGAAGGCTTGGACATTCAGAAACAAAGACTGCACGAGTTAAGAGCATACGCCAAGGAAAAGCGTGCTGAGCAAAAAAAGAAGCATCAGGATGAATTAGAGTCTATGGAGAACTACTACAGGAACCAGGTAGGCTCCGCATGCTTCCCATCCCATAAGGCAGTGGTTGTCAACCTGTGGGTCCCCAGATGTTTTGGCATACAACTCCCAGAAATCCCAGCCAGTTTACTAGCTGTTAGGATTTCTGGGAGTTGAAGGCCAAAAACATCTGGGGACCCACAGGTTGACAACCACTGCCATAAGGAAATGCTTTGCCTCCACGACGTTGACCTTCCTTTTTGTGCTTAGTTTTCAATGCTGGCAGAAGCTGTTGCAGAAGAACGTCATGAAATCCAAACCAGAGAGAAAGCACATGCAAACGTAAGTGAGCCTTGTTGCCTTGGACTTCCAGGACTTGCTGATGAATTGACCAATGCCTTGACTTAATCTTCATGTTCTTTTTCAGACATTAAACAAAGTGAAACGTGAGCTGCGGTCAAAGATGGAGAAAGAGATTAAAGAGCTGCAGGATATGATCATGCAAAACGACGACGATACCTTTTTCCGAGAACTGGAAGCAGACCGTCTGAAATCCAGGCTCCTGGTGGCTTCCTTTCAGTATAACAAAAACTACCAGTTCCTTTAGGCCTTGGCAGGTTTCTCTCGCAAATACTTGTGCGATTTAGTCCTGGCAAAAAGACTTCTTAAAGAAAACATCGAGGGGACCAAAACTAGAAGTGTGAAGTTAGCAGTTTGTTTTGCCACCTGGGATTTGCTGTCCTAAATCCAAAATTAGGCTTGTTTACAATGGCAAGAAAATACCAAACGGACGGTCTCCGAAGATTTTATTTTTTACAGATTTTTAAAATAAAGATTATGTAGAAGCTTTTCAAAATCAAGATGTTGGAAAATCATCTTCTAGGTTGACTTGTCAGGTTACTTGAGCTATACCTGAGCCATCAAGAATATACAAAATCCAGAGTGGGGTTTGTAGAGGGCAAAAGGTGGAATGTAGCCATTTTGAGTCTCCTCTGGGGAGAGAAAAAGCGGGATATACATATAATTTCAGAGCCATCCACCCACAAAAGTCAACAAGAAGTAATAGAAGTTAGAAAAGTGCCCTGAAGACTGGCTTTGCTTTTTTTTTGAAAACCCTTTCATGTGTTCTCTCCTCTAATTAATATGAATGCCAATATTCATTTTCCTTAAACATCAAGAAGATGCAAAACAAACATTTCTTTAAAATGGTCAATGCTGTGACAGTGCAAACAGCATACAAATTTTATTGCTTGACTTCTGCATGGGTACATAGTTAAAAAAAAACATTTTATACAGATGTATTGTTAAAGCTCATGTAACAGCTTGGTGAAAATACAAGAGAGATCAATACTAAAAACACTCTGCAATAAATACAATAGAAATGCAACTTAAAAAACACCTGTCAGTCTGTGGAAGGATAGGGAAATCATACCAAGACGGGACCGATTTTAGCTATAGACAAAGCTCTTAAAATTTAGCAGAGTCGGAAATCTACAAATAGAGTGTATAAAGTACAAATTGCACCTGTTAATTGTGGTGCAGTTTAAAGTCTGAAGCAACGGGCTCATGCTACATTAAAATGTACGATATAGGAGCAAAGCTCTTGCTTCCATTACTGCAGCCAGTTTAAATGCACCAAAGGTTTAACAGATGTAGTGTAGAAAAACGACAAAAAAATCACTGTGTGCTCTGGACTTTAGTACAACATAGAAATTTGGTAAAAATAAAATCAGTTTAGGGAAACTGAACCTATGTGCAAAAAATAGAATACATACTGTACAAAGCACCATTACAAAACTTTACACCTAAAAAATAAATTTGAAGCAGTTCGGTACTGCATAACGGAGCCCTACCAAAATAGTCACTATCCACATGGACACATTCATTAATGGAAAGAAAGTATGGGAATGTGAGGCGATGTCTCTTAACCACTGAATGCAAAACTCAGAATGAATGACACAACCATGTAAGAAAAAGGACATGTTGGAAATAAATATTCACATTTAAATCTAAGGTGAAAAGCCAAAGTTTCAACCCACTACAGTTGATGGGTCCAGAGACATTTCTAATAGATTGTATGCTGTAAAGCTCTTAATGGTAATGCAGATACAAAGGCACTCAGAAGACCAGATATTTCATTTGCAGCGCTCTGCTCAGTGTAAGTCAAAGCAATGTGCAGAAATGCTGAGTATTTGATTGATAAAGCTAGCCCTATAAAGACAGAAGACTCTCTGGACACAAATTAAACCAAGTTCACAATGAGGTGATGCCGAACCTCTAATATTGATATTGAACTAGAGTCAGTTTGCCTTCCTCAAGCCAATTAAAATGAGCCCTTTGTTGAAGCCTGTCAACACCGTATTTGAGTTCTCATTTATCCTTTTGCAGTTACTAGGCTGTCTCCCATTATTGAAATAGTATGAACAAAAGAGCCATCCACGAAGACTGTAATCTGGGGCAACACCCTTAAAGGATGGGAAGGGTAAGGTTATCTTGAATAAAGTAAAAATTCTGCTGAAGGAAGAAAATGTACATAGCAAGCTGGGTTTTGTACAAATCCTCTTTCTTGTGAAATCCCACAACTTAGCTGGTAGGCCTGGGCAATGCATGGTTCTAAAGTACTTAGAAAACTAAAGTTCTGGTGGTGAAAATTTCAGAATTCTAAAAAAACTTTCAAAATTTAATTATTATTTCATTATTGGCAATTTTTATGACAGAACCAATTAGGAACTGCCATTTATAATGGCATTTTGAGAGTTTTGTTAGAGTTCTGAAATTTTCACCACCAGAGCTTTAGTTTTGTAAGTACTTTAGAACCATTTAGAACCATGCATTGCCCAGGCCTATTAGCTGGGTAGGTGCGGAAGGACAAATTCGTGAAACACTTGAAGAATAATCTACACTGGGCATTTCACAGGAGTGTACAAGTTGTGCCTTTCCTGATTTTGTTGGCTTACAGTCCTAGCAAGGATGATCAATGGTGAGCGATGATGAAAGTGCCATTCCAGCATTTGGAAAGCTACAAATTGCCCACACTTGTCCTGCACTGAATGTTAATGACGGGGAAGGAAACCGCACTGCACTGGTTCATTTGAAAAAAGAGGAATGAGGAACTGAGGCAATTCTGCCTCAGGAACTTGGGATTCTGCAGAAGGGTGGCTTCCTGTTAAAGTTTGCAGTTACAGGGCAGGACGCCTGTCCATCATCGTTACGTTTGGTTCCACCCCCTGTTCAGGACAATTGAGAAGGGAAGGGAGTCATTTTTAGTCAGTCTCAGCAAGGAAAGTCAATGTACCTGAAGGAACAATTGAAGCAGATAACCACAGAGCTACTTTGAAAGAATGGACAAACATCAGGCAGCCTAGCAACTCAGCAGGATCCCTCATGGCTATGTTTCCGCTCCAAAACAGCCAGAGATCTAGATCAGTGGTTCTCAACCTGGGGTCCCCAGAAGTTTTTGGCCTTCAACTCCCAGAAATCCTAACAGCTGGTAAACTGGCTGGGATTTCTGGGAGTTGTAGGCCAAAAACATCTGGGGACCCCAGGTTGAGAACCACTGATCTAGATGATCATGAATGTGTTTTCAGCAGAGTAGGGCAACTACTCAAAGTTGGGGGTCATACATGTTTTTTTTTTAAAATTCCAAAACAACTTTAGCCTCTTAAGTATTTTGTCCAATATTTTGATCCCACTTAGCCTGTACAATGAAGAGAGCACATTCCAACATACTGAAAGTAGCTAGGGGTATTGTGAGCTTTTAAGTTAATCAAAAGAATCCCTCTTCAAAAAAATTTAGGGCTGGGAAAGTGTAACTTCCACATTCCCCGCCCTTAGTTTGGTCTGATATGGCCCATGGACAGAAGAGACAAATCTGCTAACACCTACAGTTCCACAATATAAATAGATCACCTACTCCCACCATTGGGTTTGCTACAGTTGTTTGATGCGTGTAGTTGGAAGAATATATACTGAGATAGAAACATCCCTTTCTACAGAGGGGTAAGAGTCTCAAAGGATTCACTTCACAGCTAATACTGCCATGGACCTTCACTTTTTCCAGATTCTGCCACAGATTCAATGAAATGATTTGGGGCCGAACAACTTTCAGGCCTCCAGAATCGGCAGCTGGGTCCTGGCTGAAGAAGCAAGAAGCTCTCTGTTTGCCCTGCTTGTTTTTTCTCTTCCACATTTTTGACAGTTCTTGAGGATAAAGTCTCAGGCCGGATAAAGTGTCCAAGAACAGTGAGGCTGTGCTACTAGCTTCCCAACCTATCTCAATACTGAGATTGCAGAATCCATGGTGGTTTTAGAGGTCTATTTACATTGCGTGACTACGGCCTGCCTGACAAAGCTTTCCATTTCCTGTTTCTCAGTGGAAATGTGAGGAAGAGAATGCTATCAAGTGTTTATGAAGTTTTCAACATTGCTCACCAAGCAATCAGGCCAAATCTAACATCAGTCCTACCGGTTAGAACAGTGGTTCTCAACCTAGGGTCCCCAGATGTTTTTGGCCTTCAACTCCCAGAAATCCTAACAGCTGGTAAACTGGCTGGGATTTCTGGAAGCTATAAGCCAAAAACATCTGGGGACCCCAGGTTGAGAACCACTGGGTTAGAAGAACCATTGAATAAAAGGGACATATTAGTTACAACTCATTTAAGTTCTATTGGTTTCAGCATATTTGCTCAAGCTAAGTTGAGCCCAGATATTAGCCCTTATGTTAGACACTTCACCTCCAATTGCTTTCTCCATACAGGGATATGGGCTTCATAAAACTATGGCAAAATATCCACGTTAACCTGAGTGTACACCAGCACAGCAGCGAAATGTGCAAGAGAAGCGACGCTGGCTGTGGCATCCACACACATATGCACATGTAATTACTAAGAGAGCTTAATATGTGAAGCATCCCTAAGGCACAAGCCCAACGTTTATTACATGGGGACTTGAGAGAAAGTTCCTCACATAACTGTCATTAAGAGTAGATAATGAATATGCCCTGTATATTTTTTAAGTATTTTGCAAACAAGAGCTTCCATTAAAATAACCATGTCCACTCTGTGTCCCAACTAGAGCACATCACGTTATATTTGCATATCACAGAAAAGCAAAGCTTCTGCATTTCTCTGAGTTCATTGCATCACCATTTCCCCCTTAACTGTAGCCAACACAAACCCCATACATGATGAGAAAGTTAGAAAAACAGACCTTTTAAAACCTGGTATGATACTTCAGCACAATGCGGTACAGAAGGACTGCAGGTGAACAAAAGGACTTTTGGTTGGTATGACATCCACAGAGAGTTTTTGAAAGATGAATCAATGGCCAGGCAGAAGGCTGCTGATATCATCGACATACATTTAGGAGTTTTAAAAAACGCAGCAGTTCCATTTAAAATGGAAAGCAAAAATTTAAAAAACCTCAAGTATTCACTTTCTTTTTACAAAAAAAGTTCTTTTAAAAATGCTAAATGCCTATAATTCTTTTCTTTCTTTTTTTTAAAAAAGGGCTTTCCACATTTACCACAAAGTCATGTACCAAATGCAGTGCAAGTGAACGTAGATCAGGACTCTGCTGAAGAAATATGACAAGAAAAGAACAGGATCCAAAACCTGTCATCCAAGCTTGAGAGATATAAAAAAATCTTAAGTGGAGGAACATGGAAGATGAAATCATCGTAACATAGAATAAAATTACCCACTATAAGAAAACACAGTTTATATGTTAAGTGGCCTTGATTTAAAAGGTTTCTGATTTGTTTAGCCAATTTATGCAAAAAATTAGAGTAATCAAAATATTTTATTTAAAAAAATAGCAGGTTATAGGCGCTGTTCAGCATCACATACTTGTGTAAATAGGCTGGAATGAGACTTGTACCGTCTGTATCTTGGACCTGGAAGAATAGTAATCAGGTAGGCAAATGGATCAGATCACTTCTTTTTTTCTTTCCTTTTTTTACAAAAATAGTAGTCGTCTTTCAAAGAGAAGAATACTGCTTAACTGTTGAAATGAAGAAGAAGTCAGCATTCTGTTCCGTTCAAGATACGAGTTTTTTTTTAAATAGCAGCTGAATGATTCCTTGGCAGGAGCCACAGGACATTTTGTTGAACGACAAATTCCAAAAATTGTCCTTTTCCCTCATACTGTCCTAAAGTAGAAAAAAGGGAGGAGGGGGAGGAGAAAGTTTCCTATATTTCAAGCATCGACTGTGTCATGGCTGTAGGGAGGGTTTTCTGCTTGGCGGAGTATAAATACAATCCCAAGTAAGTTTGCAAATGTTCACTCCACAGCAAACCCACAAGTTTCTTCAATGGCGGTTAGCAGCTTTTCATAGAGCTTCTCGTAGCTTTCATAAGGAGGAATGTCTATTCGATTGAAGCTGCAAATCAAGGAGGAAAAAGCTTAAATGGGTTTTCAGCCTGTAACACTAACACACACTACCTTCATGGCAACAACATCAGTAAGATATAATACTACATACGGCCCGGAAATTTCAGATGATCCAACGGGCGGCAGCCAGGTTGTTAACTGGGGCTCCTTACAGGGAGCGGTCATCCCTCCTGTTCAAGGAGCTCCACTGGCTGCCATTCATCTACCGGACCCCAATTCAAGGTGCAGGTTCTTACCTACAAAGCCCTGAACAGTTTGGGACCCGCCTACCTGCGTGACCGCATCTCTGTATACAAACCCACACGATCCCTTCGATCATCCGGGGAGGCCCTGCTCTCGATCCCACCAGCATCGCAGGCGCAATTGGTGTGGACAGAGAGAGGGCCTTTTCGGTGGTGGCCCCTCAACTCTGGAACTCACCCCCTAAAGACATCAGACAGGCCCCAACCTTGGCAGTCTTCAGGAGGAACTTGAAGACGTGGTTGTTCCAGTGTGCCTTCCCAGAATGATGATCCCATAGCACTTTGTCCTCCAAAGCACTTTATATTTCTTTAGGTCTGCTCGTATGTCCTTCCACAAACACCAGTATCACCTTTTCGTCCATGTCCCAGGATTATTTCCAATTTTAACTCTACATTTGGCCTTCCCACTGTTTTTAATTGTGTGTTGTCTTATTGATAATGTTGTGTATGTTATTGTCTATGTTTTTTTAATTGCTTGTATTGTTGTGTTTGAGCTCGGCCTCATGTAAGCCGCACCGAGTCCCTTGGGGAGATGGTGTACAAATAAAGTATTATTATTATTATTATTATTATTATTATTATTATTATTAAGATTACATACAGCTCTACAAAAATGGTTGTATAATAAAAGAGATCAGTGAAGTGATCTACCCACATAGCTTTTCAGTAGAACCCTGAAAGATATTCTAGATCAGTGGTTCTCAACCTGTGGATCCCCAGATGTTTTGGCCTTCAATTCCCAGAAATCCCAACAGCTAGTAAAATGGCTGGGATTTCTGGGAGTTGTATGTCAAAACACCTGGGGACCCACAGGTTGAGAACCAGTGATCTAGATAGAAATGGAATTAGATCGCTGTCCCTGAATAAGACAGACAAACACTTATGTAATAAAATTTGAAAAAAATCTGTTCCTGATTTAAAAGTATTACTTTCTGTTTGTACACAGGACCATAATCACAAAGAACGTGTTATTTGCATTTTCTCTAAGGAGACTTGAGTCCCACTTGTATGAGAAAGGTGGAGTACAAATCAAAATAATAAACCAACAAATCTAAAATGTTCAGCAGTCAAAGAAAGGGACTGGTTTCCACAAAGCGTTTACAAATACAGTTTGCGTGAGATGTTGTTTTAAAGAAGTCGATTTAAGAAATCTGCTAAAAAGAAATCTACCCAAAGGTGAACATGTTAATTATTACACTATGATATGCAGATAGGAAACTTTGTTCCAGTTGGGAAATGATGGTCTTAAACCTTGATTCATTTTAAGCGCTTAAAGGTTAAAATCTGCCACCTGATTAGTAAACATAGTGGGAAATATATCTGAAACAATTTGCAACCATGTTGTCCAATTCTCCCTGCAGATCATAAATATTAAAATGGTAAACAGGTTCAGGATTTGTATTGATTGGCTGGGTAAAAAAAATCCCGCCAGTTTGTATGCAATTTGCAAACCAATATGTAAGGTCTTTTATTTTATATCATTGTGGCTGAAATAAAAAAAATCCTTTCTATAACAATTTTGACAATGTGCAATCACTTTGCTATTATTTTTATTGGAAAGCTAATCAAGTATAGATTTAATTCACTGCAAATTCCATAATTGCCTGATAGGAAAGGATCAATGTGGCACTGCGTGTGACTTACCAAGTATGGGCTTTTGGCAAGTTATTTGTGCTAGCATCAATCTGATGAATTGTAAATAATCTTGGGCCAGCGGCACCTAAAATACAAAGACAGTAAATACAGTTCAATATGACACAGCTTGAGATTTCGTCATTCTTACGAGTGCAGAATATAAATAGTTTAAACCAAGAAGCAAAAATTCTCAAGATCTCTGGACAGTACATAATAAAATGGATGTGATTATTTCAAAAGATATAAACAAATAAAATGCTGAATTTAAAAGGCTACAACATACTGAATAATAATAATAATAATAATAATAATAATAATAATAATTAGATACACAACAAGATTAGTACACAGCTAACAAGAAAACTGTACTGGCTTTTGTACTGGATAACATATAGGACTATGTGATGTATCGGCTAATAATGAGTGCAGATCCACATAGGGTGGCCTTTTGCAGCGGACAGGTAGTAATTTTGACAGCACCAATTGTTTTCAAGTATTGGCCAAGGTCTTTAAGCACCACGCACAGTGTGCCAATCACCACTGGGATGATGATGATGATTTATACCCCGCTGTTTTTCCACAAAACTTTGAGCTTAGCAAGTTAAAAGATCACATAGTAAAACTGAAAATACTTTAAAAATTCAAACTCATGCAGATGCGTAACGGACCAAAACTAGTACACCCAATGGATTCTCAATCATGACTCCCATCAATGGAAAAGGCCATACTTTGCATCTGGCTAAGTCTCAACCTAACGTATAGACTGTAGAAGCCACACATGTAGATTTGGGGTGGGGGTGGGGTAATTTTATTTATTTGTTGTGTAAATGAAAAAACTATAAGCAAAGAAAAACAAAAGAAAAACACATAAAAAGAAAGTAACGTTATACAGTCATCTAGTGCAAATCATTACATTACAAAACATTAATGCCTGCACAATTTTCACTTCTTGTCAAACCCTCTTACCCCATACCCATGGAACCTATCACCCAAGACCACCAACACCACTCGATGTGGATTTCATATCTAACAAGCATCTACCCTTATTTCTTATCTTAAATAATTCCCTCTGTAGCTACTTTCAAATCTATCTTTGTCTTCCTTTTCAGATAGTCAAATGCTAGCCTCTGTTTATTTACAAATTCTCCATTATTTCCTCCTCAAATACCATTAGTTAGCTTGACCATTTGGATACACTCTAGTACAAGGGTCCTCAAACTTTTTAAACAGAGGGCCAGGTCACAGTCCCTCAAACTGTTGGAGGGCCAGATTATAGTTTGAAAGAAACATGAATGAATTCCTATGCACATATCTTATTTGTAGTGCAAAAAACACTTAAAATTGTTCTTCATTTTAATTATTGTATTGTTTTTAACAAATATAAACTTATTAGTATTTCAATGGGAAGTGTGGACCTGCTTTTGGCTGATGAGATAGGATTGTTGTTGTTGTTGTGTGCTTTCAGGTCATTTCAGACTTAGGTTGACCCTGAGTGAGGGCCAGGTAAATGATCCTGGAGGGCCGTATCTGGCCCCTAGGCCTTAGTTTGAGGACCCCTGCTCTAGTACTTTCACCCTCCAATCTTTAATAATTAACTCTATTTCCCCCTTTCAAGAGTTTTTATTGTTTGTCTTCCTGCAACAAAGTGGTATTGGCAAATTTCTTTGTCTTCTACACTAATACTCTTTCTGAATAATCCTAAGAGGTACATTTCCAGGTTTGTCTTAACCTTTTTAGTGATCATATTATTTGTTTCTGTAACCACCTTTTTTCAAAAAATTTTATACTCTATTGCAGAACCATCAAACATAAAAAAATTACTCATTCTGCGTCCTGTACCTCCAGCATTCCCGTCGACAAGTTTTATCTGTTTTGGCCATTCAATCTGGGGTTATATCGCTTATGTAAAACATTTTATGTTTTCTCTAACTGAACCAGCTATTGAAACTTTAAACCCCTTTCCCCAGAGATGTTCCCAATCCTCCAAATCAGTATTTCTCCCTAAATCTTTAGCCCACAAAATCATCCCAGTTTGTATTCAATTGTCCTCTAAGTTATATTCTAAAATATATTTAGATAGTCTGGAGATTAGGCCTTTGATACCCTTCTCGAAAATGTTCTCTAATTCTGATTTTTATTACTGTATATACTCGAGTATAAGACTAGTTTTCAGCCCCCTTTTTAGGCTGAAAAAGCTCCCCTTGGCTTATACTCGAGTCAAGGTTATTATTTTTCTCTGTTATTTTCTCTGTTTATTTCATGTATTATTTTACTCTATTATTATTACATTTACAGTATGTTACCCTATTATTATTATTTTGCACTATTTATTATTATTATTACATTTATTATTTTACTTTATTAGTATTGCATTTATTATTTTACTCTATTATTACATTTATTATTTTACTCTATTATTACTTTTATTATTGCATTGCCATTATTTTACTTTATGATTATGATTATTAAGCTTATTATTTTCCTCTCTTTACTATTGTTGGAAGGATAAGAAAGAAAAGGTAAGGTTTAGGTCTAATTCCAATTTTCTAGTTGAAAACTCTACCTTCACATCTTTTGTAAATCTATCATGTAACTGATAGAAACAAAACCAATCATTTATCCTAACCCCTCTCTCTTTTTAAATTTCCATTGTTCTGGGCTGTTGTAGGTTTTTTCGGGCTCACTACCTCTGAGGATGCCTGCTATAGATGCAGGTGAAACGTCAGGAGAGAATACTTCTAGAACATGGACATACAGCCCGAAAAACCTATAACAACCCAGTGATTCCAGCCATGAAAGCAGTCGACAATACATTCCAGTGTTCTTTTTCTTGGTAAGGAACTCCCTATAGGTACTTCATTCCATGTGGGTATTTGGTCTCAATACTGCTTCCAATGGGCCAGCCATAACAGAGTTTTTGATTCAATCCCCTTCTTATACCTTTTCCATGTTGCTAAGGATTAGCTCTTATTATATGTCTATTAAATGTCTATTAAAATTTGTCTATTTTGCTTTGTCCTTTTCATACCACAGATAGGCATGCCACCCAAATCGTATATTATGGCCCTCTGAATTAAGTAACTAGCTGTTCTCTCCAGTTTGATCCATTCCTTAAGCCAGGGGTCCTCAAACTACGGCCCGAGGGCCGGGATGTGGCCCTCCTAGGTGAGTTACCCAGCCCTCGCTCAAAGCCAACCTAAATCTGAAACGACTTGGAGGCACACAACAACAACAACAACAACAACAATCCTATCTCATCAGCCAAAAGCAGGCCCACACTTCTCATTGAACTACTAGTAAGTTTATATTTGTTAAAATTGTACTTCATTTAAATTATTGTATTATTTTTAAGTGTGTTTTTTTTTTGCACTACAAATAAGATATGTGCAGTGTGAACAGGATTTTTTTTTCAAATTATAATCAGGCCCTCCAACAATTTGAGGGACTGTGACCTGGACCTCTGTTTAAAATGTTTGAGGACCCCTGCCTTAAGCCAACTGAAACTTGCTGTTTCATAATAATATCCAAGATCTGGAAGCACTAGGGCAGAGTCCTCAAACTTTTTAAACAGAGGGCCATGTCACAGTCCCTCAATTTGTTGGAGGGCCGGATTATAATATGAAAAAAAAAGAATGAATTCCTATGCACACTGCACATATCTTATTTGTAATGCAAAAGACACTTAAAAACAATACAATAATTAAAATGAAGAACAATTTTAACAAATATAAATTTATTAGTATTTCAATAGGAAGTGTGGGCCTGCTTTTGACTGATGAGATAGGATTATTGTTGTTGTTGTGTGCTTTCAAGTCATTTCCGACTTAGGTTGACCCTGAGTGAGGGCCAGGTAAATGACCTTGGAGGGGCGTATTCAGCCCTCGGGCCATAGTTTGAGGACCCCTGCACTAGGGCCCCTCTACCTTTCGCATCTATACGATTCCTATAAGCAATTCTAGCTTTTGTGCCTTTCCAAATGAATTTAACCAGATTTTTCTTCCAAAGTTCAACAATCTTTACTCCTTTGATAATTGGTTAGGTTTTGAAACAAGAACATCATTTTAGGTGGAACCATCACTGCTACCAGGTAAGTTGAACTCTTTACCAAAAAAAAAGAAAAAGAAAGAAAGAAAGAAAGAAAGAATCATGTAGATTTTGGACAAAGATGCACAGATATTGCAAGTCATACTTTGCAAAACTACATTGTTTTCTGCTAGAAATGTTACAAAGTGCTGGATTACTTCAGGAAACACTTGAACCATGGCAGTGCTATGGGATTTGTGTCTTTGTTACCTTGCAATGCCTTGAAGCCCTGCAGAGGCACTCTGGATGACCCAGTCACAAATTGCAGCAGTCGGGCTCTCCTCTCTTCGTCAAAGAGCTCCACGGCTTTCCAGAACCACTTCACAATATTGCTATCCGGCGTGCAGTGCTTTAGCCTCGTGTTGGCCTTCCAGTCATTTACATCTATCTTCCCAAGGCCACAAATGATGAGCTGTTCACAATGATACAAAGGACAGTGGCAATGACTACATGCAATTGATGCTGAAAATAGGAAACTACAGCCTCTGAATGAAAAAGAACGGCTGCTCTAATTTTTTGTTTTTAGTTGCATGTAAGAAATGAGGGCCAGTAAAATTTGACTGTTAACCTAAGCTAGAGATGTTCAAACTTTTAATGTTAGACATACATCCTTTCGCGACATGGGAATTTGGTTTTACTGGCAAAACCAGGGGGCAAACCAACCCCTTATAAGAGGTTCATACAATATATAATATATTGTTTAATACATATACATTTCATATTGAAAGCCACTTAGGGAAGTCACACTCCCTCAGAGGAAGAACATAAAAGGCAAATCATACAATCATAGAGTTAGAAGAGACCTTGTGGGCCATCCAATCCAACCTCCTGCCAAGAAGCTGGAAAATTGCATTCAAAGCACCCCTGACAGATAGCAGTGCAGAGAGTTCCACTGCTGAACGGGTCTCACAGTCAGGAAGTTCTTCCTAATGTTCAGGTGGAATCCCCTTTCTTGTAGTTTGAAGCCATTGTTCCGCATCCTAGTCTCCAGGGCAGCAAAATACAAGCTTGCTCCCTCCTCCCTGTGACTTCCTCTCACGTATTTACTACAAAACTACAAGAAAGGGGATTCCACCTGAACATTAGGAAGAACTTCCTGACTGTGAGACCCGTTCAGCAGTGGAACTCTCTGCCCCGGAGTGTGGTGGAGGCTCCTTCTTTGGAAGCTTTTAAACAGAGGCTGGATGGCCATCTGTCAGGGGTTATTTGAATACAATATTCCTGCTTCTTGGCAGGGGGTTGGACTGGATGGCCCATGAGGTCTCTTCCAACTCTTTGATTCTATTATTCTAACTCTTATTATTATTTTATGATTCTATGAAACCTTGCTCCATCTGCCTGATTTGCCATCAGGGCAATGATTAGTATCACATTGGAAAGGTCACCCCTTTTGGCTTCTTGGGCCATTTGGGATGCCCTCTCTATAAATAAGGCGGTGGACGTTGGCATCAGCGGCTCAGGGCAGTCGACAAGAGACTGAGAGCTTCAAAGCTGGTCATGAAACATATATGTGCAGGTAAGTGCCGAAAGTATCCACATCTCGTGCCTGTCTGCTCTCATTCCCTGTAACCAATTCCCCTCCTTTCTCCAATGGAATTGGTTATGAGTGTCTTCAATTTCTCTCTGTGTGTGATCTTATCTGCAGTACAGACATGCCTCTCATATCCAAACCCAATCCTCTCCAGAACAACAAAAATCCCCTCTCTCCTGCAATCCCCCTGAATCCAATTTTTACAAAAACTGAATAAACCCCCAGAGAACCTGTTTTACAAATTAATTTCGTGACATAACTGTAAAAGGAACTCAAGTGGCTTAATTGATTTGATCATAAACAACAACCCGAATTGTTGTTGTTCTTGTTGTTGTTGTTATTATTAACTATTCATACCCCACCTTTCTCCCCATGGAGATTCAAGGTGGCTAACAACCCCACACTTGACAAGTTTTTAAAAGTGCAACACAAAAGTAAAATAAATAAATAAATAGTAACCGTTTGTTAAAAACAGCATTAAAATACAAGAAATACTTAAAATGGCCTTTAAATCTCATAGCCCTCTGACCCATGTTTCATGTTTCCCAAGAATGAAATATTATTAACAAGCTCAGCTAATCTATATAAATAAAAATGTAATGTTTGTTTGTGGAATTAACAGAACTCAAAAACCACTGGATGAATTGACACATGCACACATTCACACACACACACGTATATATATGCACAAACACACACAAATATACACATATACACACATACATAAATATACATACACACATATATACATATACACACATACACACATATATACAGACACAAAACACATATACACAGACTGGGCCATAGCAATGCGTGGCAGGAGACAGCTAGTAACAGATAAAATGTATGGCCCACTTAAGCCTTCATTGATTAAGAATGTTCAATACAGTTGTTACTCGTAATTATTATGCCTGTGCGGTTTCGTTCGTTAATTTTGTAATTCGTTAAATATTCGTTATTTTTAGCAATTACAAAACGATTACAAAACATATTTTCAAACCCGGAAGTGTTTTTAAATATCGAAACGGCATCCTCCATCTTTTTTACGGGCTTCCACCCGTTTCGGAAATGACGTTTTAGGGATGGAGGATGCTGGGTGCGCTGGGAGCCAATCCTGCGCTCCCAAGCACCGTGGCTGATTGTGATTGGGCGGGCTGCCCTTTAAAAGCGGCTCCGCGTGGCCGCATTGCTCATTGCTGGGAAGGCGAGGAGAAGGGAGGTGCGGGAGGCTTGCTTCAGTTCTATTGCTCAATCGCTGTTGGGACTCGGGAGGCTTTGCCGTTCGCTCCACAACAGGGCAAGCATTTTTAAATATTTCTGAAAAATATCTTTCTTTTATTCTTAAAAAAAATTCAAAAAATATTCTAAAAAAAGAAAAGACCCTTGTGTGCCTGTGTGTGTGAGTTTGTCCCTGTCCTGTGGCTGTGTTCACTCCACAACAGGGCAAGCATTGTTAATTTTCCATTTTTAAATATTTCTGAAAAATATCTTTCTTTTATTCTTCAAAAAAATCAAAAAATATTCTAAAAAAAGAAAAGACCCTTGTGTGCCTGTGTGTGTGAGTTTGTCCCTGTCCTGTGGCTGTGTTCGCTCCACAACAGGGCAAGCATTGTTAATTTTCCATTTTTAAATATTTCTGATAAATATTTCTTTTTTAACAAATCGATTCGTTGCCACCTTAACGAATCGACCCCCGTCTTCATAACGAAGTTTCAGAGGTGATTTGCGCATGCGTGGGGGGTCCGCCATCTTAACAAATCGATTCGTTAATATTAACGAAATTTCGTAAATACTGAACTTTTTTAAAGGAAAGTTTTGTAATTATTTTAAATATCAAAACGCAAAAAAACCCCAAATACAAATCGATTTTAGAAACAAATTTTTGCATTGTTACCCAGGCCTAATTATTGCCCCTGCAAATCCTCTGTAGAAGTTCAGAGCTGAACTTTACACGTTCCCAAATTTAGGAATATTCTCTTGTTACGCTTAACAAATGTAGCATTCGCACACTGACCTCTAGCTCTTTCTCATCAAACGTCTTCAGTAGATGTTGTGGGATTACTTCATTAAATCCCTTCTGCAGAGCCAGAAATTGAGCTTCAATCCCTCGTAAAAATCGCCAGTTTACATAAAGCCTGCAACAAAAATCACAATCTGTTTGCAAAGGGGTCTTTTCCTTCATACCTAGCACCTAAGGTTTGCGCCACTGCTTTTTTTTTTAATTATTATTTTGCTACCAGAAAACACAGACACATATACATACCTGACGTATTCCTTTTTATTCTCCTCTGTGACTGGAATGCTTTTGCCATTCGGTTTAAGTTCATGTTGTATAATTTCACCATAAGCATTATGTTCTACACAAAACGTATGGTCCAAGACTCCTGTAATATCGTTCTCACTAAAGTAGTAAAGGAAACAGAGGTAAACGAAGAGTCTGTGCAGAATGAGAAAGTCATGCAATTCTCCTCCTGACTCTGCTCTTAAAGGACTTTTAAGTACAACGGAAATGTCATACAACAGAAATAACGTCAAAAATAGCATCATCATCTTTCCCAGAGTCAAAGTAGAATTATCAATACTAAAGGTGACATGTAAAAATGTTTTGGAATAGTAATTAAGCTTGTGGTGCACATGTGTGTGAGAGGGGAAGGGCCAATTTGATCGTACGTTTCTAGAAATAATATTCTTAAAAAGCTATAGTCATATTGGAGATTTCATGATTTGATTTTTGTTTTGTTTTATTGTTTTGTATTATTTTGTTTTTATTGTTTTATTATTGATGTGTTGTGGGCTCGGCCTCATGTAAGCTGCACCGAGTCGCTTGGGAGATGGTAGCGGAGTATAAATAAAGTATTATTATTATTATTATTATTATTATTATTATTATTATTAGATTCACTGCTTTGGAATGAGGTGAATTTAAGAATAAATGAGAATGACTATAAACGAGTTGCCTATGGCAACATTAAATTTCCTGATGCTGAATATAAATGTCAAACTGAGGAAAGTTTGATTTGTTTTAGAATTGAGAGTGCCTATATATAAAGCTTTTTTCTGTTGGTGATACTGAAATTAGTTTGCATCTCAGAACTTACAAAATACGGTAATTACTTTGGTTAGTTCTGCTCGTACTTATCAATTTGTCCATCTTTCTCCCTCCTCACCTAACCAAACATGTCCAAAGGAGTACTTGTGTGGGGGAAAAGAAAAAAAATGTGTAGGACAGCTCTGACACATAGCTTCAGAAGAAGTCCTACTTAAAAACTATCAGATATAAGGTGTGAAACTCATTTTCATCGAGGGCCACATCAGCCTTATAATTGCCTCCAAAGGGCCGTTGGCTCCATGGACAAAAAATCTATGGAGACATTGGGCCAACAATATATTTTTCACATAGTGGTCAGTGCTCTTTAGTTTTTACCAGTTTGGGTCCCCAGATGCTACTGAAGACAACTCCCATTACCTTTCATTACATTATGTAACACAATAACGACAACATTTATTATAGTGCATAGACCCATCAGTGAATAAACAGTCATAAATAAATTCTCCCATCTCAGGAGAAGTTCACTGTACAAGATATACCTACATGGTCCAAGTAATACCCCTATCGGAGGTTACTTTCTTTCTCATCCTTGTTGACACTGCGAGGAATTTGCCACTATGAGGGTCACCCTGTGGCACTTGTCCTCTAAATGATATCTAACAATCCTCTACGGCAGGGGTCGGGAACCTTTGGCCCTCCAGGTGTGGTGGACTTCAACTCCCACAATTCCTTGAGGCTCGGCATTCGCCCCAAAGGCTTACCTTGGCCCAACGAGGTTTGTTTGGCTCTTTTTCATGGAGGACGGGCAGCAAAGGGGGAGAGACGAGCGTAACGTAGCTGTGCAGATGGCGAGGAAGGATGCGGAGCCCACAGACTGGCCTCGGAGGGAGAGAGCGGGCGGAAACCCCTGCGGGCAACGCGCCTCCTCGCCGCTTCTCTGTAAACAGCGCAGAGCCCTTTCCCTCCAGCCTTCGCCTTCCCTTTTCCCCGACAAGCTCTGCACGACGTCACTCAGCCGGCGTCGTTGCTAGGGAGGGGGTCCATGCGGGGCGGTTGCTACGGGCCGAAGCGGCGAGGAGGCGCGTTGCCCGCAGGGGTTTCCGCCCGCTCTCTCCCTCCGAGGCCAGTCTGTGGGCTCCGCATCCTTCCTCGCCATCTGCACAGCTACGTTACGCTCGTCTCTCCCCCTTTGCTGCCCGTCCTCCATGAAAAAGAGCCAAACAAACCTCGTTGGGCCAAGGTAAGCCTTTGGGGCGAATGCCGAGCCTCAAGGAATTGTGGGAGTTGAAGTCCACCACACCTGGAGGGCCAAAGGTTCCCGACCCCTGCTCTACGGGGAATGTCTGGTCACACTTGGGACAAAACTGGATATAAAAGTTGGCTATGTTGCACTGCTTAATAACGGACCTGCGATAAAATGTGCTCTATTGTTTCTACTTTATTTCCTTCACAGAGGCATAGTCTTTGGGAGTAAGGAATGTAACATGATTTAAGTTCCTGGGTTATAAATGTCATTTCTACCATAAAGACATGGAAAAAAATAATTAAAATGGCAAAAAATGTATTTGAGGAATATCCTGCAGCACATTTTGCTATAGTTTTTCAATGAATATCTCATTGAGTCTCAAACAATTCAACATAGTTTGTGGCAGCCATGAAAATGAAGTTTCTGGAGTGTAACAACTACTTTCAAAAAAATTAAACGGGAATAACACTTTCAAACCAGAAAGAGATTTTTTTTCAAATTTTGTTACACAGTGTTATTCTCCAGACGGACTGGGGATAATGGGAATCGCAATCCAACAGCACTTGTGGTTCTGAGGTTGGGGAAAGATTAAATGACATTTTAAAGTCAGGCATCATATCCACAAGCCTTGTATCTAAATTCAAACCCCACTCTACTTGGTAGACAGAACAAAATGTAGCCTACCAAATGTGACTGCATCACAACTCCCATCAGCTCTAGTCATTATGCCTAATGAGGAATACAGGAGTTGTGGCCCAGAATCTGAAAGGCACTGAGGGCCTTGAGTTTGACACATGTGCATAAATCATCTACAGTTTTGGTGAAATTGTTGTTACAAGGCAAATATATTTGAGATTTTTTTTAATTTAAAAAAATACAATCAATCTAAACATAATTATCCTTTTGAAGGGCTTGGTACATACAGTATCCATACTAAGCTGTTGTGAAGATCTGGGTCGACTAATTCCATGTCATCCAGTGTAATTGGCTTTCCCAGCAACTGCTTATAAAAAGGCAACGTGAAGCCCCCGTCAATGTAATGTCCATGAAACACAGCCATCCCCATGATCCGCCCCACAAAGTGGAAGTAGGACAAGTGTTCCTGGAGTGGAAAGAACACAAATATCCATATCAATCCTAATTACTGAGATCTGGATAATGAAACATTGTCACATTTTGCAACACACATTAGATTGCTTAAATGACACTACAAAAGTCAAAAACCTTTTTAAAAGCTTAAAGGAAATTTAAGCTGTCTCTTCTAACAAAATAAAGGAAGTTAGAAAAATAACAGTATACAGGACAAAATAATAATAATCAAGGAAAAAAATTAAAGTATGCATATTTAAACATAATCCCAATTAGTTAAAGAATAAGAGCTAAACATATATACAAGATCTTTCAAACCGCTTATCTAAGGTTAGCTTGGTTTATATTATCAAAGGAGACAGTCTAATACTGAGGAAATCTAAAGCAGCTTTGCATAAATATTGCTGCTTTCCTAACCTTTATTCTGGTGGTTGTAGCATTTTAGTAAGCCTTCAGCTTTGCTTTGTTTTGTTGTCTTGGTCTTGCCAGTTTAACTACCATCTGTAATGCTAAATATATCCTGTCTATCTATCCATCCTATATTTATGGTATCAGCTTCCACATTGGCTATGTTTCTGTTCTGTTACTAATGTGCTGTGCTGTGACATGGGTCAAGGATTTGGGGATATTTGAGATTAACTTGGAGAGCAGGACTGCAAGCACCTGAAGAAATAGGAGGTAGGAAGCAATCTCCTCCTTGTAAAACATCTAGGTTAGATGTTGCTGTTTCTGAGGTCTTTTGTATCCAGCTACTAATCCATAGTTGTTAAGACATTTAACAAGCTTCATTTCATATTGCACTCCTTCTCTTCCCCAATGCTGATAAATGAACTAGTAACAGTAGCTTTGTCATTAGTGGCACAGATGGGACAGCTTCCCAAATCGTCTTTACAGGTCTATGCCCACTGACAATATCAGGAAATCTGGCTGTAAGCGTTCCTAATGGAAAGGGTTCTTAATATATTTATTTAATATCACAATCTGTTCTAAAAATAAAGCATATGATCACACAAAATGAGGATTTATAATGTTAATATCAATACTGAAAAGACATCTTGCTGGGTAGAAAGAGCATATAAATTTAAGGAAGTGCTTATTTATACCGGGTTAACAGCAGAATCTGGATTTATCTGTAGCGTATAGATGTCATCACGCGAATATTGGAAGAGGCCATAATAGGGATTCAGCATTTCATGGGAAAGCAAATAGAGCCATTCTCTGAAGAAAACACAAGCACGCTGAGATCAGATGAGAGTTGCACAAAAATATAGATTGCATCTGTCAAGTAGGAAAATTAGGTACCACTTATGTGGGGAGGCTAAGTTAACTAATTTACGCGGCCATAAAAAAAATATCCAGCAAAAGCATGCGGAGAATGAGGAAGTACTTTGTCAGATGGACGGTAAAGCGACAGCTCCCCTGGTGGCTAGAAAAGTTGGAAGGTTAAATAGCCTCTGACTGTCTATCTATATGTGTTGTGTGTCTATGGTATTGAATGTTTGCCATGTATATTGTATATTGTAATCCGCCCTGAGTCCCCTGTGGGGCGAGAAGGGTGAAATATAAATACTGTAAATAAATAATCATGATCCTATTGTTTTTATTGATTTTGATGTATAAACTAACTGTCTTAATTGTTATAATTGCTGTTTACATGTTTTATCCATTGTTATGTTTATGCTGGCATCAAATTATGCCTTTGTAAGCCGCCCTGAGTTCCTCCTCGGGGGTTGAGAAGGGTGGGGTAGAAATGCGTGAAATAAATAAATAAAATAAATAAGGGTTATGCTTAGGGTCTTGTCTCAATTTTATTTCAACTAAGCATCTCGGGGACTTGTTTGATCTCTTTTGTAAATTCATGCTAAATTATGAGAAAATGTTATGTAGAACATACAAAGTACACAACACTCCATGCAAAACTTAGTATTCTGTGAATAAAGCTAAGAAGACTTCACATTTTTGTAAGAACAGCTAAATCCCAGAAACTAGCAATGGAAGGGATTATACAACATTTCTAATTGTGGGGGTAGGGTTGGTGGAGGCATACACAGCACAGAATAAAATAAGGAAACCTATTAAAGAAAACAGTAACAGTAACCAATTGAAGTACAAGACTGAAGAAAATACAGTACTTTATTTAGTTCTTTAAAAAGTACAGTAAGAAAACAGACAAAAACAACAGTATTCAATCTATCCTCAGCATATCCTTCCTCTAAACTCAGAAATAGCATTTTAGTTGAATGGAGTCACTGATTCTTTTAATTATATATTAGTAATGCAGCATGGACACAATATCACAGATGCTTATTTTATTTCAGGTCAAGAATACATTTTAAAATTGCCAAGGAAGCTCCAATAATTTTATCCCATAATAAAATAATATTGGCATCTCCGGTTATGTATATCATATTTAAGATCTCATTTAATGCTTAATTAGCATTCTGTAGCAGTTACTTATTTCAGTGCATGAGCAATGCAAGCGTACTTTAACTTAGATGCATACAGTTCAGCTATTGTGTCCTAAATAATTATGTGACAGCATGTTGAAATATGCCAATAACTCAAAGGACTATTACTTTAAAAGACTATATTTTAAAGTGCTAAATAAATTTGCTCCCGTTGATAAATATTGGCTTAAGCAACAGCAAGAGTACATAGAATTTTATAGTGCTTCTAAGATTTACTCCCCTGGCTCAGGTCACTAAATCTCATTGCCAGCTGGCCAGTTTGTGCTAAATGGAATTGCTGATGGAAGGAAAGCAAGTTAGATCTCAATAGCACCTGAAACAGCTTTATTCTAGTTTTGAAATGGATAAAAAGCTGCCCAGAAGCATTTGCTTGTTGTTAGTTGTTAGAAATATATGTGCTTTGGATTTAGGCAGAGAGGAATTATCCTCTGCTCCAGCCCACACTTTCCTTCCCATCAGCTAGATCCATTTGCCATCTGAAATGTGCTTTTATTTATTATGCACCTTGACAGAAAATGTATTAAGTGAATGTCAACAAATCAGTTTGTCCCGTTCTTCCACTTAGATCAAGTGTTTGTTAACTCACTTGTCTTAAATGCCCTCTCAAGACCAATGCAGTCTAAAATATTTTGCATGACACCATGGATAGGTCTCAATAATATACTGTTGGGTTGTTGTAGGTTTTTTCGGGCTATATGGCCATGTTCTGGACGCATTTTCTCCTGACGTTTCGCCTGCATCTATGGCAAGCATCCTCAGAGGTAGTGAAGTCTGTTGGAACTAGGAAAATTGGGTTTCTATATCTGTGGAAAGTCCAGGGTGGGAGAGAGAACTCTTGTCTGTTGGAGCTAGTTGTGAATGTTTCAACTGGCCACCTTGATTAGCATTTGATTGCCTGGCAGTTTTTTGGTGTGGCTTGTTAGTGCCTGGGGGAATCTTTTGTTGAGAGGTGATTAGCTGTCCCATTTGATGGCCTGGCAGTGCCTGGGGCAATCTTTTGTTGAGAGGTGATTAGATGTGCATCAAATGCTAATCAAGGTGGTCAGTTGAAACATTCACACCTAGCTCCAACAGACAAGAGTCCCACCCTGGTCATTCCAGAGATATATAAACCCATTTTCCTAGTTTCAACAGACCTCACTACCTCTGAGGATGCTTGCCATAGATGCAGGCGAAACGTCAGGAGAAAATGCCTCCAGAACACGGCCATATAGCCCAAAAAAACCTACAACAACCTAGGGATTCCGGCCATGAAAGCCTTCGACAATACAATACATTGTTGTTGGGAAAATCCACTCACCCACCTCACAACTATGAGGACTGCTGATAAGTTCCACAAAAGCAAGGAAGCTTGATTGGGGTGACAAACATTATCGCCTTTGCTCATCAGATAAACCAGCAATTTTCATACTATACTTTAATACTGAAGCTGGGAGCTGGCATTAGCCTTGCTTAGGACCATAGAGGGCTTCTCTTTAGAATAAGAAAGGTTGAACTCTTGTGACAAAAAAAATTGATCTATTGCGTATCTTATTTTGTGTCATATAATCTTGTATGCTTTCTACTTTAGATATACATTCTTCTATTAAAATGTAGTAAGATTAGGGACTGTTCTGAAAAAAAATGTTGCTAGAAGGCCAACATGGGAAACTGAGCCTACATCCTCAAATTCACCAGAAATTGCTGGACTGACTTTAAAATCCACCACTACATAGTGCACCCATGGGCAAAACCTGTTGTTTCTGGATCATCACAAAATGAAAAGAATGTAATTGTTTACCTGGCAACTCCTCCATAATCGAGGCCTTCTTCCCCACGAAATTTTATCATTAATCTCTTCCATAGGTCTTTAGGCCTCATCTTCATGACTTGCCTGTAAGACTCCTGAAATTAAATTGGATATGGCTTTGTGAGTACTATCACAATACTTATACTCTACTTACAATTATAATCATATTATTCAAATGTATATGCCTTATTATTTATTTATTTATGATATTTATATGCCGCCCTTCTCACCCCAAAAGGGACTCAGAGCGGCTTACAAGATATAGATATATATATATACTAGCTGTGCCCTGCCACGCGTTGCTGTGGCCTATAGTAAAACTTATCAAAGTTGAGGTAGATATCTGGACTTTTATGAAAGAGAGGTACCTACCTATTCCTTCCCCCTTTTCCTCCCCCTTTCTCTCCTTTCTTCCTTCTCTACCTCTTTCTTTCTTTCCTTCTTTCACTACTTGGTTTCACCCTTCTCTCTTTCCTTCATTCCCTCCCCCTTTCTTCCTTTGCCTTTCTTCCCTCCCTGTTTGCTTCCTTCTTTCACTTTTTATTTCCTTTTATTTACCACCATCATAACAATAACAATAATGCAATGCATTGCCTCTGGGACCTGACACCTCTCCCATTCCCCCTAAAAGGGTCTCATAGGAATAATAGCATAATAATAATAATAGAAATAACAACCTTTACCCGCCACGTTGCTGTGGCCAACCTTCCCTCTTTCTCTCCTTCTTTCCCTCATTCCTTCCTTCCTTCTCTTTCCTTCTCCTTTCCTTCTATCTCTTCCTTCCTTCCCCCTTTCTTTCTCTTCTTCTCTTTTCTTCCTTCTCCCTTCTTCTTTCTTCCCTCCCTCTTTCTCTCTCTTCCCCTTTTCCTCCTCTCCTTCCTTCTTTCCCTTTTTCTTCCTCCCTCTTTCTCTTCTTCCTTCTCTACCCCTTCCTTCCTTCCCCCTTTTTCTTCTCTTCTCTGTCTCTCTTTTCTTTCTTTCCATCCTTTCTTTCCTTTTCTTCTTCCTTCTTTCTCTAACTTTCCTTCCTTCCCCCTTTTTCTTTACCTCCCTTTCTCTTTCTTCCTTCTTTCTTTCTTCCTTCCTGTCTTTCCTAGATTTTGACAGGGCGGGAAGGGGCGGGGTGGGGTTTGGAGGTGGCGTGAAGTAAAAGGAGGTAAGATTGGGGCAGGGGAGTGATGGAGCGTGGGGTTGTGTGTGTGTGTGCGCGGCGGGGAGTGAGGGAGCGTGGGGTTGTGTGTGTGCGGCGGCGGGGGGAGTGGGGTTGCATGTGTGTGTGCGGCGGCGGGGGGAGTGATGGAGCGTGGGGTTGCGTGTGTGTGTGCGGCGGCCGGGGGAGTGATGGAGCGTGGGGTTGCGTGTGTGTGTGCGGCAGCGTGATGGAGCATGGGGTTGCGTGTGTGTGTGCGGCGGCGGGGGGAGTGATGGAGCGTGGGGTTGTGTGTGTGCGTGCGGCAGGAGGTGTGTGTGTGCGGGAAGCGGCGCGGCGGGGCTTGGAGTGGGCATGGCTTCCGCAGAGGGAACGTTGGCCGGAAGACTGTGTGCACGCCCAGGGAACTTGCGGCTGGGCGCCAATGCGCATGCTCAGTTGTTTTGCCGTATTGTGAGTGTGTTGTTGTGTTGTTTTTCATTTTGAGTAGATATGTTTGTACCTTGTGGTTGTGTTATGGGCATGGGAATTTTGGTTAAGTTTCGTTGGGTTTTTTTTGAGTTTTGTTGTTTTGCCGTTTTGTGAGTGTGTTGTTGTGTTGTTTTTCATTTTGAGTAGATATGTTTGTACCTTGTGGGTTGTGTTATGGGCATGGGAATTTTGGTTAAGTTTCGTTGGGTTTTTTTGAGTTTTGTTGTTTTGCCGTTTTGTGAGTGTGTTGTTGTGTTGTTTTTCATTTTGAGTAGATATGTTTGTACCTTGTGGGTTGTGTTATGGGCATGGCAATTTTGGTTAAGTTTCGTTTGGGGTTTTTTGAGTTTTGCTGTTTTGTGAGTGTGTTGTGTTGTTTTTCATTTTGAGTAGATATGTTTGTACCTTGTGGGTTGTGTTATGGGCATGGCAATTTTGGTTAAGTTTCGTTGGGTTTTTTTGAGTTTTGTTGTTTTGCCGTTTTGTGAGTGTGTTGTTGTGTTGTTTTTCATTTTGAGTAGATATGTTTGTACCTTGTGGGTTGTGTTATGGGCATGGGAATTTTGGTTACGTTTTGTTGGGGTTTTTTTGAGTTTTGTTGTTTTGCCGTTTTGTGAGTGTGTTGTTGTGTTTTTTTTCATTTTGAGTAGATATGTTTGTACCTTGTGGGTTGTGTTATGGGCATGGGGATGTTGGTTAAGTTTCGTTGGGGTTTTTTGAGTTTTGTTGTTTTGCCGTTTTGTGAGTGTGTTGTTGTGTTGTTTTTCATTTTGAGTAGATATGTTTGTACCTTGTGGGTTGTGTTATGGGCATGGCAATTTTGGTTAAGTTTCGTTGGGGGGATTTTGAGTTTTGCTGTCCCGTTGAATCAACCTAACAGATATATATATATATATATATATATATACACATACACACACACACACACACACACAATATATTATATTATTAGCATTGTACAATATCAGTATTATATATTACTATATTGAACTATACCATTATATTGTAATATTATTAGTAATAAATAAAATATATAATTATAATATCGTATTATTATTAATATTATATTGTATTACATTATCTATATAAATAAAAATGTAATGTTCGTTTGTGGGATTAACAGAACTCAAAAAACAGTGGGCGAATTGACACCAAATTTGGGCAGCATACACCTAACAACCCAATGTATGTCCTTCACTCAAAAAAAATGAGTTTGTCATTTGGGACTTGTAGTTGCTGGGATTTATAGTTCACCTACAATCAAAGAGCATTCTGAATCCCACCAATGATGGAATTGAACCAAACTTGGCACACAGTTCTCTCATGACCAACAGAAAATACTGGATTTGGTGGGCAGTGTTCTTTGGTTTGGGAGTTGTAGTTCACCTATATCCAGAGAGCACTGTGGACTCAAACAATGATGGATCTGGACCAAACTCTACATGAATACTCAATATGCTCAATTGTAAACACTGTTAGAGTTTGGGGAAAATAGAATCTTGACATTTGAGAGTTGTAGTTGCTGGGATTTGTAGTTCACCTACAATCACAGAGCATTCTGAACCCCACGGACAATAGAATTGGGGCAAAACTCCCACACAGAACCTCCATGTGGGCCACAGCAACGCATGGCAGGGGATGGCTAGTAATATTATAAATATTATATGTATATACAATATATTACATTACATTATTAGCATATACTCGCAATAACCTCTGAGGATGCTTGCCATAGATGCAGGCGAAACGTCAGGAGAGAATACTTCTAGAACATGGCCATACAGCCCGAAAAAACTACAACAACCCAATAATCTGAATTAAATAAAGCCATGAACATTGATGCAATGGATATTTTGTGGGGAGCGGTCCTTTACTGTAAATGCTAATAGACATACTGCACCAAAGTCACACATTAACTTATGGGATAATAACCCACTGAGCCAGTATAACATAGTTTTCTCTTTTCCCATTTGCCAATTTTGTTTCCTCCGGCTTGTTTCGCTCTGTCCTGCCCAGTATGCTTTATTCTGCTGTAAATAAAAATTTTATTCAAAGTTACCTCAAAGATTTCTTCTCTGGAGACTTCTATGCGACAGTGTCCAGCTTGGGGCTGCTGCTGAGACAGCTCTTGCCTCAGAATCTTAAGCTTTTGCACTAAGTCCCGCTTGTACCTTGGCACCGTTAGGCATTCGGCTTCATCAGGAAGCTGGCACAATGAAACTACCTGTTGCTGCTGCTGGTGCTGCTGTTGGTCTTTAAGTTGGTTCTGACGGCTGAAAAAAAATAGAAGCTCTGATTAATTCAAGGTTTTCAGTTGTTTCTCATAATTAATCAATAGGCAATGGAATCAAAATGTTCAGGCAAATATAATGGTGGTTACTATAGTTACAATGTCTTGTTTTGCTACAATTCTTTTAAGATGACTGAGGGCATGCACATCTGTCTGGTTTGATATTTTTCAACCAGCTTCAGAGGGTTTAAAACATTCTAGTAAGTATGCGGCAGCAGTATTTTTGTGTCAAATGTTCAAAAGCTCTCATGTTTCCTTTGTATGTTTTAATGTCTTTCATGTTAATATTCAGGATTACGTCAAGATACACACACACACACACACACACACAAGTCTAAAACTGGATACCACACTGCTTTAAATGGCTTTCCTGAAGAATGAGCTTACAAAAATGTGTGTACAGGCACTTTGGCAAAGGTGGTGCCCCTTGTACCTGGACTAGTCTTGACCACAGGAATGTAGGCAAACTCACATGTAGCCAGTTGGCGGGGATACATGAATATTTTCACTAGCTGTGCTTAAAAATGTATCAGAGCTAAATTTGGACTGTGCATGTGGGTGGGGGCCTTCATAAGAAAGCATTTTAAGATTAAAGAATTCTTGATATTCTCTACAGCTATGAGGTTAGGAGTAATGGGAACATGTGCTGCATTGTAAGTAGACCATATTTTGCAACTTTTTTCTTAAAAATGTGTACAGACAATGAAGCGGGCGGGGCGGACAACACAATTCTTAGGTGGACAAATAGAAAAAATTCCATGTTCAAAAGTTACAAAAGCATTCTGGTTATTATGCTGATTATTTCAACTATATTTGTACAGAAATATAGCCTTTGAAACATACGAAAGGGGGACAGGTTGCTGATCTGTAACTGTAGTTTTTTGCGTGACCATCTGTGAATTTGCAGAAACATATTTTTTGCAATGTATTGTCGAAGGCTTTCATGGCCGGAATCACTGGGTTGTAGGTTTTTTCGGGCTATATGGTCATCGTCTAGAGACATTCTCTCCTGACGTTTCGCCTGCATCTATGGCAAGCATCCTCAGAGGTAGTGAGGTCTGTTGGAAACTAGGAAAAAGGGTTTATATATCTGTGGAATGACCAGGGTGGGACAAAGGACTTGTCTGCTGGAGCTAGGTGTGAATGTTTCAACTGACCACCTTGATTAGCATTTGATTGCCTGGCAGTGCCTGGAGCAATCTTTTGTTGAGAGGGGATTAGATGTTTGTTTGTTTGTTTCCTTTCTGTTGATGTGCTGTTCTAATTTTAGAGTTTTTTTTTAATACTGGTAGCCAGATTTTGTTCATTTTTATGGTTTCCTCCTTTTCCTAGTTCAACAGACCTCACAACCTCTGAGGATGCTTGCCATAGATGCAGGCGAAATGTCAGGAGAGAATGCCTCTAGAATATGGCCATATAGCCCGAAAAAACCTACAACAACCCAGTACTCTCCCCTCTTTATGGAATGACTCTAGAGCAGTGGTTCTCAACCTGTGGGTCCCCAGGTGTTTTGGCCTACAACTCCTAGAAATCCCAGCCAGTTTACCACCTGTTAGGATTTCTGGGAGTTGAAAGCCAAAACATCTGGGGACCCACAGGATGTTCTAGAGATCTTTTCTAAGCATTTTGACAGTAGCCCCACAGATCATAGCAGTGCACTTCCCACCTAAACCTTCGGTTCCCTGGACAGAAAAGCAGCCAAAGATCTAAGGATAGACAGGACACAACAAAAGTAGGACAGATGGCATTATGTGAGTTCCTAGATGACCACTTGAAGAACTATAAGCAAATCATCCTTCTTCATGGTCCCCTTAATGTCAGAAAATACAGTATTTTCTAAACAAGAAGAATACACCTACAGTCAACCTTGTTATTTTATTAGAATTCAACAGAAATAAAACCAATAGGGCCATTAAAACACTCTCAAATATCTTGCTCTAAATAACAAAGAGAACACAAGGTGGCTGACTTGGTGCTTCACTTTATATGGGGCAAAACTTTGGTGTGGTGCAAAGAGATTTTCCTTTTCTACAGTCACCTATCTTGACAAAAACTATGATGTTATGCAGTAACATGTTGCTGAGCAAACTGGAGCTAAAGACATGAGACTGTAAGAGATGGAGTACCAGAGGCCATTTTAAAATGTTTGCCTAGCATGCAAAATGCCCAGTGTCATCAATGCTTATTATATCCTTTTTGTGATCAATTTTCCTGATTCTAAAAATCTACTACAGTATGACTCTGCATCCATGGGCCCAGGATCCGTGTTTTCACCTACCAGCATCCAACAAGATATGTCCTCTCTAGAAATGTTCTCCGGCCTCCAGGCCAAAATTGCAAATGAGGAGGGATGGTGGTAGATGTAATTTTAGTAAAATTGACAATTTTATCTTAATTGTTTAGAAAATCAAATGTTATAGATATATCAAAATGTGTATTTTTTTTTGCTGATGACACTGCTCATTGGATTTTTCAAATCCTTTCGTAATGAAAAACAGATGTACAAATGAAAAAGCTGAAGGATGTGGTTAGAACAACTTATGAATTACAAAAAAGCTTCTATAATTTTAGAATTTGCATGAAACACGAGATTTCTTCTAAAGACTATTGTCAGCTATTTTGGAAATCTATATAGATGAAATCAGTTACTCATAGAATATTACTGCTGAGAGAAAAAAAGAAAAGTGTTTGCAAAATCCAAAAGAAATGCTTAATAATAATAAAAACTTAAACATTCCTCTGCAGTAGGCCTCTGCAGTAGGCATATGAATATTGTATTTTCTAGCAGTAGATATACACTAGCTACACCTTCCTGTATTTCCATACAATGGGAAGATACGATTTAACATTTTTAACTTGCTGGAGCCTCTCAGGCTACCTCCAAAAAGAGATTCCTATTCCAGAGTTTCATCATCTAATCCTGCCCTCTGGCTTCTTGCTGCCCCGCTCCCTACAGATGCACTTGGTTTTCTAGCCATTCAGCCTTTTATGGAGCATCTACTTAATGCTACACAGGTGTTTCCTAGAAATAGCATTTAAAAGGCGTCAAGATTGAGGAACAACAAAGGAAAATTCCAGGGGTGTCTGAACAAATGGATAGTTTTGTCTAGACAATAGAAAATGTGACTTTGAAAGCCTCTTCTGCTCTTGGAAACCTGGCTAACCAATGGAGGAGGGATGGGGAAGAGACGCACAAAATGCAGGAGCAACTAGGGAGAAGACAATTTTATTGCCCATTACTTGGGGCAACTGTTTCAAAGTGAAATAGACACAGTTTTGTCTTTCATCTCAAAATAACTCAAGGTTTTGCTTCCCTTTGAAAGAATTTAATCACAGTTATCCCTCAGGAAGTTTTATAACGCAAAACACATTGAGCAATAAATTGTCTTCTATATATCGTTGAAATCTCTTCCTTTCTTGATCTTGGAAACACAGAAAAATTGGAGGGCTCTTGTTTTTTTTCTCAAAAGCTTTTGAGGTTGGGAACATGGTCAGCTTCAGATTCGTGTACAAGATGAAACCCAAACAAAATGCATATTCTTACAATAACATATGCCATCCATTCTCTAATACATATGTAGCATTTTGAAGCAATTAGTGGTTTATGTGCTTCAAATAATTCTAATTGCCCCCTAGAATAATGGTTTCTAATCTACATACCCCCACACGTTGCTGGGTCTCAAATCCCAGCACAGCTGATGGTCAGAGATTCCAAATAGTGTAGTCTAAGAACATCTGAGGACTCAATGCAAGAAACCACTGGTTCTAAACACGGAGCGACAAGCAGACCACATTTCTGTGTACGAACCCACATGATCTCTTCGATCATCTGGAGAGGCCCTGCTCTCGCTCCCGCCCCCTTCACAGGTGTGATTGGTGGGGATGAGGGAAAGGGCCTTCTCTGTGGTGGCCCCCCAACTCTGGAACTCACTTCCTAAGGATATCAGGCAAGCCCCCACATTGGCAGTCTTTAGGAGGAGCCTGAAAACGTGACTGTTCCAGTGTGCCTTCCCCAGCAAAATGTCCTCAGAAGCACTTTAACTACTCGTTGAATTGCTCTCCCTTCATTTCTTTTAAAACCCTCCTACTGGATACATCCTACCTCTGCTCATGCCCAGCATTTATTTTTTTAATTTTAAACTATTACATTTGGCCCAGCCATAGGTTTTTTAAATCCTTGTGTGTTACTGTTTATATGTGAGCTATATTAATTGTATTGTGTTTTGCTTATTGTTTTTGTTTTATTGATCTGTTGTCGGGCTTGGCCTCATGTAAGCCACTCCGAGTCCCCTTGGAGAGATGGTGGCAGGGTATAAATAAGGTTATTATTGTCATTATTGTTATTATTATTATTATTATTATTATTATTATTATTATTATTATGTTTTCATCGATAAATTAATTGATATTAATTTTACAGTCTCTCTCAAAAAAAGAGAGCCAAGATAACTAAGAATAAAAATGAATAGGAAAAGTATAATTTTAAAAGAACAAAACAGGCTGGGTAAAAACTTGGTGCTACATGTCTAGAGTAACTTTACCCTGGTGAAAAACATTGGATGCTTGTACTACAATCAAATGCTCACTTTCCTAAGACAAGCTCTATGCAGTGGGGCTTTAGAGTAAACAGGCACAGAATTGGGATTGTAGAGTGTCGATTAGCATTTGTTTTGCTTAGTGTGAAGTATTAAGAAGTCTAAATATACTTAATATATCACCGACTGGAAATCATATTATACTCTGGCTCTGTTAGTTCTGTTGGTTTTATTGGCCACATAATAATTTTAATAACTAATTTAAATGGGAAGTCAGATCTGGCCACGGTGGTCCACGCTCTTGTCACATCCCGGCTGGATTACTGCAACGCACTCTACGTGGGGTTGCCTTTGAAGACTGCTCGGAAACTACAACTAGTCCAGCGAGAAGCAGCCAGATTGCTCACCGGAGCGACGTACAGGGAGCATACAACCCCCCTGTTGCGTCAGCTCCACTGGCTGCCGATCCAATTCCGAGCACAATTCAAAGTGCTGGTTTTGACCTACAAAACCCTATACGGTTCCGGCCCAGTGTATTTGTCCGAACGGATCTCCCTCTACGTCCCACCTCGAAGCTTAAGATCTTCTGGGGAGGCCCTGCTCTCGACCCCGCCACTGTCACAAGTGAGGCTGGCGGGGACGAGGAGCAGGGCCTTCTCAGTGGTGGCCCCCCACCTGTGGAACTCACTCCCCGGGGAGATTAGATCGTCATCTTCCCTTTTGGCGTTTAGGAAAAAACTGAAGACCTGGATCTGGGATCAAGCCTTTGGTCATTCTGACAGCTAACTGAAGGATCTGATGATAGACAAGGACAAATGGAATGGAATGGATATATGGACTCTGAACCTGAGCATGAGATTGTTTTTAATATTTTATGATGCACTGATGTTTTAATTTAACTGTTGAATTGCTTCTTTGTATTTTGTATTGCTGTCAATTGATTTAGGCATCTAATTGTGCCTCCTCTGTAAGCCGCCCTGAGGCCCCCCCGGGGTGAGAAGGGCGGGGTATAAGTAAATGAAATAAATAAATAAATAAAAAATCTTGTTTTTCTAACCCCAGTGAATGTGGGGTTTTTGACATGGTGGTTGTGGATTTTTTTTTTTTTTTTTTTTTTTTTTTTTTTTTTTTTTTTTTTTTTTCTTTTTTTTTTTTTTAATGAATTTAAATTGTGGCTTTATATACATTTATGTCTTGATGATAGATGTAGATTAATTGACAGGTTATTTTATTTTTTAATTTCTGGTTATAATTTTGTCTTCGATGTTTATTTTGGGATCTGGTTGGTTCATTATCTGTACTTATATTTATGAATGTCCTATGGCACTGAATGTTTTACTTTTTTGTTGGAATCAACCCTGAGTCCCCTCGGGGAAATAGAGCAGAATACAAATAAAGATTATTATTATTATTATTATTATTATTATTATTATTACTAACGGCAATATAAATTATGCTTGTAATGTATATTTTCCTCCATGAATTCCCTTAATAGTATATTTGTGACTCATATAAAATCTTCATGGCACATAACAACAGATTTAAGAGACCTGTGCTGAACACTAAGAAATTACATAATGCAAGGTTTCAGAGTCTACTGACTACACTCCATCAAAAACACTTTCATTCTCTAAATATTAATCCACATGGACTGGTGACATCATGGACTCACTTTAGAACCAGGTGCAAGTTAGCTGATAGCCGTGGATCCGTAAACTGCGTTGTTCTGTTGTTATGGTCAACAAAATAAACTCTGCCGGTTGCTGTATTGCGGATCTCCCATCCAGGAGGCAAAGGACCAAGCTCTTCGCAATTGATGTTGCTAAGATCCCTGCAAAAACAAACATAAAATGAAAAATACCTCAGCATTTGGCATCTGAGTCAAACAAGTGTAAATGTAACATAACAATTCCACGAAGCCTGAGTGTATGCATTGTTTCAGAAACCTGATATGTTCAGCTGGAATCTCTACTCCCAAGGAACAAGCCCACCAAAGGAAAAGAAAAACACAGTCTGACAAAAACAATCCACTATACAGCTCTTCTCACATAGCCTACTTTTTTCAAAACAAACAAATACACTAGCAATCATTGTGATGATTTAAAAACAAAAATAACATCCTTTGCCATACTTGCTGACAGGACTTGAACAATGGTTTGGACAAATATTCTTAAAAGATGATAGCACTCTCTTAAGAATATCTTAAATTTTTTTCTTAAAGTTGAAGATGAACATTTGCAAATACATTGGTGTCTTCAATGAAGCGTATAAAGTGCACAACATAATTTTTGCCCACTGTAAAAACCAGATGCTATATGCAATAAATAAATATTTCTCATCCCTTAAGCTGCCATAAACTAGAAATGGACAACAAGAACCCCACCAGTTCCATATTTCCCCAACAGACAAGAATAGCAGACAAACTGTTCAGATACTCTCAGCATTTGGCACTCTCTGACTTTATGGCTATAATGAATATAAATTCAATATAGAGCTTTGCCCTCCACCCTTGTGGAGCAGTAATGGGTCATTTTCCATTTGTACAGTATGAGGGTATTCTTAAAGGGGTAAAGCCAACCACATGTATATTAGTAGTGCTTTTCCCATTTACCATAAATCAAGATACACCCCAGTGTCTAAAATCAGACTCATAGGCCCAGAACAAGAAGTTTGTTTATGAGCTGGCACACCTTGCTTTATACAAATAACAGTACTTTAACAACTAAAATACAGTACCACCTCATCAGATTTGACAATGGGCACCTAGGTAGCCTTCTGACCTCCAGAGTTTGTACATCAATGCAACAATATAGAAAATAAATAAAACGGAGACCCAGAGCATATGCACATACATGTAAAAGTAAAAGTTACTCCTTGACATTAAATCTAGTCATGTTCAACTCTGGGGAGTGGTGCTCATCTCTATTTCTAAGCCGAAGAGCTGGCATGACTGAATGGAGTGCTGTTGCCTTCCCGCAGAACCAGTACCTATTGATCTACTCACATTTGCATGTTTTCGATCTGCTAGGTTGGCAGAAGCTGGAGCTAACAACGGGAGCTCACCCTACTCCCCAGATCAGAACTGCCGACCTTTCAGTCAAGTTCAGCAGCTCAGCGGTTTAACCCTCTGCGCCACCAGAGGCTCCTATATATGCATGATTTACACATGTATAAAGTAGGAAAAGCTTGGGAAACAATACCGGCCCTAGATGGTCCTTTCAGTCTAAAGGCAGAAGGAAAATTTGAACACACCAATCACCAATTAGCATAGCAGCAGAAGTGAACAAATTTAATTACTGTAAATGCAAAAAAAGGCAATACTGTATGAAGTAATTATATGCCAATGTCAAATGACTCCTGCCCTACCAAAATTGACATTTTAGTATTGCAGAATCACATTCCGTTGCAAAATTTGCCGACGTCTAGAGCTACAAGATAGACCTTTATGTCATCGTTACCTGATGCGCTTTAAACTATGTGTCAGAGCATCAGCCCTCTGAAACATAGCTGGCCTCCAATTCTAACTGTTGAAAAACAGTGTTTGTATGTATGTGGGGATGGATTATCCCAAAAAATCTTGTTCTCCCCATGTGTAACACACCAGAGAGGGAAATCTCATGCTATTCCGTGGTCAAAGCATGATGTAGAAACATATGTGAGCACTTCAAATGAGGAACAACCTCTCTCTCTCTCTGTTCAAAAGTCTTGATATATATCAAGATCAAAAGTTTTGATCCTCTCCAGGAAGGACAAGTGATGCCATGACAGAAGTCATGAGAAGAAAGCCTGAAAGAATTCAGTGAAAAATCTACAGTATTCAGCACAAAGCAATCAGATACACCATTCAGAAATTCTCAGCCGATGATGGATTCAAACAACAAACAATGCTAAAACCTATGAATTGCTCCCCATAGAAAGCACTTTATACTCTGTAAAACAAGTAAAAAGACTTAGCATTTATTCACAGCATGGAGCAAGAGTGGAAGCTTGAATAAAATCAAAATGTGGAAGCTCTTTGCTGAAGGCATACATTAATTTACTGCTCTTGGTAATAGTTCACAGTGAGAACAGATAGCTTTGCAGAAAGGTGGCATCTAATCTCAGATTCTCCTCCTTTAGAGCCTGGTACACAAGGGATGAATCTAATCACTGATGGAACAGCTTAATAAGTTCAGAGGAAAATGCCCACTGAAGTACTATGTTCCAAGTAGGCAGAAAAAAAAACGAAATGCAATGGGGTACGCCTGGCTCGAGAGCAATACATGTGAAAAAGATCTTGGAGTCCTCGTGGACAACAAGTTAAACATGAGCCAGCAATGTCATGTAGCGGCAAAAAAAGCCAATGGGATTTTGGCTGCATCAATAGGAGTATAGTGTCTAGATCCAGGGAAGTAATGCTACCCCTCTATTCCGCCTTGGTCAGACCACACCTGGAATATTGTGTCCAATTCTGAGCACCACAATGAAGAGAGATATTGATAAGCTGGAATGTGTCCAGAGGAGGACGACTCAAATCATCAAGGGTCTGGAGAACAAGCCCTATGAGGAGCAGTTTAAAGAGCTGGGCATGTGTAGCTTGAAGAAGAGAAGGCTGAAAGGAGACATGATATCCATGTGAGAGAAAGTCACAGGGAGGAGGGAGCAACCTTGTTTTCTGCTGCCCTGGAGATTAGGACACTGAACAATGGCTTCAAGCTACAAGAAAGGAGATTCCATCTGAACATTAGGAAGAACTTCCTGACTTGAGAGCCGTTCAGCAGTGGAACTCTCTGCCCTGGAGTGTGGTGGAGGATCCTTCTTTGGCGGCTTTTAAACAGAGGCTGTATGGCCATCTGTCAGGGGTGCTTTGAATGCAATTTTCCTGCTTGTTGGCAGGCAGTTGGACTGGATGGCCCATGAGGTCTCTTCCAACTCTATGATTCTATGATTCTAAGTACAGTCAAGCAAGAAAATAGCATAAAACAATGGTAGTGGTGCTGCTGGAGTGCTAAAACATCATATCCTTTCTGAAACTAATAAAATAGCAATTTTCTTCAGGGTTTAAATCCTTTTCCTATTCGGGGGTTGGGGTTCTCAACAAGGTCTTTGTTCTGTTCTGAGTTGGCAATAACAGTGATAATATTTTTAGGAGATAGAAATTATATTTCTCTCTGTCTTTCTTTTTTTCTTATGCAGAAAAAGAGATCTGACAGCCACTAAAGTGTTTTGCTTCATATAAACATGCTGCCTGTCTTTGAATATTAGAATACTGAGGAATAACCTTATCCAATGCCACAAACACTCATGCGGACATGGGACATTTTTATCCCCTTAAACTCGTTGACATCAAAAAAAATCCCAGAATGCACTCAAAATATCTTTAATTAGTGTGCATGAGAGTTAATGTTAATAAAAATAAATTTCACAAGCAGTATTTCAGCTAATATGCACAACTGCACACACATAGTAGTTAAACATTCTATGCCAGAGAAATCCAAGACAAGTTTGATGAGACAGGCAGATCTGAAAACTCTATTTTGTTCAAACTTTTTTTAGTCAAAGGCAGAGGAAAGAAGCTATGCAAGGCACTGAAATCCCACCTGGGCCACTGGAAACTCTTCCACACCTCTATGGAGCTTCTGTAAAGTATTAGATGCTTTGAACACGACAATGTCCATACCACTCTTCAAACACAGGCTTGAAGAATGTAGTACTTCGTATTTTTTCAGTTAAATCATAAATTCTTAACTGTTGAACCCAATTCCAAATCTAAGCTTGCGCAAACAGATACAGATCGACATGCCAACAAGGCATGCTGTTCTCATTTATCATCTATATGTTGGTAAACATTACTAGTTTGATTTGGAAAAACCCTCAATTTAAAAGTATCAAAACAAAGTCGAAATATTCCCTTACCGAGGTACACGGGGGTCATGCCATGTGCTTACACCAGTCTGAGTATGTAGGAAATACACCTGTCCTTGCTGAGTTGTCCTTTGCTCTGTTCATTAAAAAATACCAGTGTGAAAACAAACAATAATAAAAGATTTGTTTCCTTGACTGAAGAAAGTATCAGTGAACATGAATTGTAGAGCAAGCAAATCAGGGATTAAATGTGCCACAGCAGTGATTTATCTGTAGAATTCCCATTCCCCAGAAATCAGTCCAAAGTTCAATCTTTTGCAGAATTGTTGTCCATGTGAGGTTTAGTGAGACATAAGCAGGACTGGGGTGATATTATCTTATACAAATAATTTTCCCAAGGTGATATTTTATTCCACTTTTGTGCTAATACGTACAAACTGTTCATTGTTCTTGCCCAATTGGAATAGTAGGACTTGCTTGATTTCAGTTTCTTAAAGCACAATCCTCTGTACCAAGTTTGTATGAAAATGTGACTCTATTTCCTGTGCTGGTCAATGACCGAAATAAATGATTTGATTTGAATCCTCTGTACCATATATACTCAAGTATAAGTCAAGGCACCAAATTTTATAACATAAATACTGGGAAAACTTATTGACTCGAGTATAAGCTGCGGGTGGGAAATGCAGCTGCTACAGGTAATTTCAAAATAAAAATAGATACTAATAAAATCACATTGAGCATCAGTAGGTTACATGTTTTTGAATATTTAAATAAAGCTGCAATTTAAGGTAAGACTGTCCAGCTCTGATTAAACCATTATTCTAACCTTCTTCTATGTATATGTCCTTACACATCATTCCAATAAATGTAATAAAAATAATAATAATAATAGAGTACAATGATGGAAATGTAATGACAGTAATAATAGAGTAAAATGATAAATGTAATAATAATAGAATAAAATAATAAATGCAATAATAATAATAATAATAATAATAATAATAATAATAGAGTAAAATAATGTAAATGCAAGAAGAAGAAGAAGAGGAGGAGGAGGAGGAGGAGTAAAATAATAAATAACCTTGACTCGAGTATAAGCCGAGGGAGGCGTTTTTAGCCTTTAAAAAGGCTGAAAAACTTAGCTTGTACTCTAGTATATACGGTATGTCTATGCTGTGTATGACAACTATTGCAACCTTTTGATGAGACCATGGGAAAGTGTCACTGTATCTGACACTGTCTGAGGGTGCTTCTAGATTAGGCCATTCTGTTGTTGCCTTAATTTGTTTATTACAACTTAAAGGGATTTGACTCTGCCATTTTCTTTTTGTTCCCATACTTTTATATCCTTATTTCTTTTTCTTTTTTAACATGAAAGAGATGGAGGCAAAGATGGAATAACTGCATTGCCTTTTCACTGGTAGCATCGTTCTGGAAGTAGCCCGATACCTTATGGTTTTATGGACTGAAATAATAGAACTGTTTCTTTAGAAATACAAGGGGATTGTATTATTGCTTGTACCCAGCACATATGCAAACACATAGAATGGTACTGTCAGTAAGAAGGATCATATTAATTAGGAAATCTAAACAATATGCTTATTTATGACCATATCATAAAACGGTGCTGGATCAAAGGCTCAGATTGCACAAATTCCAAGAATCTTGGTTTTTTTTTAAAGATTTTGTCAACTGTCATAGATGCAAAAAAAAAAAAAAAACCCCAAAATGAGCACTTTATGTCAAATATGGAAGACCACCTTGGCTGTAGAACTGTTCAGGACTGAAATAGACTGCTTATTGAGTAGTAAATTCCCCTTCTTTGGAGATCTTAAAGCAGAGGCTGGATGGCCATCTTCCAGAAGTGCTTTTGCTGTGAATTCCTGTGTAGAAGAGGCTTAGACTAGATGGCCCTTGTAGCCCCTTCCAACTCTAAGAATATTTCTGCATCACATTTTACTCAGCAGCTATTAATGGTGGGAATTAACTTAAAAGCAGTCAGCGTTGCATTCAATTTTATCTATACCAGAGGCTCGCCCTACACATCTACTAATGTTCTATGTGATACACATTTATTACTATTCACAACCAATACTGTCTTCTATGCCTAGCTCACACATTTATTTATCAACATTTTCACCTGAATCCTTCATGAATGTTGGCCTTACTGCATTCATGAATCAATCAAAATATTTATATTCCACCACTTATGGGATCTTACGGCAGTGTATAAGGAAAATGGATTCTCTTCACTGTCCAATAGTTCATGAAGAATTCTCCTCCCTTTGTTCTTTTCATTATGATAGATGAGGAAGAAATGCCTCTCTTATTATGCCTGAAGTTATCTTCTAACTCCTTCCTGCCAAATGAACCACGCGTTTTCATGCGACAAAACAAAAATCCTGCAGACACAATCACTACTAGCCCAACAATCATTTCACAGAATTATTTAACAAAGGGTTTTTAAAAACCTTATAGCTGTAACCATGACAAGATCAATGCTGCAAAGACTTGCCAGAAGGCTTCTTCGGAAATGGCCAATCATACACAGACTTGGTAAGGATCAAACAGACAGTTAAACAGTTTTAGCAATACGTACCATATCCTTCAGGTAAATCTGGAGGCGTATGTAGATGGGTCCTGCTCATGTAGTTCCTGTGCCTCTGAGATCTCACTCTTCTCTCTGCTAGCCTTGGATCAGATGTCTGTCCACATGTTGCACCATTGATTCCCGTGACAGGCGTATTCTCATCCACAAAGCAACTCAGGGGTCGACCAGGACTGGAATACTCTGAGGCTGGCCTATTTTTTTTTAAAAAAAACAACAGTTTTCTTTGAGTGTTCATTTGTGAATTCATACAGACAGGTATTGCACCAGCACAAAACCAAATTTGTAATGCTGTAAAATGAAGCAATATTTGGCAGGGTCCCTGTCCCCCACACCCTCAGTGGATATGTCTAGTGGGGCCTTCACTGCACAGCCATGATAAAGAGTTCAAAGCAATTACAAACAACCAAACAACCAGTGACAAACAAGCATCCTATTCTCTATGGTTCACCCATGTGGGTGATTAGCTGCTAATTTACAAGAGGCAAAATAGAAGATAAGTGAAGACAGAAGAACAGTTTCACTGAAATAATATTCCGGCATATAAGACGACTCGGTGTATAAGACGATGCCCAACTTTTCCAGTTAAAATATAGAGTTTGGGATATACTCGCCGTATAAGACTACCCCTCTTCCAACGCACACCAAATAAATTTTTTAAAAGCATCAGATTTGATTTCAATATGGTAATTTTCCTATTACTGTACCTCTTTCTCTGCCTCTCAGATCTTGCACATGCGCACCTTCACCGCTTCACTGCAGTCTTCAGGAGCGAGATCTGAGAGGCAGAGGAGGAGATACGGTAATAGGATACAAGGGCGGGCCAGACAGGTAAAAGAGGTGTGTTTTTCTGGGCCCAGAGCCACTCTATCTCTTTTTTCCATACTCCGGGTGCCCCGGATGCCTGCAGCTTGCTGCACACTTCACTTAAACCTTCCCGGTGAAGCCCCCCCCCCACCTCACAATCGAGACCGCATTGAGTCCACGAATCCTGATGAATTGATTTTCTTCTACCATACTCGTACAACTTCGCCCTTAATGCTTTCATACAGTCGCTGCATACGGCAGGGACGCGGCCACTGACATTTTTGAGTCCCCCCACAATATGCAGCAACCATAGATTCTTCAATCCGGATTGGAAGTTTCAGCACCCGCTATATAAGACGACTCCTGGCGTATAAGATGACTCCCGCATATAAGACGACTCCCATGCATAAAGCTACTCCAGCATATAAGATGACTCCCATGTATAAAACAACTCCCACGTACAAGTCGACCCCTGACTTTTGAGAAGATTTTTTTGGGTTAAAAAGTAGTCTTATACGCCAGAATATATGGTATTTGTTTTAGTCAGATATCAAAACTGTAATGATTGATGAAAGTTGATACCTGGAATCAAATGACTCGATCACATAAGTTTCCAGGATGAATCAAAGCTGCCAAAGTTATCACCAATATGACAGTGTATTTCAAGAGTCCTCCAGGAGCAGGTTTATAAGACAAAGTTTATAAGACAAAGGACCAGCATAATAAAGTACATTTGAGTGACAATGTCACATGACTGCTCCAGAGGCAATTTCTGCCTAATATCTAAGAATAGAGTAACATTTCAGATGGAGTAGAAAGTGAAACTGGAAAAAATAGAATTCATTTGAACATCTTGTGTACACTTGTTACAACTAGAAAGTCAAATTGGAGAGTAAGGAGTTGGAGATTGCACATTACTCTTGGTTCAACAGATTTTCACGAGCTGCAGCAGGATCACTAACAAATGAGATTGTGCGGGTCATAAACAGACATTTATTAGACCCTTAGGAGATCTCTTACCTAAGAAAGCAGATACAGCAAGGAAGATGAAGGTCCTTGCAAAGGAAGGTGGTAAGCAGATATTACTGCCAATGAGACCTTCAAAGATAGTGAAAAATTATTCCACCAGAAGACCTTGGAGGTCTGCACACTCATACCTCCAAAGACACACACACACACACACACACATTATGCTCCCAGTTCTTTCTAGAGGTGTGGAGGAGCATTTTACCTGAGTCCTGCCCTTTTCTGTGTCATTGCAGGCACAAGAGATTCCTTTTATACAACAGAAAGTGACATGGAATTACTGCCTATCTGTCAGTTGTCAGTGTCTACACGTGCACTCTCCTTTGCTTCTAAATTACTGTCTAGGGGACTACTGACATTGTTTGACTATGATCTTTCTACTCAGCAAATAAAGGGTCAGGTGTCATTAATTTACTATAGTTTAATTGAACATAAATACAGCAGAGGGCAATGTGCTATGGGAGACTGGTAATCTGAATTAGTAACAGTGAAAATAGCAATCTGGACTAACATGTACAGCTCCTTTGAAATCCCACTCAACCAGGGCTCTAAAACTATTCATAAAGGATATTATAATTAAAATGTCAATAATGGTGAAAAAACTGGCCCAAAAGGATAGAGACGATGCAATGACTTAAGAACATCTATTCAAAGGTGCCTTGTTTGTCCAAGCGTAAAGAGATTTTGGCATACTATATTGGAACTAGGTTCAACCATCACTGGGGAAAAGATATCATTTTGTTCAGTTCTCCAACTGTTACCTCTTTAATTAGGAAAAAACAAGTGTAAAAATCTAATTATATTCTTTACTTTAGCTGCTTCTATGGAAACATTCCTTGGAAACAGGTAATCAGTGAATACTTGGCAGAAGTGAATATAGGATGCTTGGTTACTAGACAAATTGTCAGGCAACATACACATTACCAAGGGACAAAGAAGCCAGGACATTTGTTGAGAAATTGCATCCATTTATTGAATTTGTCAATACAAAACACAATCAAGGCATCCACTGCCACATCATCTTAGACTTTCGAATGACATTTTGCATCGGAACCATCATAGTGCTGTCAATAAAAGCCCGGATCCTAAGAAATGTTCCATCACCTGAAATGAATGATAAATGAAACTGGAGTTGGGAATGCTGCTCTGCCTTACTTATAGGAAGCAAATCATTTGGTATTGTTGTTGTTTCAGTTCTTATTTTATTGATTAGTAATAGCCACTGGGTTGCTGTGAGTTTTCCAGGCTCTATGGCCATGTTCCAAAAGCATTCTCTCCCGATGTTGTAACCACATCTATGACAGGTATCCTCAGAGGTTGTGAGGTCTGTTGGAAACTAGGCAGTTGAGGTTTACATATCTGTGGAATGTCCAGGGTGAGAGAGAAAACTCTTGTCTGTTTGAGGCAAGTGTGAATGTTGCAATTGGACACCTTGATTAGCCCTGAATGGGCTTGCAGCTTCATAGCCTGGCTGATTGCTGCCTGGAGGAATCCTTTGTTGTAAGGTGTTATCTGGCCTTGATTAATTTCTGTCTGGAATTCCCGTTTTGAGTGTTGCTCTTTATTTACTGTCCTGATTTAAAAGTTTTTTAATACTGGTAGCCAGATTTTGTTCATTTTCATGGTTTCCTCCTGAAATTGTCCACATGCTTGTGGATTTCAATGGCTTCTCTGTGTAGTCTGACATGATGGTTGTTAGAGGAGTCCAGCATTTCTGTGTTCTCAAATAATATGCTGTGTCCAGGTTGGTTCATCAAGTGCCCTGCTATTGCTAACTTCTCTGGTTTAATTAGTCTGCAGTGCCTTTCATGTTCCTTGATTCGTGTTTGGGCAATACTGCGTTTGGTGGTCTCTATGTAGACTTGTCCACAGCTGTATGGTATACAATAGTCTCCTGCAGAGGTGAGAGGATCCTTCTTGTCCTTTGCTGAACGTAGCATTTGTTGGGTTTTCTTCAACAACAAAGTATTGTCCACCTTTGTATATATTTTCTTTTAGATCCAGTAATTCAATAAAACTATTTTTTAATAACAGAGGCCATGAGGTAGAAGGTGATTTTCCCCCTTTATTAAAGAAAATTACTCTAAAAATATGGGTAGTTAAAGTATTACGATCAGTGACAAGAACGCCAACATATCCATTCTAATCAATGCAATTCAGAAGCCTAGAAACAGAATCTAAGTATAAAGATTTGTGAACTAACTCAAATGAATGAATTGACCATGCTGATGAAGGAGAAATTTTGACCAACTTAAAGGAAGTTTGGGATGTGTTTATTACTTTTTCACAACACTTGTCAATTGTAGGATTTATGAATGAGAAGAGAATTGACAAAAGTAAAAGCGTGATTATATATAATTTAAAGGGAACAGACCAATAAGGAATAAAAACCATCAGACTGTTGAGTGTGAGGTTCATAGATCTGTCTTTTTGTCTGTTTCTTAGTCTAATATTTTGTGTATTTGTGCGTTTTGTTTTATTGTTTATGTTCTGCTATTTTTAATAGGTATTTAGTTGTAATTCTGTACACTGGATAGAATATAGTTGTATAGTTTCCAACATTGCTTGCTTGTTTTGTTATTGTTCTTCTATTATTGCTTTTCTTTCTGGAATAAAAATGACTTGGGGGGTGGGGGCAGAATTTTGTTGCCACAAAATATTCAATGCTGCTTTGTATAGCAATATACGTGCCATTTAGATCCTACTTGAAATGAAACCAAGGGAACAAGGGAGAGGGAAATGAAGAGTCCAGATAACATAGTAACTGCATTCCAGAATAATGGCTTATACTGAATAAGCAAGAAGTTTAGTTTAAAGTTGCTCCTTCCCACAAGCCAAATGCTAATCAAACAAGGACTGGTTTCTTTAGCACGTCATATGAAGCAACAATCTGGACATGTTGCTCTGCAGACCAGGATTGCAAATTAGCAAACAGATTACAATGAAACCTTGACTTACAAGTGCACCAACTTACGAGGTTTTTTGAGGTACAAACCATCTCTCCTTTGATACTTAGCTTTGAACTGCAAGTCAAGATCTGAGTTATGAGCTTTGTCACAGAACAAATTATATCCGAAAGTCAAGGTATCATTGTATTCACAAGACAACACAATTCTAGAGAACTGTGTCTTATCCTATCAAATGTGGCTGCTGATTTCTATCTTTCTTAACACGGAATATTTAAAACTTTAAAAAACTATTTTTAATGTGGGGATGGACCTGCGAACAGGTCCATCACTACATTAATTTCTCTCAAATTATTGTAAGGATGAGTATGGGCAGTACTATACAGATGGAGGATAAGGGGAAATTTCTATTTATTCATTCATTCATTCATTCATTCATTTCATTTCATTTCTACTTCGCTCTTCTCCCCAGAAAGGGGACTCAGGGCGGTTTCAATTAAAACCTTAAACCTCAATTATGAACATTATACAATATGAAATGTATCTAAACATGAAAGAACAGTGCCATACCTCACACCTGTCTTACTATTTGCATCACAGGAATATAAAGTAGCTTCCATTATATTTATATCTCATTCTTACTAAGATACAGATTGAGCAGTAGAAAAAGTAACATTATAGGAGCAACATTAGGGAAAAACCTTATAACCAAGGACAACATTGTCAAGTGGCAAAACTTCCCTATATACTCACGTATATGTCTAGAAAAATCAGTCCAAAAAACCTGATTGACTTATTCATGGATCAATGTGAATACTGTACCTTAACTCTTAAGAAAAAAGAAACCACCTCCTTTCTCTGAATAGAGTAGCAAAAGGAGAAAGGTCCTGGGAGAAGCTAAAATAACAGGTCCTTTGTTCTTTCCATTTTTGGCCTTCTCGAATGCCTAGAAAAACTATAATTTTGGCTTCCAACCTATCCTCGACTTATTTGTGAGGTCAACTTATACAGGAGTATATTACAATAATTTGGAGTGATCAGATATAAATTAACTAGAAGTTCTTGAAACAGTGAGCTCCTGCCGATTGCTGCAAAAAAATGTGGGAACAGAGATTCATTTTCTGAAATTTCACGGTATGCATCTTCTGTCAAATAATTCTTACCTTGTCGGTCGCTCCCACTGTGTTGTTCGTGTAATGTGATTTAAGTATTGAATTCTTCCAGAAGCTGTCCTTCTTTCTTCCCAACTAAAATGTAATGACAAAAGCAAAGCAAATCTTACTTATCACAAGTTTGTTTCATGTGGGTTTCAGCCAACAGTTAACCTACTATGTTCATTTACATCAGTGGTTCCCAACCTGTGAGTCCCTAGGTGTTTTGGTCTACAACTCCCAGAAAACCCAGTCAGTTTAGGATTTCTAGGAGTTGAAGGCCAAAACATCTGGGGACCCACAGGTTGAGAACCAATGATTTACACACTCATTGCTATGACACAACACATTGTGGGATGAGTCAAAATTTACCTGCATACAAGTGGGGGGGAGGGAGCAGAAATGGACTCCAATTCTTTCCTTCCTATGGAATATCATTTTAGAGAACTGTGCCTTATCCTGTCAAATGTGGTTGTTGATTTCTATCTTGCTATCTTTCAGAATATGGCCCACAGTAGGTAAGAAGAACTTCCTGAAACATGTGAGAGGGAAACACCCCCAAACATCGAATTTGTACTGTGTAGAGGGGAACACTCCCAAACATCGAATCTTTTTCTGTAAGAGGAGCCATTATGTGAGTTCAAGACAAATCCTGAATCACATTCTGATATAGCTGCCCTTTCCCATGCATTATAGAAAACATCTCTAGCCTCTTCTGAATTAATTTATTTATTATGTTTTTATCCTGCCCTATCTCACCCCCGAGGAGGACTCAGAGAGGCTTACAGCTTGGCATAATTCAATGCCACATCAAAACATAAACATAACGTTACTGTCATTGTACATAATTAAATGCCACCCCAATCATATTATATATGTACAAATTACAAAACAATACACCAATCCTTCCACATTTGAATTGCTATTGCACAGCCTCTAATGCCACATCAGTGTGAAACCACAGAATTCAATATAATTATAATATAATTATAATTTCAGTAGTAGTTTGTGATCAAATACCAAGTTGTGTGAAGAATAAGGATCAGTAAACATTGACAGTTGTAAAAACACAAAACCATGTCACATTCAGTGAGCATTTCTGAATGCTGTATGTGTACCTATGCAGAAACAGTCAATTTTGTTTTTACATAATGCAGAAAGTAAAAGGTGACAAATGCATATGATCCAAAGAGAAAACAAGTTTCTTTCTCAGAGCTTAAAAAGAATTAATTAAGATTAAAAGGTTACAATTATTCAAAATACTGAAATTAAAAATAATAATGATCTGAATCATGGACTAACAATGATTAATGTTTCAAATTATTTAGCTTCCATATGGCATTTGAAGATACGGTGAATTCTCTTGTTTGATTTTTTAAAAATGATACTACTAACACATTATTAAGATAATGAACTAATATTGCATAAAACTGTTTAACAATTACCATGAACAAATTATTTTCTAAATTGGCAGTAGTGATTACTGATTAGCTTTAATACTAATGTTTTTGCTCTGTTCCTGCATTCAATTTTTTAACTTACCCATCAGGTAAATCATTGTCAAATAATCTACTGCAGTCCACAACTTGCCCTCCTGTGCCTATCCTGTCTCTAGATTGAAGACTTACTATTAAAAAAAGAGAAGTCAAAATTAGAAAGGCGGCAATATATTGCAAATCACAATTATATTAGAAGACACTGTATAGATGGCACTGGACTGTGGCTTCCAATATTCCTTTTGTTGGTTATACTGATTTGAACTACTGGGAGTTGCAGTTCAATGACCTCAGGTGGATTGTAGGACTCCCAACCCAAATTTGCAAGTATCTTTACAAGGTCATTGTTTTGAGAGGTTTTTTTAAAAACACGTGTGATGTTTTTCAATAGAGGCAAGTTCAAAACAACTTCAGTATAGCTAACACATTACTGAAACTTTTATTTACACTATTATAAAGCCTGTATATTTTGATTATAATCTGACAGGTTGTGCTAAGCCTGCGAAAGAGAGGAAAACTTTTGAAACTCTGACTTGATCAAGATATACAAAAAACAGTCACCTCCTTTATCTACCAAAATCTTTGTGGAGTGGTGCTTTCCTCCAGCTATTTTCTATCATGCTCTACTAACACAAGGAGGGTAATTTATTAAACAAGCCAGTACTGAGTATAAATAAATCAATTGTCTTAGGTATCTAAGCACAGCTAGTTCAATCTGTCCAGTGAGGAGAGGACGGAGGACCCTGTGGAAGCTGAAAGGACAGCAACACAATAGGGGAAGCAAATGCAAAGTCAGGTAAATGAAGATATACTATGGAATAGAAATGGAAAAAAGCAAAATGACCTTATAGCTTCTGATCCCACACTTGACAGCATCCCTTAAAAATCATACACATGAAAATCATGATTAACTCAGAGATAACTTTGACTAGAGCAGTGGTTATCAACCTAAGGTCCCCAGATGTTTTTGGCCTTCAACTCCCAGAAATCCTAACAGCTGGTAAACTGGCTGGGATTTCTGGGAGTTGTAGGCCAAAAACATCTGGGGACCCCAGGTTAAGAACCACTGGACTAGAGAGACTGATCAAACTATAATATTGGAATATCAGGAGAATGTGAGAGTGCTTCTACCTATTTTATTTTATTTGTCGTGTCAGGGCAACCAGTCAATTATATAAAATTTCTAACAGAACAAAGCAAACAAACAAACAAACAGACAAAATACAAAATTTGTGAGTTTGGTAGTTGATTAAATGTCCTTTGACCAGTATCTGGCCACTTGGAGTGCATCTGGTGTTGCTGCAAGCTTCTACCTGAAGACAATGGATTCAAATTGAAGGAAAAAAGATTCCACATAAACATCAGGAAGAACTTCCTGCTGGTAAGAGCTGTTCAATAGAAGAATATGCTGCCTTCTTGGAGTGTGTCTCCTTCTCTAGAGATTTTTAAGCAAAGGCTGGATGGCACAGGGATATAGATCTGCCTCTGCCAGGAGAACTAATTCCAGAGCTCCAGATTGGGGGCTCTCATGCTCAGCGCCACAAGATTTCTATTGCTGGATCCAGTCAGCCATTACCCCACAGTTCTTTTATCAGGAAGAAATATTTTTATCAGGAAGATTACAGCAATGAAAGAAACCATTTGCAGATTTGGAATGAAAGGCCACTATTACGAGGGGGTGCTGATAAGTCTTTGGCTTTACCTGGAAAGAAACAAGATAGAAAGATGAAACTTTACATTTATTCCACATACTCTCCACTGATATCGACACACTTATTACATCGATATTCCAAGTTCTGTAAGCCTTGCAAAAAGAAGGATTTCGATTGTGTTTCAAACCAGTCATCCGTAGCATCAGAAATGGTGTGAAATTTGGCATCAGAAATGGTGTGAAATTTGGTACCCTTGAGGTGTTTCTTCAGGTCTGGAAACAGATGATAGTTGGAGGGAGCTAGATCTGGTGAATAAGGTGGGTGGTCAACCAGCTGGAAGCCTAGCTCCACCAGTTTTGCCATGGTCGCTTGTGCAGTATGAGCGGAGGCATTGTCTTGCAGGAACAAGATTCCTTTGGACAGCTTGCTGCGCTTTTCGGCCTTCTGAACTGCCTTCAATTGGTCCAAAAGTTCAGTGTAATACATTGCATTGATGATGGAACCATTCTGAAGGTAGTCCACTAGCAGCACACCCTCCTTATCCCAGAACACAGACGCCATCACCTTAGTGGATGATTTTTGCACCCTGAACTTCTTTGGATGAGGAGAACCACTGTGCCTTCATTCTTTTGACTGCTCCTTGGTTTCAGGGTCATACAGATAAATCCAGGTCTCATCCATAGTGACCAGTCGATCCAGAAAGTTCTTATCAGTTTGGAAACGTTGACAAATGGACCAGGAAGTTTTCACTCGCATGCTTTTCTGATCTGTTGTCAAACATTTGGGGACCCACTTTGCAGAGAGCTTCTTCATGTTCAAATGTTCATGGATAATGACACAAACACATTTATGAGAAATCCCCATGATGTCTACTATTCCTTTAGCTGAAATTCGCCATTCTCCAGTATGAGGTTGTGCACAGCATCAACGATCTCCGGAACAACAACTACTCTCGGTAGTCCAGGACATTCCTCATCACTGATGATGAAGTGGCCTGTTTTAAATTCGGCAACCTAGTTCTTAACTGTAGAATATGAATGGCATTGATCCCTCATTGTCTGCGACATATCACCATGAATATCCTATGCGGACTTTCCTTGCAAAAACAAGAATTTTATCACTGCCCTGCTCTCATTTGCTGTGAATATTGCCTTAGACTCTGCCATTTTGTTTTCCTGCGTGCCTAGATCACTGTTGCCATAAGCTACAGACACAAAATTTTGAAAACATATATTAGACACGTAAGGCTTTCATGTGATGTAACATTAGTTACCATAGAAACAAAACAAGAACATAAAGCCAAAGACTTATCAGCAGCCCCTCGTATACTTAAGAAAGTTCTCTCTCTTCCTCATCAGATTGAAACGAGACAACAAAAGTGCTAAAACAGAAACAGTACCAATGTTATGGATAAGGGCCAATAAATGGCAACTAAGTCTTGACACTGCTGAGATTCTGTGAACAGATTCCCCCTTCCCCAGAAACATCATATTCTAGATGGGTATTTTCCTCTTGAAGGATCTGATTTTGATCTGCAGGTAACTCTTGGGTTTCCTTTTGTCACCGGAAGCTCATATAGCAGAGATGTCAAACTTGTGGTCCCACAGTAGTTTGGACCTTTGACTTCCAGATGCCCTGGTCAGCTTGTCCAATGGCCAGGAATTCTGGGATTTGAAGTGCAAAACACCTCACTGATATATAATATCTGTAGCATGGACAGCTCTCCTGGGTTCAGATAATTTGTTGACACTTATTAAGGTAACATTTGTTTCAGTGATGTGGCAGCTATCTTTGAAGATTTTTCTCAGCCTGTTGATAATTTCTGTTCCCTCAGACTTCATAAGGAAATAAATATGATGCAACTATTTGTGTTTGCTATATAATTAATGTAAACTGACTAGAAGCTCAGCTTACAAATCTTTTAAACAAAACAAATCTTTGCAGGGAGAGCTGAGAAAATTTATCAGTGGACAACAGTGCGATGGGAGCCAAATGCTCTTAATGGGGCCTCTCATCCACTTAGAAGAATTTTGTACAGACAACATCCTTATTGCATGGATTTCTTTAAGTATGCATACTAGACAGAACTATGGCAGTACTTCTAGGTTATTTACACTGTGGTTTTGTAATAATTTTGGATTACTTTGCACTTTAAGATAAATTTAGCACTTTTCCCTAGCTTGAATTTTGTAACACACAACAGTTCTGAAATATTTGCAAAATATTTTAGAAGTAGCTCATTGCTTTTAAGTAATAGTTTACACAAAACAAAGCAACAGTAAAGAAATAACAGAGTTGAGATGTTCATGCATAGTTTACAATTCCAGTAAAATAGGGCCATATATCTAAAAATGACAATCTTTTCTTGATTTGGTAACACTCCATGTAGTAAGGGGTTTTTTAACAACAGAACAATATGGCATTTTTCTGCATGAAGTACTGTAAAAAGTCAAATAAAGACAGCATGTGAAAGATTAAGTAGCTTTATTTATTTTATAAACAAAAGAGTCAAGAATGAAACTGAACACATAACTTTATTTGTGGTCTCTGTGGCATTAAGATTAATGTGCTTTTCCTAATCCTGTTTAGATTGGAAATGAAAGTTCATGTCTAGACCAAAATGAGCATCCATCCAGCAAAAGATAACAGAGAAATGGTTCCCAATTGTAGCCAAAACATGCCAATATTCTGACTGTAGGACAGTGGTTCTCAACCTGGGGTCCCCAGATGTTTTTGGCCTTCAACTCCCAGAAATCCTAACAGCTGGTAAACTGGCCGGGATTTCTGGGAGTTGTAGGCCAAAACACCTGGGGACCCACAGGTTGAGAACCACTGCTGTAGGACATCATCTGCAAACCTAATGCTACAACCTCAGCCACTACAATCCACATTTTCTATATAACGCTAAGTGATCATGCAAGTACGTGGAAAAGATTACTCTAAAAACTCCCTTGAGTTATGGATTATTCCGCTTTACTTTGATCCACATTCACATACATAAGGAACTCATCTTTATATATATATATACAGAATTAGGCATAACCTTATCTCTGCCTTTGTTGTAAACTGCTGTCACGTCAACTTATCCATGAATGACAGTCCTTTGTCACCAACAGCCCTACTCAGGACTTTCAGACTTAAAGCTGTGGCTGAGTGGATTGAGTCTACCCAACTATAGTATGGTCTTCCTCTGTTCCTGCTACTTTCTACCTTCCCAAGAGTTATTCTCTTTCCTAGTAAATCAGGTCTTTTCGTGATATGGCCAAAATATGACAGTTTCAGCACATTCACCAAGGCTTCCAGTGAGAGGTAAGGCCTGATTTGCTCAAGGACCAATTTATTTGTTTCTCGGCAATTCACCACAAAACTCTCCTCCAGCATCGCATGTCAAATAGGATGTTTTCCTTCTATTTTTACACTGTCCAGCTTTAACAACCATACAAAGAAATTAGACATATATAGGGATACACAACCCAAACTGGTATTCAATGATATGCCTTTACACTTAAGGATCTTGCCTGGTTCCCTCATAGGTGCAATTTCAAGTCCTAATCTTCTCATTTCTTGCCCGCAGTCTCCATTGCTGACGAGCCAAGATACAAGAAATCTTTGACTATCTCAAAGTCTTCACTGTCTACTTTACAATTATGTAAATAATCTGTGGCCATTATTTTTTTAATGTGCAACCGTAAACCTGCCTTTGCACTTTCTTCTTTGATGTTTCTCAATAGTTGTTCCAAGTCTGCTATTTTCTGCTATTAAGTATAATGTCATCTCCTCCAATTTTCATGCTTCCTTCCTCCAAGTCTAGTCCAACTTTATTATGACACATTCAGTGTACAAGTTAAACAGATAGGGCAATAAAAATGCCTGACCCCATTGCCAGCTGGAAACTGTTCTGTTTGGTCATATTCTGTCCTCAGAGTAGCCTCTTGTCCTGAGTACAGGTTACACACTGAGACATGCAAATGTTGATTAAGGAACACTGACTTTTTTCCAGCGATCCTCATTTTTCATTCTACACCATCAATTGCTGTGCTATATTCTATAAAATATAGTCTCATTTTCCCCAAGAAATTATTTGATGTATATGTTTGCAAAACAGTTACTACTGCATCCTCTTATTCTGAATCCAACTTAGTCATCTGATTGAGATGGTTTAAACAGTGGATTTTAATGTCAAGATAAATTATTTTAATGTTTATGTATGTGTATAGTATATTTATGTTCTGGCACTGAATGTTTGCCATTTATATGTTGTGTTCCGCCCTGAGTCCCCTTCGGGGTGAGAAGGGCAGAATATAAATGCTTTAAGTAATAAATACATAATCTGGCATTTCTTGTCCCACTTATGTTGAAGTATTTATTTTAGAAATTTGACCATTACTTTGCTGGCATTGGAGATTAATGCAAAGGGCAATGATTACTAAAATCCATGGCATCCCCCTTTTTTAGGACTGGAATGTATATTGGGTGTTCCAATTTATAGGTCACTGTTTTGTTTTCCATAGTAGTTGACAGATTTCAGATAGAACTAGAATATTTTTGTCTCCTTAGCTTGAAACTGCTCTATTGGTATGTTAATTTTTCCTGGTTCTTTGCCTACTGAACTTTTTTCAGAGAAATATCTCCCACCTAGTTCCTTTAACGTGCTCAGGAATTCAAAATCAACCTTATGGGAATCAGAATGGACCATGATTTTAAGGTTCCCACAGCTACATGGGTTTTTTCTATTCCATGGTATATTGAGCACTAAAACATAAAGGTGTCCCTATTTTCATTGGCCTTTTCCATTGCCAAACCACACCTCAGACTTTAATAATGGCATGAACCCATTAACAAAGATTTTTAGTTGTTTCCTCACTGGCTCTGAGTTCCCTTTAGTAGAAGGGTGTCAAACCCATTTTCACCTAAGGCCACGTCAAAGGGCCATTTGTAATTGTTAGACTGTATAAATGTAATGAAGTTATCCTGGTACAGAAAACTTTGGGCCACATAAAATGATGCGGTGAGCCGGATTCAGCCTGTAGGACTTGCCTTTGATATGTGTACTTTAGTATATTGGTTGTATCTTTGCTCAAACAGAATTTCTCCAGAGTACTTTGAATTGAATTTATGTGTGCTCTACTAAATACTGTAGGTTTTTTCCCCATTCATATAGATGAATCTGACCCACCAGAGGTTTGAAGTAACTAAAGGGAAGAGAAATTATTTTTTCACTGATTTCAATTTCTCTATACAATCTTTTTGCACCTCCAAAAATCTACTTCACAAGATTATGGAATCACTGCAATGGGATACAAGGGAGTCAGAAAAAAGAGCAGCCAAATAAACTTATTCTCTCAGACTTTCATTGGTTGAAGCCATAGTCAAAACTACTCCATGAATGCCCTACTCACCACCTTTACCAACTCCAAGGTTATGGAAACTATATTTTAGGGGTTTCTGCCAAAACTGACCATAGTCATGGCACTGTCACACCAGTCTCTTTTAACAAGAACCAAATTCACTTTAGTAACAGGGGACCCGTTCTCTACAACACCATTTTTTAAAACTTTGTGTCCAAGAACACATTTAGACCAGTACTTACCTACAATTTGTCCTCTGACGGTATCATTGTCATTTGGCCCAAGTTTGCACAGATCCAACCTCTGATCTACAAATATGGAGAAAAACAGATGTGCACTTACGATATACAATTCTCATACATAACTCCAGTGGCTATAACTGTATTTAAGGGTTTGTTTGGGGGTTTCTTTAGAGGGGTAGGATAAGTTTTGGTTTTAAATAAGGTGGGAAGTCCAATGTACTTAAAAGTTTAATTATTTAATCTAAAGACTTATAAAAGAGACAATTCACAATTTTCTGGGCAAAAAGGGCTATCCAAAGATTCTGGAAGAGTCAAGGACTGCAAAAACAATCTGAGCTGGTACATCTGGTCCCAGGACCACAATCTGCCCACCCATGAGGTAAACATTTCAAGAATGCACTGTGGGGCAGATATGTATGCTTGTTTGCAAGCCCAAGGCACAGAGAGAAGCTTGCACATGGTATCAGATTTGAAACAGTTACAACACATTGGGTCTACTTACAACCAGTGTCTTTAAGGCGGTTGATAGCATTGGAAAGCAGTCTCACACAACCCAAAAAACCAGCACCCTGTTTTTTATGAATTTTCTTGTGGTTCCATACGCTGATTGTTATGGAGTCTGATTTCCCAATATATCTGAAAAAAGGACAAGAATCAGAGCAATACAAATTAGGTTGACTGCGTATTTTGGACAGTCTATGCAACATAGTCCCCGATTGGAAAATATTTTAGTGTAAGGGGAGTAAACATGGTTTCCTCTGGCAGAAAAGATCAGATTCACAGGAACTGCATGCTACAGATTGGCAAAAGCCTCCCAAGTAATTTATTTGTAAAACAGAATTGACACGAAGGAATTTCAAAGGAGCTTTTCAGAATGTCTTACGTAAATCAAGCACTGCCGACAACCTTTGGCTAGACAATGACAGTATGTCTAAAGGAAAAGGACTGGTATATCATTGGGTGTTTAATCCTGGGGGGAGATTATGAAATGTAAGAATTATGGGTCTCCCTGAGAGATGTTTAGCAGTCTTCTTCCATGACATACTCCCTGTCAGTACAAACATCCAACTATTCCACTTACTAAAACACACCCTCCTACACTCACCCATATAAATTTTCTACACATCCTCCCCCAATGATTGCTGTACATCTTTAGTTATCTAACACTAAATGAAGCTCTTGGGGCTTGAAAAGAAAAATCCTGGTTTATCCCTCAAGACTTACAATGGCTGTTCATGTAACACTTGCTCCCACTCCACCCCATTTTTATTGTATGCAGGTCATCATTTAGCAAAATTATTAAAGATTTCAGCTGACTGCCAGCATATAGGAGCAGACAGCTGACAAGCACAGCAGGGAACCATTATGCTGTACCCACATTCCTCTGATTATGAAGAAAAGGAAAACTGTACTCTCATTATATTTATATTAAGACTAGTACAGGGTCTGCTTTCAGTAAAACATAAATGTAACAATTAATATAGTTCTAACAGATCATATTTTGGCAATACCAGTTCAATAACATTCAAAAGAAAAGGATGCTTGTGAAGGACTGAAATAATGAAGTTCAGGTTTTAGTCATCATTTGCTTTTCTAAACCTTTTACAGTGTTCTAGAAGCATTGAAGAAAGACATAGGTTCACTATGGGGTCTTTCTCAATCAGCCTAGTTGATATATTTTATATAAAATGTAGATATAATTAAGCTTTCAAATCAATACAGTATTTTCAGTAAGGCTTAGCACCTGCTATAACTTACAATTAAGGCTCCTTCACCTAGACAGAGCACTTCAGAACTGCTAACGATACAACATCTAGTGTAGAAATCAACAAAGTACTCTTACCAAATAACACTATGTACCCCCTTCAGAAATGGGGCTACAAAGTGGAATCCACAACATGCGAGTGTGGAGAAGAACAAACTACAGACCACCTGCTACAATGCAACCTGAGCCCTGCTACATGCACAATGGAGGACCTTCTTATAGTAACACCAGAAGCACTCCAAGTGGCCAGATACTGGTCAAAGGACATTTAATCAACTACCAAGCTTGCAAACTCTGTGTCTTGTCTATGTTTGTATGTTTGTTTGTTTGTTCTGTCAAAAATGTAATACAACTGTTCCGTTGCCTGACACAATATAAATAAATAAATAAATAAAAACTATGTACAGAATTTGAAAAAAAAAAAACCTCCTCTTCCCACAAAGCTGCCTGGAGTCAGGAGGAGAAGCTTAGAAGCAAAGGTGCACAAGGGAGAAGGTCCACCATTTTTTGAGACCTTCTTGGGCTCTCACCCCCTGGAGAGCTTGGAAGGGGTGGGGGTTGAGCGGAAGGCTCCCTGTATGGGTTGACTCTTGCTGCCCAAGTTTGATCCAGGTCCATCATCGGGGGAGGTTGATTTCTCTGGTGTGGGTGAACTACAACTCACAGAAATAAAGGTCAGTTCCCCTCAAAGCCCTCCAGTAATCAAATATCAGCATATCAGTATGTGTTCCAAGTTTAGTCCAATTTACCACATCAATTATAAGCGGAGTTTTTCAGCTTTTTTTGGGGGGGGGGGGCTGAAAAAGCCTCCCTTAGCTTATATTCGGGTCAAGCCGGCAGCGGAGTCTGGAGGTGAGGCTCCGAAGCCAGCTGGCCATGGAGAAGGAGGACAAGCGGCGGAGGAGGCACAGGGGCCCCCAGGTGAGGCTACTGTGCCGCCACTGCCGCTGTTCCTGACAATTCTTCTCCTCCTCCTCCTCCAGCTGGCCATGAAGGAAGAAGAGGAGAAACCACGGAGGCTGCACAGGGGCCGCTGCCGCTGTTTCCCCTCTTCTTGCTCCTCCTTCTCCAGCTGGCCATCAAGGAGGAAGAGAAGGAAGAAGAGGAGAAGGGGAGCTGCTGCTGTTTCTCCTGCTCCAACTGGCCATCAAATTGGAAGAGGAGGAAGAAGAGGAGAAACTGAAGCAGTGTCCCTTCTCTTCTTCTTCCTCTTCCTCCTCAATGGCCAACTGGAGGAAGAGGAGAAAGAAGAGAAGGGGTGMTGCTGTTGTTTCTCCTCTTCCTCCTCCAGTTGGTCATTGAGAAGGAAGAGGAGGARGAAGAGGAGAACCGGCACCAGTGCCCCATTGAGGCAGGCAGGCAGCTGGAGGATTGCAGGAGGGGGCGTCTCGTTCCCCTCCTGCTTTCATTCCCCTCCTGAGATCCACCAGCTGCCTGGGGTCACCTCTTCCTTTCCCTCCCGCTCCCAGAAGGGAGACCTAGAAAGTGGGCTCTCTTCCACGTGTGCAAAAGAGCCCCCTCCTGCAATCAAGCAGCTGCCTCCATGCTTCCTTTCCCCTCCCTGATTTCCAGGTCTCCTTTCTGGGGACAAGGAAGAGAAGAAGGAGGCGACCCTAAGGCTTTGTCTCTCCTTGGCTGAGCCAGACGACACCTTCCTCCCTTCTCACCTCAGTTCCCCCCCCCCACACACACACACACTTTTCTAGCATCCCTTTTCCACACCCGTCTTTCCTTTTTCTAGTTTTCCCCTTCCTATCCCAGTCTTTACTACCCCCATTCCCCAGCCCCTCTCTCTCCACTTTCCATCCCAGCCTTTCCCAGGTTCCTCTTCTGGTTTACTTCCTAGCAAAATGTTAGGAATGCTAATAAAAGAGGTCATATATTGAATGTCATCTCTGTGTGTCCTCTTTCCCTGTATAAATGCTAGATTGGTGATGTTAAAGCCTTTCCTTCCTCCGGGCACTCCTGAGGAACACTGCTTGGCTGTGGAGTTAGTTTTGCTCCCATCCCCTGGGAGAGGGGTCAATTTAATGCCTGCTCTCCACTCAAGAGTTGCTGCTATAGAAAGCTTGAATGCTATCCCCATCCCAACAATTCTGCTTAAGATCAATGGGGAAAGGGTGTAGAGTGAAAATTGCTTTCCCAGCCTAGTGGCCTATAGCAGCAGGAGCAGTGTGTGTGTGTGTGTGTGAGTGAGTGAAAGAGAGAGAGACTCCACTGAGAGATAAACCTGTGCTTTTGTGAGTAAGAGTGATAAAAACTTAGTGTCCTTTCAAGTCCAGACAAATCAATATATTTGTTTCATGAGATCTAATTTTCAACAGAAGAAATACTTAATTCTGTTACACCCAACCATTTTCTGTAATCCATAAACTTCTAAAATAGGATTATATTGAGGGGAAGAAGACAACAGCAAATGCGTGAAAAAGCTCTCTTGAATACGCTAACTTTATCAGATATGACACCACCAGAGAACAAAGTGCACACCACCAAAAAGCCTTATTTTAATCCTCTGTCACCCAAGTTCTATATACTCTGGGTTTCTCCATTTACAACATCAAACTGATATATCTTACACCATGCATTTAAAAATTCACTAAAATTAGCACAAAAATTCTTAGAGCTCTAGAAAAATTAAAATGCAGTAACAACGGAGAATAAGGGGGAATGCATAACAAAATATAAAGAACACCAAATTGAACATTACTCCCTGAAAAATAGGTTGAAGACAACTTCCATCTCTTATCTCTCATGGAAAAACACATTAGACACTGCTGTAGTTCTTATGCCACTTTAGTTTGCCATCTATAATGCTACACAACAAATGCATTTCAGAGCGAATGTCCTAAGGGCTGGGAAATATTTTGATGTTTTTTCCAAGCTATTTTCTTGTAAAACCACTTCAACTTTTTTTCATCCTAAAATAGGAGAAAGGAAAATGAAAGGGATTTTATATTGTATCTGTTCTAAAACTTTGTATAATTGCCTCTTTCATCTACTTGATCTGCAAGCAAAGAGACCAAGTGGGCACTTTGCCACCGAGATACTGTTATCATTGGCGTGCAAGCTATTTCCTGTAACAATGAATGTGTCATAAGTCAAAGACCAGCGTTCCCATGCAATACTGTGTTGTTAAGGTAAACATTATTATAGAGCCTTCAGCATCAACTATATAGTTATTTTCAGAACAGGATAGAAGGCAAATAATTATTCTCAGTCTGAAGAATTGATCGCCAATATTTAGCAGAAAATTACATTCTGTCATTATTATATTTTCTAGTCTTTTGGGTAAAGGAAAGGAATGTCCACAGAGATGAAAGTTTGGAAGTGTTGTGTTAAAATAAATGTTTGTAAATGATGTGACAAAATCCTCTGATTACTAAACATGGTTACTCAAAAGAACTTACTCCCAGACACATGCATATAGAATTGCAGCCTTACATAACGAAATAAAATTATTATTTGTTTTACTTATTTTTAATACCTGTGAATGAAAAAACAGAATTAAGATGGAGGCTTACAGAGCATGGAACTAGGCACATGAACTACCACGGAAGAGACTGAACTCCCTCCTTCCCAAAAAGGCACAGGTCCATAGCTTGAGAGTACTTCAGATCCATTCTCTCGCAGGTGGCCCGAGCAGACCTTAGCTTGGGTCTTAGATACAAATAACCTAGTCACAGTAGTTCACACACTGAAAACATCTAGACTACTGCAGTGTCCTCTTTGTGGGATTGACCCTGAAAATGACTTAAAAGTTGTCCACAGTGCAAAATGCACCTGGGGAGCTGCCAATTTGCATTTCTTTCAAAGTTAGCCTTTTTTGTATTGCCGATGGCTTTCATGGCCGGAATCACTGGGTTGTTGTAGGTTTTTTCGGGCTATATGGCCATGTTCTAGAGGCATTTCTCCTGACGTTTCACCTGCACCTATGGCAAGCATCCTCAGACCTCACTACCTCTGAGGATGCTTGCCATAGATGCAGGTGAAACGTCACGAAAAATGCCTCTAAAACATGGCCATATAGCCCGAAAAAACCTACAACAACCCTTAGCCTTTTTTGTAAAATCTATCAACTGCATTTTTGTTGAAAAATGAGTTCCTTACCTGTTTTTAAAATTAAGATCAAGAAGATAAACTGTCAGTGAATGCATGGTGGTACAGGGCAGAGGCAAAACCAGAAATGGTCAAAACCAGAAATGAGCATGAGTGGGGCAAGCCYCCCCCCCCCCCCCAATACCTCCTTCTTAAAGAACTCTCACTACAACCCCTTCTCTATCTCCTTTCCTAGTGGGAGGAAATAGACTATTTTTATATCAGATGTYTAAACTCACTTGTTGCTGAGGCCTTTGGATAATTAAGGCAAGAGTCACATAAAATTAGGTCACAAGAAGTGGCTCCGACCTTAGGTTTAACGGAAATACAACTTGCTATACTTGGCTGGTATCTGAAGAGTATCTGCAGTTTATCGTTGAAGTGGTAAGCTACAGAAAAACCAATTACTACCTAGGCATATTGTGACCAGTGAAAGTGAACCTACTATGAGTGGAAGTGAACGTGTAAGAAAGACTGATTGCTATGACGTTGACAGCCTTATCTGGAGCAGCGGTTGGGAATGATGTGAAACTATGATTTCCTTGACAACTGGCCATGGACGAGCTATGGGAGGCAGACTCCAACAACTTCTGGAGGATAGTAACTCCATCACCCTTGACCCAATGCTGATGTTCTTATGTGCCTTCAAGTCATTTACAACCTATGAGAGCCCTAAGGTAACATATCACCAGTTTTTTCTTGGGAAGATTTATTCAAAGATTAATTCAAGATCATATACCATGGTCTTCCACTGAGGCTGAGAAATGGGTGACATTGAGCAGGTCACCCACTGAGTTTCCAAGGATGAGCAGGGATCTGAACCCCGAGCTCCAGAATCATAGTCCAATGCTCAAACCACTATAACATCCTGACTATCAACTCAGATGTATTCCAGTGGTTCTATACATGCGAGAAAACGTTCTAACAAATACAAACCTTTTTTTACAGAATTTTTTTTCTTAAATATGAGAGAATAAAAGTGCCGTATGAGGTGGCAGGTCTAAATTCCCTAAAAGTACAAAATTTCATATCTGAACTTGGAAGCTAAGGAGAGTTAGCTCTTGTTATTACTGGGACAGGAAAGTGCCAATAAATACCAGGTGCTGTTGGCTTTATTTTGCAAGAAAGAACTAGCCAAACCACCTCTGTGTATTCCTTGCCTAAGAAAATCCTATGAAATTCATGAAGTAACCATAAGTCAATAGTTTACTTGAAGGCACATAGACAGCTTAGAAGAAAGCCCAAATCTTAATTTTACTCTACTATTCACGATAATGAAAATAAAAATACTCACCTCTTCAGTTAAGACCTTTTGTGGTTAGATGAAAAACATAACATGAGATCTAGATGGCATTACTGCTTTTAGCTTAGAAAAAAAGGCAAACTATGTGTAGAAGTTAAATAAAATAGGTAATAAAGTACTGCACACTTACACATTTGCAGAGTGAATATTATAAGGATTTATCTGATTCCATATATTTATGTTCTATTAATGAATACCCCTCAAAGCCTGAGTATATTTTGACCATCCCTATTGACACCTACAAGTCATAATGCTGATTCCACTTTGGATCAAGGGTATTCTTCACAGTATCTGTTGAATGGCACTGGCCAGATCCGTCAACCACCACTTTAGCAAATGGGTCAGGAAGCCCTGTCAGAAGGGAGGAAAAATACAAAATAGGGTGGGCAGTATAATTATATAATTTCAGTTATGAATGATTGCCATTTGTTGGCTTTTGTAAAGCATTTAATACTTCCAATTTGATACGTTTTACTCAGTTAACTATATTAGTGCTTTCACATGATCCTAGGAGTTTGAGAAACCTTTAGGCATTTCAAATTCTATTTATGTACTCAATAATATTATATCTTCTGTCTCAGAAACAGCAGTAGTTTCAAGCAGGTAAAGGTAAAGGTTTTCTCCTGACATTAAGTCCAGTCGTGTCAGACTCTGGGGGATGGTGCTCATGTCTATTTCTAAGCCGAAGAGCCAGTGTTGTTGGGAGACAACTCCAAGGTCATGTGGCCGGCATGACTGCATGGAGTGCTATTACCTTCCCGCCAAAGTGATACCTATTGATCTACTCACATTTGCATGTTTTCAAATTGCTAGGTTGAGAAGCTGGAGCTAATAGCGGGAGCTCACCCGGATTCCTGGATTCATACCTGTGACCATTGGGTCAGCAAGTTCAGCAGCTCAGCGGTTTAACCCACTGTGCCACCGGGGCCTCCATATTTCAAAAGAAAGAGAAACTCACCAGCACTTTTTTCTGTAAGGAACTCTTATCTCTCGTTACATTTCTTCATTACAACAACATACATGCCAGATTCTGTTTACTTTGCCTCACGGCAAGGGTGTCTCAAGACACACTAGGCTGTCATCAAATATATAAAAAGCAAACCAGTCTTCAACTATTCTTCTCACAACTCAAATATCTTAAATAATGGGAACACTTTTTCTGTAGCACACACCTGGAAACTTTTTGATACCTCTAATTATCTAATCACACACTAAACTTTGGTCAACAAGGAATGTAGCACAAAGCAACTACTACTTTCACAGTATTCTGTAAGACACAAGAGAATACATCCAAAACCAATGCCTTTAACACTGTCTTACATCACTACCTCCAAGTCTCATTTGGATTTTTGAACAAGGAAGCTCTTGAGGTCATTTAGCTGAGAGCTTCTTAAAACAAGAATGCTCAACAAAAATGTCTGTGCAATTATGTGCAATTTACGGTATATCAATGCTCTTGGAGGCCCCCATGGCGCAATGGGTTAAACCCTTGCGCCGGCCGAACAGAAGACCGACAGGTTGCAGGTTTGAATCCGGAAAGAGTGTGGATGATCTCCCTCTATCAGCTCCGTCTGACATGAGAGAAGCCTCCCACAAGGATGGTAAAACATCAAAAACATCCAGGTGTCCACTGGGCAACGTCACTGCAGACGGCCAATTCTCTCACACCAGAAGCAACTTGCAGTTTCTCAAGTTGCTCCTGACATGAAAAAGGAAATCAAAGCTCTTTGGATCATGGCTTTGAAATTAAGAAACCAGTAGATTCCTGATCCATTTTTAATTTGTAAAACTATAATCCAGAAAGTCAGGAAAAAGTAATATGAGTTACTAATCTTATAAAATGCCTCTAACAGAATTCCAGGTAATTAGATGTCTCAGAAAAGTAACAGTGAAGAAATATTATATTCAAAACTGAATAATATTGATAAACAATCTACACATCAGAATATTTGAATTTAATTAGACTTATTTTTTCTAAAATCATAGTGATTCTGACTATATCAGAGGTCTTTATGTTAGTGGAATGTTTTATTCAGCAGTGAACAGAACTAATGTGGACTAAAGGAAAGATGTATGTATACTTACGGAAAAAATCCTTTTTGACCAAATTTTTTGCGCAGAGAACTGTAAGAAAACAAAATAAGACACACAATAAAATTCTGAGCTTTGGTTTACATGTCAAATATCAATCAGGCTAGCTGCATTTTACAGGGGGGGAAACCCCTACATCTTCCCTGTTGTTACTTCTGTACTAAGAGAGTGTAAAAAAGACCATCATACAATGCACCACATAGGGGAAATTTGCTTTCAACGACAAATGGAATATCTAAGTAACATCATCTGGCTATTTGCAAAATGGCTGGCCCAAAAAATGGGTCTTCAACAATAACATTTTTTCTTGTCGTAGAATGTATACTGAGGCCTTGTTTCAATACTATGTCTTTTTCCTGTTTGGGGTGATTCACAAGGAGAGGGGTTTTCAGCAATAAAGATCATCATTTATTTTTCAAACACTGAAATTATCTATATACACAAACAGAAAGTAGTCTGTCAGCTATGCAGAAGAAATGTACTACTTCATATGAAGGTGCATTTTGTGGGTGTTCCAGTATAGTGTAACATCCTCCATTCTGCAACCACAAACATTCCTTGTGGACAGGGAGCATTTTTTTACTCTGGGGATCAAGGTTCAAATCCCTGCTCAACAATGGAAACCTACTGAGTGACCTTGGGTGAGTCACACTCTCTCAGCCTCAGAAGAAAGCAAAGGCAAATCCCCCTTTGATTAAACCTTGCCAAGAAAAGCCCATGATAGAAAAGCCCATGATAGTGTAACCCCAAGTTAGAAATGGCTTGAAGACACACAACAAACCACAAAAAATCTTTGTGGAGAAATCCCTAAGCTTATATGGATGCTGCTATACAACTTTATTTTCCAACAAGTCAGATTCTGCTATGGCTTCAGTTCCCATGAAGTTTTGCCGTCCGTCTTATGTACAGGAAGCACCAATCTGTCCAATAATTACCACCTTTTCCTTCTGGAGAACTCTCAATGCCATTTTTTCAGCTCAATTGGAGGCATAAAGTTAGTCTGAAACACATTATTCACTGTTCAAGGTCTCTTGTTTCCAGATATATTCACAGGATCACATGCTTACTCTTGAATAAATTGTCATACTTAATATAATTTCATATGTACACTGGAATTATTTATCCATTTAAACATAATTCTGTAGCATACAAGTGTCCACAACCAAAGGGGTTCGTAGTATGCTTTCTGGTTATGTAAATGCTCTTTCTCTTTTACTTGCTCAGCACAACACCTTGAAAATACTTCCCCACATAAAAGTTAAGTCAACAATACGGCAGTTATCAACAAATAATAATCTGTAAAAGACCTCAGTCTTTGTAACTACCCTGACAACTCCTTTCTAAGGCCATAGATAAGCAGAAGCCTTATTAGGCACATGGGAATAAAGTGTTGGCAGAATATACAAAATCTTTTAGAGCAGTTGAAGTTACTTAGCTAGATGTGCAAAGGAGGAAAGAAAAACAGATATCACAAAACACACAACTAAAGAATTTGCAAATCTCAACCGATAAGATCTATGGGAAGAATTCATTTTTTTGTGTTAGGAGTGACTTGAGAAACTGCAAGTCGCTTCTGGTGTGAGAGAATTGGCTGTCTGTGAGAACATTGCCCAGGGGACACCAATCCTGTGGGAAGCTTCTCTCATGTCCCTGCATGGGAAGCTGGAGCTGACAGATGGGAGCTCACCCCGCTAACTGGATTTGAACTGCCAACCTTACGATCAGCAGTCCTGCCAGAATTTGAATACGAGTATATATTATGCTACTTATAGTGCATATGTATTTTGAAAATGTAGGTTGTTCAGAAGCTGGTAAATACTACTAGAAATGTGGTCTTTAATACCATTTTCGCTGTTTTCCTTGCGCCCAAAAATTCCCTGAATACTCCAGTTTCTATTTAGGCCCTAATTCTTCATAGGTTGTTTTTATATCTGGTATTGCTTAAATATTTTCCTTTAGAAAATAGATGGAATAGCTATTTTAACACTAATAGGAGTAAGAAAAAAAGAAGAAATCATATCCAACATAATCTACTTCTTGATGTTAGCTCACATTATCAACTGCCTAGTTTAAAACAGAAAATATAAGGCACAGTCTTGGATCATCAGCAAAAGGGGTTTAAACTCTGGCAGTAGAAAATGTGAGGCAAGGAAATGGGTGTCAAGAAAAAGGTTTAAACTCTGATAGTTGAAGGTGTGAAGCAAGGAGATTGATTGCCAGGAAAGGAATTACCGTATATTCCGGCATATAAGACGACTGGGCGTATAAGATGACGCCCAACTTTTCCAGTTAAAATATAGAGTTTGGGATATACTCGCCGTATAAAACTACCCCTCTTCCAACGCACACCAAATAAAATTTTTAAAAGCATCAGATTTGATTTCAATATGGTAATTTTCCTATTACTGTACCTCTTTCTCTGCCTCTCAGATCTCGCACATGCGCATCTGCACCACTTCACTGCAGTCTTCAGGAGCGAGATCTGAGAGGCAGAGGAGGATTTAAGGTAATAGGATACAAGGGCGGGCCAGACAGTTAAAAGAGTTGTGTTTTTTTCTGGGCCCAGAGCCACTCTATTTCTTTTTTTCATACCCCGGGCGCCCTGGATGCCTGCAGCTTGCACTGCCTTTCCCTTACACTTTTCCGATGAGGCACCCCTTCACCTCACCATCGGGACCGCATTAAGTCCACGAATCCTGATGAATGGATTTTCTTCTACCATACTTGTACAGCATCGCCCTTAATGCTTTCATACAGTCGCTGCATATGGCAGGGACGCAGCCACTGCCATTTTTGAGCTCCCTCCACAATATGCAGCAACCACAGATTCTCCAATCCGGATTGGAAGTTTCAGCACCCGCTCTATAAGATGACTCCCGGCGTATAAGATGACTCCCATGCATAAGACTGCTCCAACATATAAGACGACCCCTGACTTTTGAGAAGATTTTCTTGGGTTAAAAATTAGTCTTATACGCCAGAATATACGGTATGTGTATTTTATCACATAATAGTTGCACTTTCCCCCCTTTTTTAAAAAAAAAAAAGGCAAGGTGCAACTGTTGCAGGAGGAAAAAATTCTGCCTTTGATTTTCCGATTTATGTTGTTTTTTAAATAAAATGGCTTACCTCTAAAAGGAGGGGAGGAAGAGGGATGATCAAGCCTCAAACAACTCAATTTCTGTTTGTCTGTTTTTTAAAAACTGAAGAGCCATTTGGGGCTGATTTTCCCTTCTTTTCTTCTTTCTTCGAAGGTAAGGCAGTTTAAAAACTATGAAATGAACATCTCTGGAGTTCCACTCTTCCTTTCTCCCTCCTTCTTCAGAGCAAGGCAGTTTTTAAAACCTGAAATGGAGGTCTTTGGATCTTTTCTCCTTCCTCCTTTTGCAAAGAACTTCATTCCAGGTTTTGTAAACGGCCTTGCCTCAGAAGAAGGAGGGAAGAAGGAGGAGAGAAGAGTAAAGCTCCAGAGACCTGCATTTTATAATTGTATCTTATGAATTTTAAATCTTCCATGCTTTTGTCTAAAACAGACCATTGAAAATGGCCCTGAAAGGCCAATTCATCATTTGTCTTAATTCAAACAAACAATAAAAGGTATTAAGTGATCCATTCATCTCTAGCTGTCCTTTCTCTCCTACAAAAAAATCTTCTTGAATCAAACCTACATGGTATCTTAGGACATAATCTTGGTTTGTATCTCTGTCAAAGTCTCAAAACGACATATCTCACACAATGATTATTAAAATCAGCATTCTCATTCAACTTAAAACATACCTAAAGTCATGCCCTTCTAAATCTAAAATCTCATATTTTTCAATTTTATCCATTCTTTTAACCACACCAAACAAGATACATCAAAATAAAAATGTAAATTTGATAATCCAAATCCTCCTCTTTCTTTAGCATCCTGAATAACTTTATTTTAAATTAGGCTTCTTCCATTGCCATATAAACTTTGATAATTTTTTCTTCTGTTTACTAAATGCCACATCATTTCTCAAAACCGGTATTATCTGAAACAAAACATTTTGGAAAAACATTTTTATCACTGAAATTCTCCCTAATAACCCAACATTGTCATCTGACTAAATTGTAACTATGACAAGAGAGTCCACATCTTGCCACATCTGGATTTTGGCACATGTCTTGCTATGAGGATGAGGCTGGATACATCATCAGTGCCTTACTCTCCAGCTCCACGTAACTCCTTCAGTTTGTGTGTCTTTCGAACTTCTCAAATGGGTTGAGGGGGTATTCATAGTCATTTATGATGCCTTAAGCTTAGTTTACAACAGGGGTCCACAAACTTTTTAAACAGAGGGCCAGACCACAGTCCCTCAAATTGTTGGAGGGCCGGATTATAATTTGAAAAAAACATGAATCAATCCCTATGCACACCGCACATATCTTATTTGTAGTGCAAAAAACACTTCAAAACAATACAATAATTAAAATGAAGAACAATTTTAATACATACAAGCTTATTAGTATTTCAATGGGAAGTGTGGGCCTGCTTTTTGGCTGATGAGATAGGATTGTTGTTGTTGTTGTTGTTGTTGTGTGCTTTCAAGTCATTTCAGACTTAGGTTGGCCCTGAACAAGGGCCGGGTAAATGACCTTGAAGGGCCGTATTTGGCCCCCAAGCCATAGTTTGAGAACCCCTGGTTTATTATTATTATTATTATTATTATTATTATTATTATTATTATCTTTATTTATACCCCGCTAACATCTCCTGAAGGACTCGGTGCGGCTTACAAAAGGCCAAGGACCTCAATAAAACAACAGCATAACAAATACAACAATAAAACTCATAAAGCAAACAAAAATTAAAGCAATAACAGTAAACATTAAAAACAGTTTACAACATTCGCAGTACTGAACAGAAAACCAGCACTTATTTCTCAAAGGGTATATTTTAGAACTGATGGGGGAAAGTGCAAGATACATGTAAATTTATTGTACCTGATAATTCATACAGTAATTCAGTCTGAGAATTGGGAAATACTTTTGCTACTTAAAACAATCTG